CACCACACTGCCAACCCCCACACCTGCCACTCCCCAACACACATTTGTGAGTCCATCTTCGATGACGACTCGAAACCCCAGCATTTCTTCACATACATTACCTCAGGCCACCGTCACACCCCAACAACAACAACAACAAACCAATCCCACGCCTACAAATCCCCAGATACCAAACGACTTCGTTCAAACACCAGAGCATTGGGACAACAGGCAGCTTTTTGGCCTCAACCTACCCAAACACATTCAATCTACACCACATTCAGTGCACAACCGCACGGCAGGCATGCCAATCGCAACAGCACCATTGGCCGCATTTCTGCGACACAATTGGTCCTCGTACTGGCTACGGTACGCCGCACACGGCTTCGACATCCATCTCACATGCAGCAAACACATCAGCGAAGCCGTCTTTACCACTGAACTTATGGGTCAACTTCGAGCAAGGAGAATTGATCTGGACCAAGCGGCCACCGCATTCTGCTGGCAAGAAAAGCTCACACTCGCAAAACGACCAGCAATGTCACACCTCATCAAGGAATTGGTGTTGTACCTACAAGAGCTGCAGGACCAGTATAATGATGGCAACAAAAAGGACAAGCAAGATGTCAAATCTGACACAGACAACACACAATCGCAACCCACCGAATCTCCAACACCACTACAATCCAGCAAATCACAACCTCATCTCCCACTTCAACCTTCGCAGCCGACAGAGGCAGACACTATGGCGGCACATCGCATCAGCGACCTAGAAGCACGACTTTCCACAGCACTGGAGACAATTGAAACTCTCCGTGCTCCGGATGCACACAATGAGGCACCCAGCACACCAGCACCAAAGCAACCAAAACGAACCACCGCACCCAGCACTCCCATCAACACGCCCTCTCCACCACCTCTCTCACTTTCCACAATTGAGATTTCCCCCACCACAACCACTCGTGGACAAAAACGCGCTACCATCGATGACTCTACACACACCGACACCAGGCCTACCACTGATGGCCTCTCCCCTTTCACCACAACCGCTGCAGAACAAGACAACAACCCGTTACATGCTTCCCCAGCATCGTCATCCACCACAGGTATGCACTTTCCGGGACGCTCCACTCTGGGCGCCAAGCGACAGAAGCAGTCAACTCTTACACCAACGAAGGCGGCACCCCTCGATCCCAAAATGGATTCCCAGCGCATCTTTCAGCAGCCTACAAAAGCCAGTGTTTGGTTTCAAGATCATTTCACTGGCGTTCACTCCGAATCCGGCATCACCAGATGGTTTGGTGCCATCAAAGGCATCAGCGACAAACAAAAAAAAAACACAGGTAAAAAAGTACCTTGACATTGTTGCTTCGGAATTCCCTTCACTCAGCAACTCACAAGAGCAGACACTGCAGACCGCTGCAGTCGCTTGGGGTGTCCCACCCAAAGCCATCGACAAATTTGGCTCCCCAGCACTGATCAAACTTGTCGCTATCATCAGTCAGATGACAGAGTGACTCAGGCAGTACTTGATTCAACACCGACAGACACTAGATCACACAACAATTTTCCGACAAAAACAATTCAAGAACATCATACGCATTCTGGATCAAGGCAGATCCATCTTACAATTCGTCGCACCATTTGCAGAACCAGTCTCCACACAATTCCATCAAATCATACTCTGGCTTCAAGGCCTGACTTTGTTACTTCGTACACAGCATTTCTACCTCAAACATGAGGAAGGACATTTCTCCAACCTGCAGAGACTGTTTGCACATTCAAACATTTCTTTTCCATCGTACACACTCTCTTTCTTTCGTCAGCCACAGGTGTTATACTGCAGAGTCACCACGCAACAACCTTTTCGTGGCTACGTTTACATCGGCAGCACAAGTCACTCTCTCACACAACGAGAGGGCACACGCAATCGAAAATTCAAGCAACTTCAACAACACAAGATTGTACAAGCCGAACTTTCTTTACGATGGTGGCATAAACACAAATGCTACCACCAATACACACCAATTGTACTACAAGCCAACATACCCACCGAGCAACTAGAAGCCACGGAGAACACTCTCATACAACACCACCAATCCAAGCTCAACTTTCCTTACATCACATCACACATGAAAGGAGCTTTTCCGGCTTCACAAAAGCAGCCAACAACAAGCACAACGGCACAGCCACCTTATGGGCGAAGCAGCGCCGAGGCAAACTACACCACTCCATTCGGAGCTTCACCAATTCCACCTTATTCAACACCAGAAAACAGGCATGGACCACAGTATCACATCTTACTTCCAACACTCGCACCAGATTCGACACAACAAAACAACTGCTTCGCTCAGACACACCAGCAGCCACAGTTTACGCTTTACACAAACTCTCAAACAACTTACCACGACGTGACCGCAGACACGCTCACAAAGCTCTCAACACCGTCTTCAAAAAGCGACGACTAAAACCACCTCCTGTCACAAAACCCATTTACCTACAGCCACTCTTGCACCCCACCTTCACCCAACAACTACGACAATTTTTGCGCTCTCGTTTAACAAGCAACAAACAACACATTCCACCATTCCACCTTCCCAGCACAAAACCTGTCTACAAAAAGCACCCACCCATGCAACAACTTCTACACAATTGGCGCGATGCCCACACCACATGGCAACCTGATTCACCACCACCCTGTACATGCTCACCATTACACTCACAAGTACCCCAGGAGCACATTTTCCACAATCACATTGCTATCCAACTTGCAGAACTACAACCACAACATCAGTTTTTGGCATACTCCGGCAAAAGCAATTGCCTTCAAAAGCCCACACAGTTGGCCTCACAATTATGCCGAGCCATACGCACATGGCATCGACACTATGGACTACCTTACAACCATCAAACTGCAAAGCAGTTTGTATCTGAACAAATACCACAACACAACACACACTGCAGTAAAAACAACATACTACAGGTCAAGATGCTCAAGCAAGTCCAACACAAAATACCCACGGGCATCATCCATTGCGAAGATCACTTCCCGAACCGACTCACGTGGTACTGCCCAGCACTATACCACACTGCCATACACAACACTTTTTTAGACAAAGAGATCTTTCGGATCTCGCAGCGCCAACCTCTACAACACCACTTCGATGTCTACACAGACATCCGCAGTCTTCTACCAACTTACACATGGGCGTTTCCACAATGGGGCCGCATCCCACGTGCCTACATTTTACCGAAAAGAAAGAAGCAATTCGCGAAAGGACGTCCTATAGTGGCGTTCATCGACACCATGGGCCGAAAATTATGGGAAGCCTTAGCAGACGTACTGCAGCTGATGACACTTCAAGCATGCCCAAACTCCTTTCACCAAGGAGACGGGATAACACAGCTCAAACAAACAGCACTCTTCTTGCATCAACGCAGGAAATTACAAGATTCAACAGATTACATCCTGTACAATCAGGATTTGGCTGGCTTCTTTACATCGGTCGATCAGAGCCGGTTTCTTTCAGCATACAGCATCATGGTTCGATGGTACAGAGAGAAGAACCCACTACACTCTTCCAAATTCTTCATTGACCACTCACAGAAAGACCCCACACATCGAGTCCACAGGGGCAAAAGCAGACAAAAGCAGCAAGAAGCCTCCTCCGGCAACAAACTTTGCATACAATTACAACACATACCACAACTTATCATTGCAGTGCTCCGACTCAACTATTTCACTGTTGGTACATCACTCATTGAGCAATTTCGCGGTGCACCTATGGGCTCGCCCTGCAGCCCAGCCCTATGCAACATCGTGGTTGCCTGTCGAAGAACAGTGTTGGCACCACACATACAAACAACTTTTCAAGAACCACAAGCATTTTCCAGACCACAACAAGCAGGATCAAGCTTTCTTTTTTGCTACCAGATACGTCGACAACCGCGTCCTTCTTTTACCTGCACAGCTGACCCGACTGCCTCCTTTTGCACAGCTTACTGACGCATCTTTCTACAAACCACCGGTTCAGCTTGAAACTGAACCGGCCAACATTTTCCTGGGTTTCGCCATAAACCCTCAGCACAGCAGCCTTACGCATCAATGCACTTTGCACAAGGCGGATATTTTACACCCACAGTCAGCCACCTCTGTTGCAATACTTCGCAGCAGTTTTCAGGCCCGCACACGCATGGTACGCAGAGTGACAACACCATGCAGCGAGGCCACATCAGCCATTCGAGCCATGCGCGATCTCTACATCGCTGCCGGCTATACTGATCAACAGCTGTAAGCAAAACACTGTGCCAAGTTGCCGTGCGTGTGTCCAGAGCCATGCAACTTTGCAACATGAGAGCCGCCTTGTATCAACACAGTGCTTCCCGCAGCCATTTACAGGGTTTAACTGAGGCATCATCATGTATAAAAGTGCCATGACTGGCAGATTGCAGCCGAGCCACAAAGCGCTGAGCGGCCGTCCTCGGCCATCCATCTCCAAGCATAGCAGACGCCGCAACGAGCAACCTGCGGTTGGCAGCCACAATCAACAGCCGGCGCTTTTGCGCTCTCAGTTCCTACGTGTTGCAGAAGACGAAGATTTCCAAGATTACCAAGAGCAACACCAAGATCCGGAAGAACAGCAGGACGCAGCAGTGGCTGCACCGGCGACCCCGCCATTTCCACCTCCGCATCATTCTGATCCGGATTCATCGACTGAGATTATGGCAGCAATAACGCAGTTTCACAATTCGTTGCTTGAATCGAATGCCAAACTCGAGCGCCTGATACAACAGGCTACAACGGTGTTGACCACTCAACACGAGGCTACCACGGCGATCCTCGCCTCGTGCAAACAGCAGCTCGACGTACTCGAAAGCCTCATCAGGCAAAACGCGCCTGATTGGTCGTGAATATGCTGCTAAGGTACGCTGGTATAAAAAGAGCCAGGTAGTGCACACTTCTCGCATTTCAACACATGTTGCTTTCAGACACACACCATAACTTTGCCTTCTGAAGTTTTTGCCTCAGAGTGACACCTATCGGAATCCCGACATCGAGCCATGAGCGAAGCATCTCTTCCGACAAACACAGTGACTACAGATTCGCCACCCGTCGATGAGTCACGACGTGAAGCTCTCTCCGAGGCCCTCATGGAGATTTTGACACAGCATCGGGACTATGATTCCGAAACTGGAAGTGAACCTTCCACATTCAGTGACGAGGCTCTACGCGACCAATTAGCCGAGTTTATTCTGCAAACAACCCGGCAGATCACAGAGCTAAAGCAACGAGTGGAAAGACTCGAAGCTTCGCAACAATAGGTGATCAACCATGTTCATACCACCATTGGGTGCTTTGCAGCGGACGGTTAAAACAACGATTGTCGTTGTTGCCAATTGTGACAGTCAGTGCACTCACTTCACATATGTTTGGTATGCAGCGATTGATGCACTCTTTCCCGCAGCATTTTGCAAAACAACCAGTTGTGTTAGCACCATGGAACAACGCACCAGATCGCGATCTCCCACGGCATCACAATGGAGATGGCATTGGGCCACTAACGGCTCTTCATGGTGGCGTGAGTACTTTATCGCATCTCAAGAGTGGATACGAAAGCATTCGGAGCAACCTGATCAGCGTCCGACATCAACGACTCCTACCCAAAAGGAGACAGTATCTACTACATCAACTCCTACATCCAACAAGAGAAAGCGGTCAAGAACTCCGTGAGCAACATTGCTGAGTTGACAATTAGATGCACATTTGCTGCCCCCGGCAGCCAACAACCACACAGCAAAGCTGTGCTGCGAACTCCATCATTCCTGATGAGGTTCAACATTAAGAGCATCATGTTGAAAGGTCATGCCGGTCGGCGAGGTTGCTCAATTGATGTCTCTGTGTACCTCTCTCTCTCTCTTCTGAAGATCAGCGTATGCACATGCCTCAATGCAGTTGTGACTCCGCAGCCATTTCTCAGAACTACAGTTGCTGAAACATATTTAGGATCGCACACAGATGGACGAGGACGACGACAGCAGCCTATGGGGATCCGAAGAGATTGATGCCTTCCTGAGGAAGGATGACACCACCACATCCTCCCATGCAGTCAGTCACACACACAAGCAAAAAACAAAGCACACAACGAGGACAAAAAAGAAGAAAGACAACAAAGACAAAAAGGACAAAACAGTCATGAAAACAAAGAAAACACGCAACATCTCACCACCATCCCAATCCACAACACAGCAACGACGCCAACATCCACATACTACAAGACGAAAGAGGACACGCTCTTCGCATTCAACATCATCAGCGTCACCTACGGCAACGTCACACATGGCTGAGGACGCACACCGGTCTCCATCTCGAGATCCTTGGTCTTCTGACTCGATTGCACCTTACGATATTGTGCATCCTACTATTCAGCACAAGCGGTCCAAAACCGCTTGTGCAAAAATGCTGGTACGTGCAGGTTTTAGGTGTCGATGCCATTTCAAGATCATGAGTGACTGTCCCAACAAACTCGCTGTTGGACCCTAATTCTCAGGACGGATTAGGGCTGCAAGATCCGCTAAGCGTGACAAAAAGCCTGCGCATGCGAGTGTCAGGACGACACCACTTTGTTGTTTTGCCAGAGCACACATCATGTCCATGTTGATTTGCATTCCTTGTTCAAGCTTTTGTCGGTTGGTAGCAGCAAAAATATGACAAAGCGAAAGGCTGCCGAGGCCGGCCTTCCATGGTACTCCATGGCAGGACAATGTTTTCGGATGACTGTTGAAATTCCACCCGACCGCATCACCAGAGACAAGCACATGTTCTTACACGTGGTGCTTTGTCTGGGTGACAACGTTCTCCAAGCTCGCAAGATCTTCTCCTACCGCATCAAGGAGATCACCGGCAGAACTCCTAAAATCCCAGCTTTCTTCTTCGAACAAAACCGTCGACGACTACATGATTGGGATTCAGTCACCACATTAGCCACGTTGATGCCGGTGCTTTTTGTTAGAACCTGTTCGGATCAGGAAATACGACAATCACCCGATCGCTATTGACAGCGAGAAAAGTGCGCCATTCACTCCTATTGCCGCGCATCAGACCTTTCACTCTACTTGAAGCATGTACGCCCCATTGGGGCTGTGTGTGTGTGAACCTCCCTAGCACATGGGAGCAGAGGGTCACTCCTACACTGTTTGCAATTTCGCTTTTCAACATAATCCGGCATTGGACATTTACCAAATCAACTGTTGCAGGGGAGTGTGGCACTTGCGTCCTACCACACTCAACGAAGCTGTGGATGCAAGTGGGAAGCGGGACCTGTTCAGTCCTGTGTACCTGCATGGCAGCCCCCTGTGGTGCCAAGATTAGTTTTGAGGACAGGCCCCCTGTGGTGTCCAGATTAGACAAACAAGTTGTACGGTTGCCACAATCTGACAAAACTTTGCAACATGAACAACATGCCTCTCTCTTTTCCTCTTGCACTCGTACTCTTGGCCGAATCCATCAGTGTGTGTCTGCTTGATGATGCTTGTATGATGTTGTTGTGGTGGTGGTGGTGGTGGTTGTTGGCATATTTGTGACTGCTACACTGTTCGTGCTGGCTGCAGGTGTGGCTAGTGCCGTTCCGCTTTTGTGTGATGATGCCTTTGGTGGTTTCTGACGACGATCGTGCAGAGATGATGATGGCGGTGGTGATGGTGTTATCCACGACATGGCTTGTTTACCATCACTTCCCAGCGCGGCGACACATGTCACGACGAGCCCAAGTCGTCCTATGTGGGACACCCGCTCGGAGCTCACGAGAAGCCTTCAACTCAGCGCCAAGGACCGAGATCCTGAACAGAAGCCCCCAAGACGCAAGGGTATCTTCCGGGGACCCCCTGTCTCGAGCGGCTCCTCGTGAATAATCCGTTCACCATGAAATTGACGGGTTTTGATGAGTTTTGATGACGCTGATGATCACTGACGTGCATCTCGAGCGCGTGGCTCGTGAAATCGAGGGTCTATGTGGGCAATGGCTGGTCTTGATATGCGGTGATGAAGATTATGATCGCTGATGTTTGTTTCCAGCGCTTTCTTGTGAACTAGAGCGTTTGCATAGTCCTGGGCCGGTTTTGACATGGTCTGCTGGGGTGCCACAGATGATGACCGGTGATTACCGGGTGCTCGTGGAGTCGAGCATCTTGAGTCTAGATTGGGAATGACTGGTTATGATAAGCTGTGATGCCCCTGATCATCGACGGTGTGTACTCAGTGTACTCCTACTACTAGGACTGCTTCCAGTACTAATACTCGAACTAGAACACACACGGAAACCAAATGGAAATAAACTGCCGAAACTACCGCAAGAAAGCTTCCGGTTTAGTGTGGCGACCCAGAATCCATCACCGCCGCCTCTCTGCAAACTTTGCCCTCGGTCTTAGCATGCAGCATTGTGCGGCGCTTGTGGCCCCAATATTCTCCGGCTCTTTGCTTTTGGTTAGGAGATGCCGGACACGTTGCATTCAAGTCCCAGCTCTGCGCCGTTAAGTCCAATGGGTGAGATACTTGTCAGTTGAGGCATTTGAGTCTGCGGTAGTTGTTTGCTTCTGAGTTGTCGGAGACAGGGAACGGCTTCAAATCATTCTGAAGGTTGGCCACGACGGCCAAGTCACTGCGGATCCGGCCGAGCTTTTCTGCGGCCGGAAAGGAAAGCTAAAATAAGGCCAGCTTCAACGTGAGCTCTTGTGACAGCTTGGTTACTGGGAAGGTAACGGCACTGTGGTCGCTCGCTTTGACCTTGTTGCTCTGGTTCAGCCTCGCACTTCTGCACACGTTTGTGCAGTGCACACACCTTAGAGCGCACGACCAAATGCAGCCGCAACAAAGCATATCTCATTTCAGAAACTGCTCTCTAAGCTAAATGTCGCGGCCGATGACACGCCATCGCTGCTGGGTCCGGCAGCAGCTGGAATGGTGGGAGTGTCTTGGCGCACAACATGAGCGATACTCTGCAAGGCTCGGCTCTGACGGCTCTGTCCGAGGAACTGGCCCGACAGCGTTCACCTCCTCTTCGTGCGGAAGCTCGTCGAGGAACTCTCGGAGCAGTTGGATGTGGCCCACGATGCTTCATCCCGGCAGCTCGCTCGCCTGTCTGTCATGCGGATCCTCACCCCCAAGCGCAAAGGGAGAGCTGAATTTGAACCACGGAAGATGTCGTGCCAGATCAGGCAGATCCGGAGCCTGAAGAAGCAGCGAGGGCCTAAGAAGCTGGAGTAGACAGCGAGAGCGAGCGAGGGAGTCAGAGATGAAGTGCTTGCAGGTTGTCGAGACGGAACACGAAGATCTCCGAACTCGAGCGCAGTCTCCACGAGACTCAGTATGCCGGCTGCACGACATCCCCCATGCGAGCCAACTGCGCTGACATGTTGGCCAGCAAGCACCTGCAGCACTAGCACGAGCCCAGGCACTGCAACGCGGAGCGGCCCCTGGCAGAGAACTGTGCTGCCCAGGCCAGACTTGAGGGAGCATGCAGTGTTTTCTCCCAGGCAGATGACGTCAATGCTTGTCAGTCTGGGAGTTTGAATCATTGATTCGACATGGGCAACCATGGAACATGGTGGAACTTTGCAACAAGGGCAGACCTGTTCAAGCCAGGAGACCGTGGTGGTAAAGGATGGCGAACCCGCAGTTGCTGCTCCGCTCTTCCTGCCTTGTGGTACTGCAGGGATCCTTGGGCAGCAATGCGTCGTTTTTTCGACTCGTCCGCGTGGGTGGTCGCAGGCAATACACTCAGCGGGGACTTGAGAGCAAGCGACAAGTATCTATCTATATATACGTATATATATATATATATATATGTATATATGGTCACGCCCCTCCCATGATCCACCCCAGCCTTCTTGTCAACTGTTTGTCTACAGTACTATGTCTCCAAATGCTTTCTTCGAAGTCCAAAACCATCGGTATTTGCGAGGGTTTCTACACTTCATATATGCTGACCTCTACTTATTGTGCTCCTTTTTGATATATGTAAACCAACAAAAACGCAAACCAGGATCTGGTTCTGTGTTCGCGCTATTGGGAAGAAACACCTGATCTCTTCACAATTAAGAAAGACAGGAAGAGTCAGTTGTTTTCTCTCAGTTGGTCATGAAACACAAAGGAAACCTCCTTAGCCAATAGTGGCAGGAAGTCAACGAGCTCTTACTATCTGCCAATAAACAACAACTAATGCTGAATGTTTCGGAGAAGACGTGGCTGGTCTCCCTCCACCAAATTCCACATACAGTCTGAGAGATGTACAGTTTGAATAGACACAGATTCTTTTCTCTTCAGACCACAAACGGTAAGGACAACCTCTTCAGTGAAAACAAGCATAACAGTGGTATGTTGGGCTTACTAGCAGCAACACTAAACAGAGGTGTTTCCCAGCTAGCCATAAAACAAAAAATGAAGCCTGGGCTCCTTATGATACGTGCAAAGTAGCCGAAGTAGCCTCCATATATTTTCATGCTTCAAGGGAACCTAGGACACTTCATACCTTCCAAAATAAGACAAGGGGAACTCAATCGTTCTTTCTCAGGTAGTGCTGTTTTCTTTCATTAGACATCTTGTTTCATCACAAAGAAACACAATGGCTGGAACTCAGTGGCTGGAACTCAACGAGCTCTTACAATCTACCAATACCACAAAGTTTAATCGGAGTGTTTAGGGAAAGAAGTGGTCTCCCTCCAAACTTCAACTCCGTGGGAATTAAGCATGTGTCTGGAAAGCATTCATTGTTCCTATGAACACATTTGCTGTTTTTTATTAAAGATGCCAGACGATCTTGGCTCAGAACACAATCGAGCTCCGTTGCACCGTGCTACTCGCACAAGTGATAAAGCTCCTGCATTCTTGAATGCAGCACGAAACAGCTCCAAACCTCTCCTCACAGCCTCCGAGCAATGGCGGAAACAGATCATCTGTTGTCATTATGCTTCAAGGAAAGCAATAAAACACTTGACTTACCTCCTGAGCAAGGCTGACCTTTGACTCGGCTATGGTTTTGCTCGATGAAAGAAGAGTTAGTACCGCCAGTAAACGAAGCAATTGAACGCTCATTTACCAGATTCCCACTGTCGCCTGAATGGTGCCTTTTTCCTAGTATTCAGTTTGAATCAGGGAACAGGGAACCCCAAAAGTAACAAGGCAAACCGGTACTATTGGGGAACTCACTTTATGTGTAATGATATGAAATATCGGAGCTTATCAGTTTGTTTAGTTCATGAATATAAAATACAAGAAATACTTCTTCTTTGTTGAAGCAACTGGCAAGGAGTCTAAACGGTTAGCAAGATCATACCTCGTTGCAGAAGTGTAACAAAACCTTGACAGTATCTAAACATGATGTAAAGTTCAACGAAAATGTGCACTCGCATAAAACGTTCTAAAGCATCCGCAAACACAGACGGGTTTCAATATTACAAAGTACAGTTGTTCTTCTAATTCTTTGTTTGTGCAAAGCTGAAAACAGCTATGAGTTTGTTCGATGGAGAAGCAAGGGCACAGTGGGAAACTGAAGCAATTGAAGGCTGATGTATGAGTACATGGTACAGCTGTTCATATTACTTTTGCATTTCAGGTTTCAGGAACCTTGGGAAATTCGAGCCTGGCGATGTTTTCGCATCCGACAGTGTTTTTTCGCATCCGAAGTTGCCAAAACCTCGCCAGGCTCGAATTTCACCAAAGTTTGTGAAGCTTGAAATGCGAAACCCTCGCCAGGCTCGAATTTTCCCCAAATCCCCAAAATCCTGGCATCTATGGGGAGTGCCTGGCCGTAGTTGCTGAGACTTTGGGGATTTTGGGGCAATTGGAGCCTGGCGATGTTTTCGCACTTCCAGCATTGCAAACTTTGGGGAAATTGGGGCCTGGCGATGTTTTCGCATCCGATGTTGCCCACCTCCCATGATCCACTGCTTGCAAGAAGCAGCTTCGGGTGGATCATGGGGGGGGGGGTGAGCTATATATATATATATATATATATATATATATATATATATATATATAGTACCCCCCCCTCAGGACCTGCCTCCAAACCTGTATGTCTACATATATGATACCGCACTTCAGTACACATGCGCGCACACACACACACACACATGCGCGCAAACACACACACACACATGCACAAATCTGCAACGTGGATTAGTGCATAATGCAACCATGTCCGTGGAACCGACTACAAAACAAATCAACACAAATCAAAAACAAATCAAGTTTGATTTGCCCCCGTGCTTTGAACATCGAACATCCAAGATCCCACGGAAAACTGTTCCCAGGATCTTCGGTGTTCAATGTTCAAAGCATTGGGGTAAATCAAATTTGATTTGTTTTGATGATTTGTTCCAGCCTGTTTATATGTCTAAAGATAGTAGATAAACTATGCGATATGTTACATAAATACAAATAATGCCACATAGCTATATACACGCGTGCTGAGTTGCAGACTGTCCACGTGCAGATCCGGATGCGAGCTGCAAGTACAAGTGCCTGGACTACCCTTTAGCCTATAAAATACCTTATAGAAATCTTTCCTATATATACGCCCTATAGAATACCTTTGATACGATGCCTTTTAGGATACCCTATAATAACGGTTTCGGGTGTGAGGATCATAAGGGTTCCTATCAGGGATCTAGAAGGGTTCTGTAAGGGTTGAGGGTGTAAGGGTCTACGCACCCAAATAGTAAACACTTCGGCTACTCTATAGAATGATCATAGAGTATCTTGCTTTTCTCCTATATACCCTATATAAGCCTTGTAGAACACCATCTGGGATACTTTATAGACTGTCTTATAAAAACGCTCTATACGTGATACTCCTCGTATACCGTGTGTATACCCTTGAGAATCCGCTTTGGCATACCCGGCATGTCTTAAAACAACCCTATACATGATACTCCCCGTATACCTTATATATGATCCCGGCTCGGCCGTCCCCCCCCTCCCCCCCAATGGTTCCTCTTCCCACCCCTTTGGTGTGGTTGTGGGTTGCTTCCCCCTCCCTGTGATGTGGTGTGGTGTGGTTGTGCTTCCCCCTCCCTGTGGTGTGGTGTGGTTGTGGGTTGCTTCCCGTGGTGTGGTGTGGTTCGGGAGTGGGTCTTCTTAGGCTGGTTCCCCCACTCCCCCCTGTGGTGTGGTGTAGGTTTGGGTTTCCTCCGTGGGTCCGCTTGGCGTGCGAGCCCTCGTGCACAGCACACAAAAGCGTGCACAGTCACACAGATTCGGCTGGGGAGCGTGGGGGGGGGGGGGGGGGGGGGGGGGGTCGGCGAACCGGGAACCGGGATCATATATACCCTTGAGAATCCCCCTGAGAATCCCCCTTGGGATACCCGACAGGAACCGTATAGAACAGGATTTATATAGGGGAGATCAGAAGGAGCCCAAGTTTCTTGCAGCTTTTTGAGCAAGGGACATCTATGAAAGACATGAGGAATAACGGAGAATAGCCTGTGGAATACCCTGCAGAATCATTTAGAATACGGTAATACCTTATAGAATACCCCGTATATTCCCTAAAAAAGTTCCACGGATTTATTCTGCACACAGCTTATAGAATACCATCTGTAATACCCTGTAGAATACGTTGAATAAGACCGCCTCTCTTTGGTACATCCGGTATACCTTTATGCCATATAGAATACTTAGACAGTACCATGTAGGATACCCATTAGAATCCTTTATAGAATTCCTACAAACATACCTTATATAGATAAGAATCTTAAATATGGAAAGCCAGCTTTCCAGTTGAATAGCAACTTTTGGGTAAGGAAGTCCTATGAAGAAATCAGCAAACCAAAGAAAATATGTCCTTACAACTGCCTTATAAAATACCCTCTCTCTGCACCTTAAAGTTTTCATATAAGATACACTATAGAAAACCTTCCCAGATATGGAGAATACCTTTTGTACAATAGTTTATGGAGTACCCTTATAGAATACCTCATAAAACGCCCTGTAGAAACCATCCTTACAGAAGACCGCCTATGCAATAGACCCTTTGTAATTATACCTCAAATATACCTCATAGAATATCCTTTAGAATACCTTCTAAGATCCCATTTACAATAATTCATAGGATACGCTATAGATCACGGTTTTAAAGAGGAACATCACGAGGAACGTGCCGTTTAATAGCGTAGCATACAGAGGGCATTGAACAACACTTCGCGGTATTGTCTTGGTTCGAGCGGTGTTGTGTCGTCGTAGACAGGGAAAACGCTTTTGTTCGGAGTAGAGTCGTAACAACGTCCTCTAGACAGTACAAGAAGAGGCTTCGAGGTAGGTCCTGGGGGGGTGGCACACATATATATATATATATATATTTTTTTTATTATTTTTTTTTTTTTTTTAAATTTTTTTGCCTGTAGACTCACTACTCCTGCTCCTACTCCACTATGCCGACAGGTGGCCCTCCCCCACCCCTGCCTCCACCACCCCTCGCCCTAGCCCTGCCCTACCCGGCTCTTGCTCCCTGGCCCCTGCCTTCACCCTGCTCTCTGGCCTTGCTTGCCAAGTGTTTTTCCAAACTGGAGCGAAGGCTCCTCGAGACAGAGTCTGCCAGCTGCACGAGATCTCCCAAACCGCCAGCCTCACAAGCCCAGGCACTGCAAAGCAGAGCGGCCCCTGGCAGAGAACTGTGCTGCCCAGGACACACAGACTGGTTTGTGACAGGATTTCTTTCAGGAGGCCCTTCTCTTCAGGATTTGTCCTCCAGACTTTGAGAGCATGTGGTGTTTTCTCCCACAGACTACAGACCATGCGTCTCAACACCTCCAGAAAGGGCAGAGCTATTCAACCGCTCATCCAAGACGGTCTGCATGAACACAGGAGGCCGTGGAAGCAACGGAGGGTGCACTACCCGTTGCTGCTCGGCTCTTCCGGCCTAGTGGCACCACACAGACCCTTGGGCAGCAATGTGTGGTTTCTCGACTCGTCCGCGCGGGTGGTCGCAGGAAGCACACCCAGCGCACACTGCTGCCGAGGAGCAATGCGATTCTGTCGGATACACGAATCACGGACATCGGCAAAAGTGGCTCCGACTCTCCCGTATTGGAGGCGGGTTGCGGCCTCGTGCTTCTCAAAGCCGCAGGTTCTGGGACTTTCGGGATACGGTTATCAGGAAACGCCACTAACCTTTGCAATGCGGCGCAGGAGCATGTGGCGATGCAGAACATGCCTGGAACTGCATCATTGCAGCTTCCGATCCCTGCAAACCACGGCAATGCTGGCGGCGATCTGTGCCTCGCCTGTAGTGAGCACCTCGAACTTCTCAGGGCCGTGCTGAAGAAAGCTTCCGCAGGCATGGGGACTGCCCCGTCGCTGCTATGACACCCGCACACGGACCTGCTGGCACCGCAGAGCGCCTTGGGCCGCGATCCTTCTCAAGCTTTTCGGAGGGGTGCTTGCAGCACTCTGCTGCCGAGGAGCCCGGAACGGCAACATGAGTCGGAGGCTGAGCCGTGCTGGCAGCACCTGCCTTGCAGACGCTCATCACTTTGTCTTTGGTGATTCTGGCGTCGGCGAGCCGAGGACGCGCCCGGGCAGAAAAAGCGGCGGCGGCGACAGTGAAGCCAGCACGAGACTGCCCGACGACGACAGCAGCGATTCGGACATCGATGAAGAGTCGACAGGGGAGGAATGGGCCCCGTACGACCTCCTCATGTGCCTGGGCCGCATGTGAACTGCCTGCTTGCGTGGCCTTTCGGTTGCTGTCGGCGGATTCCTGCACACAGCCAGCACATGCTGTGCAACATCCCTGCCTCACAAGCCTGAGGCCGAATCTGTTGCCGTTCTTGAGCGCGGCTTGGCTGCGAAGTGGCCAGCGTTTTGGGAGGACCCTTCGTGCATCTCTGGCTACAGGTCCAGGAGCTGCTGAACTGGCGCCGGCTCTCGCAGCTTACCCGAAGCCCCAAGGCCGGCAGTCCGACACGTCCCACGTCCCGCTGCGTTTTCTTGGAGACCGCTTTGAAACGTGAAAACGAGGCCTTGATAGCGCACGTGGCCGAGGTGGGCAGCATGGACAGGCTCGAATTGGTTGTACTGTGCCAAGTAATTAGCGGTCGCGCTGTCAGCATCAAGCGGTTTGTCGACATCCCGCAGGCATGCTGCGATCATTGCCGCTCACACCGGATCTGCCGACTTTGCATTCTTTCATCAACGAAATTCATGACTTTGTCGATCGATCGCGCTGTTTACGTTTACTGGGACTGAAAGCAACATGAAGCAACCGACGGCTCACGCTGCTGCTGCTGCTGCTGCTGAGCGAGCAAGCCGCGCATTACAGATCAATACAGCACATGGACACGTTTTCAGCCCCACGGTCCGTGCGCAGCCGGTCGTTTCATCCCCGCCTTCCTTGCACCGGCGTGTTGAATAGTTGAATCAAGCAAGTCACGAGCCATACAGTTTTGCCACTTGCACGTCTTGACGCTGTAAACTTATGCCCTGCAGGCCAGAGAAGATTGTCGCTTTTGTGGAGCAGATGAATCTGGTCGGAAGCAACCCGGATACACCCTTCGCAGCCGTCTTTGAGGGCGATGCGGAGCAGCAGAAGTTCTACGAGTGCTACTTGACTTGTTGAAGGTAATTCACAGTCACATGCTGCCAGCACCTCTGTCTTGCCGGCAGTGCATGTAGAGACCTCGGCCGCATCTGCTTCATTCTCAGGTCGGCGGTGGTGTACAGTGCTGGCATCCAAGAGAAAAACCCATTTTGTGCAAATCCACGTTCAGCGCGTTGTTGGCAAGAACCTACGAAGTCTGCTTCAGCACTGCCGGAGTTCGGATGTGGCCGTTGCTGATGCCGCCCTCCTCCTTGTAATGAACCATGCTGCTGAGGCCCTCCATTGTGTGCAGGGACGTATTGCAAAAACCATGCTCGGCATGACAGAAGAACTTGTGGAGTCCAACATTTCCGCCAACAGGGACAAAATCCTTTTTTGTCTCCAGAATCTTGGGATGGTACTGCGTGCGCTGACGAAGCCTCAGCGTCAGAAGTGGGTTTCCCTTCTTGTCAAACTGTTGATGGACGAGGACTTTCCCACAGAGCAAGTCATCTGGCGGTTGAGGCTGCTCTGGCTGGCTGATGACGATCCTCTTCGAACCTACTCAGAAGCACAACGCCAGATGAAGCTTTTCGAGAAGACCAACTCAGATTGGGAGGTTGACATTCAGCTTCTCCTACAGAGCAGCTGCAGCTGAAGTTTGTCTCGAAGAGCCATTGTGCAGCAAAAGAGATCTGCGTGCGCTCGTGCAGCTGGCAACCACCATAAACCTATAGGCATGTGCATGCAGCACGACATCAGCAGATGAGCTTACTGGAACCATTCATCGCCAATCCCACGCTGCTGCCGCTGGCTCGAGTGGATCGCAATAGGTCCTGCAGAACGCGAACCCATTCCTGGCATCCGCCGACGGAAGCTTAGGGTGTAGAGTGCAGGGCTCAGGAAGCTGTAGACCTCCGCGAGATTGAGCAGCATCTTGGCAGCAGCCCAGTTCAAAACCTTGGGCGAAGCGGTGCGCTTCCGATGGTCTAGGGTTTAGTCTGCGGGCGATAACGGTTGATGGTTTTACTACAGCGGAGTGACCCATCGAGAGTGGCTGTCAGTGCGGAAGCCAGGCCCCTAAACCTAGGCCCTAAACCCCTGCACCCTAAGCCCACAAACCCAAGCGCTAAACCCCTGAAGCTCTAAACCCTGACCCAAACCCCTAAACCCTTGAACCATAGACCCTAAATCCCTAAACCCGCTTTTGGAAGACTACATACCAACAGCAGTTGCCAGTATGGTGGCTTTTTCTTGAGCACGGTACTTCGAGAAGACGCTTTTGACCGTTGTTCCTCAGGTCATGTCCTTTCTGCGCCTCAGCAAGACCAACAAGGCTGGTTTGCGCTTGAGCCTTCATCTATGACATGCGAGTCGCAAGCGCAAATCGCACTTTGAACAGTCACTTCTATTTGTGAACGATCGAGCCGATCGTACCATGTGGAATTGAGCATCTACATGGGGGAATGGGTGGTGTTGATGTGTTGTGATGCGTGGGAATGGCTGGTTTTGATGTCTTGTGATGCCACTGATGTGTGTCTCAAACGGGTGCTTTGTGGAGTGCGTTTCGATACCCAGACCTGCGATTTACCAGCGACTACTTGGAGATTCTGTGCCAAAATGTATTCTAGATTGCAGTCAAAAGCCCTTGAAACCCAAGTGTTCGCGACATAGACTGAAATTGAGCTTTCGCGGCTCGGAGGCTGCAAACAGTGTCTATGTGGGAGTTGTAGCATATCCTGATGTATCCTGATGTGTATTCTCGCCACTGATGTGTAAGTCAACGTCCACAGTGGGATCATGCTATCTTTCCACCGAGTGATGTGAGATAAACGCGACGCTTGTACGGTGGTGATCCTGCTGCGACAGGGTCGTGCAAACCATGACCAAGAGGAGTGGAGCACAGTGAAAAGCAAAAAGCAAGCGCAGGCACGGAGTGAAGTCGCAGGGTCGGCAGCGTTTGCATGCAGTCCTGGCAGAGGAGGAGCGTAAGCAGAAGAAAGAAGAGGACAGGAAGCTTAGCACCGAGCATGTAGCTTCCGAAAGCGACTAAAAGACTCGAGGAACGTCTTGAGAACGAGCAGGAGAAGCAACGCCGCGAAGCAGAGAGGCACATTTTGGAACGCTGAAGCATACTCTGAAGCAAGTAAGATACTCTCTGATGCATGATCCGTAATTCACCTCATGTCAGGAAAGCAAGTGAGGCTGGGCGTCCCGGTCCCAGCGGAGAACAAGTCTCAGCCGAGTGAGTTTCTCCTTAAAGACCGACGTGCTTCGTGTCTGAGCTGTGTAGCCTTGTGATGCCGATGCCTGGGGCCCCTCAAGCAAAGGCGAGAAGAATGGCACAGAGTCAGAAATGGCAGCAGGCCTAGTCGTTATCGGCTTGTATGCTGTAGAAACATCGCTTCAAAGCTCTTCGATGCCAGCTTCCCTGCTCTTTGCCGGGACGGAGTCCTGGACTCAGTTGCGCAGCTCATTTCGTGAAGGGACACTGTGGCCTAACCGTTGTGCCGCACAATGAGGCATGATGGGCAAGGCAATGCAGGCAAGGAGCCTTTCAGTTGCATTGTGTAGTCTTGGAGCCTCAGCAACGTGCAGGTACCTCGAGCCAAGGGTACAATGCCTATGACTCACCCAGGCCATGCACAACGCGGTAGACCGTTGCACCCACAACGCATTAGACCATAATCCAGATGTCTTGATCATGCTGGATTGGTCAAAGGTGGGAAAGCCAGAACTATGCTTCATGGGTGCGCCTGCATCTTTCGCCTGCATGCTACATGCGATCAGCACCAATGCTTGGCCGCAGGCCTTCAAGAGCCGGGCAGGGGACGATCTGACCGCCGCTTGTCCCCGACTAGCAAATGAGCGCTGATTCATTTCCTGAGCTGCTGATTCAGCTTCGGATCGAAGGATGGGACGTGGGAGTCCGAAAAGGCGGGCAGAAGATGACTGACAGATTCACTTCATATTTCTGCATAGGTTTGCCCCCACAGGGGACAGGGCTAACTTATGGTGATGAAGGGTGATGGTCCAGGGTTGTAAACACCCTGGGTCATGGACTGTTGGCGGGCATAGCACCAGTTGCTGTGGCTGCAGGCGGCCATGAAAGAGGAGATCCAGACCTTGAAGGCCACATGCTTACACATCGAAAAGGAAGTGATTCTTGCCTGCACTGCTAGCGTGTGCCTCCAGGATCGCGTTGACACCTCGCATCACCTCCTCAACCAGGCCTTCCGCAGACCGGACTTTTCTCAATGTGATGAAGCTACGGCCTTTCGCAGGAGAGAGAGTTTGCCATGCACTCCCATTGGGAGAAGGCGGGCAAACACTCTGAGCCTGTTTTCGCTCGACCACTTGTTGTCGTCATGGACTGCTGGCGGGCATAGTGTCAGTTGCTGTGGCTGCAGGCTGCCATGGCAGAGGAGAACCGGACCTTGAAGGCCAATGCTTACACATCGAAAAGGAAGTGATTCTTGCCTGGACTGCTAGCGTGTGCCTCCAGGATCGCGTTGACACCTTGCATCACCTCCTCAACCAGGCCTTCCGCAGACCGGACTTTGCTCAATGTGATGAAGCTACGGCCTTTCGCAGGAGAGAGAGTTTGCCATGCACTCCCATTGGGAGAAGGCGGGCAAACACTCTGGGCTTGTTTTCGCTCGACCACTTGTTGTCGTCATGGACTGCTGGCGGGCATAGTGTCAGTTGCTGTGGCTGCAGGCTGCCATGGCAGAGGAGAACCGGACCTTGAAGGCCAATGCTTACACATCGAAAAGGAAGTGATTCTTGCCTGGACTGCTAGCGTGTGCCTCCAGGATCGCGTTGACACCTTGCATCACCTCCTCAACCAGGCCTTCCGCAGACCGGACTTTACTCAATGTGATGAAGCTACGGCCTTTCGCAGGAGAGAGAGTTTGCCATGCGGTCCCACTGGGAGAAGGCGGGCTGAAGCCTATGCACACTATCGGATGCATGCTTCTTCCAGTGTGTTTATGGTCAGCTGCGACATGCAGGAGCGCTGGATGCAGGCCTCCCACAGACAAGACTTGAATGAATGTACGTTCTGGTACAATAGCGCGGAGGAGGAGGGCTTGAATTGCAGCTTAAGAATTTAAGATGTGTTCCGATGCATGACAGATATCATCATCAGACACCCGAGTCGATGCAAACCAACATCAGTTTGTGAGCAGTACCACTGCCGCTGCCGCTGCCACCACTACAACGACCACTGCACTACCAGGATCGCGATCAAGGCCACGACCACCACCTGCATCACCACAACGACCACGACCAGCACCAGCACCAGCACTCGCACGCACCACCACCACCACCACGACCGCCCCGGGCTGCCACGGCCGCTGTAAACCTACCCACCCGAACCACGAGGGGAGTGGGATTAGCCAGGTTGAATGGCAGCAGTATGCAGTAGATACTTATGCGACTGGACTGCGTGGACCGACTGTTGCATCTTGCGATCTCGGCAGCCGACCATCTACCAAAATAAGACGGGTGCGCAGAGGACGTGAAAACAAACCACATTAATATGCACCGAATAGTTGTGTGTTCCAATGATTTGTGAATTGGTGCCGGGCCTCGTCGAGCAGCCCCATGCTGAACTTGTATCATGTCAGATGTCCAGCCGACACGGACACATACACTATGTATTCAAACAAGACGAACATGTCCTGGATAGACACTTTCCGCTGCATTTGGCAACCCACCACGACGGCCATTGGGACTGCGTCATAATCGATCTTGTCGGCACAGGCATTTTCTGCATCGCAGACCGAGGCATGTTCCTTGTGCACGCTTCAGAGCGGTAGCGTCACCCACGTGCCCTGTTCTACAGTTCATGCAGAATCGGCTGGCAGGTTGCCCATCTGCTTCAGCGCTCCTCGTCTGGCACTGTTTGAATGTTTTTGCAGTTTCATGAGTCGGAAGTTTCGTTCCCGTCGTTGTCTTCGGTCATGCGGCCATTGTCTACAGGCGTTACAGGCTAAACGCTGAAAGACCCCACCCCTCTCAGCCCAAACCCTGAACCGTGTGCGCTGTCGAGGCTGCTCTAAAACTCAGAGTGGAATGTAGGGACCTGCGGATACATATTGTAATCTAGCCCAAAGCTTCGTGGCACGCATCGGGTGTCAACATCTTGGCTGTGTTTGGCAGGACGCAACCTGTCAACACCTCAGCTGTTGCTGTTGCTGTAGCTGCTGCTGCTGCTGCTGCTGCCAGTCCTTTTGTTGTTTGTGGTTGTTTGCGGTTGCTTGTGGTTGTTTCTGGTTGTCTGTTGCTGTTTTTTGTTGTTGTACGTTGCTGTTCGCTATCGTATGTTGTTCTTTGTCGTTGTATCGTTTGATTTGCTGTTCTTTGTTCTTGTTGCGCATGGGGGGGATAACTGCGCCTACTTTTTCTCTTGCTACTGCCACTGCTGGGTCTGGGGGGGGAGGGGGGGAGGATAATAACGTTCTTTGTTTAACGCTCTTGGTATCGGCCTTGTTTCAACATACACTTTGCTACATACTTTGCTAGTCCGTCGTCATTTTCCTGTTCTCATGGATGCATGCTGCTGCCTTCTGCTGCATGCTCTTTGCATGATTCATGCTTCCCTGGCAGGGATGAATACACTATCGTATCATACCATATGACCATGGCATGTGATTTCTACCCATCTCCACATTCGTATTCAAGCACAGCACTAGTTGAATCCTTCTGAAAGCATAGGCAAATGCCTATTGGTTGACAACGACTCTGCCATAATCCTGCCCAAAAACGCATCGCCAGATGTACCTATCGCAGTTAACTGCATCGGATGAACTTGCTCAGATGAGAAATACTCATCCCAGCTGAATGGAATGTATCACTTGTCGAATCCAGGTACAAATTTAGCCAACCTGTCTAGTGGTTGACAACGACTCTTCCATAATCCTGCCCAAAAACGCATCGGATCAACTTCGTCAGATATGCTTATTCCAGTTCACTGCATCGGACGAACTTGCTCTGATGTATCATGTGTTGCTATCCTTTAGCATGTCCTTTTATGTCTTCTTGCACTCATTCCCTGGCAAATTCTTCTCTTTTTTCATCATGTCATGTCACACAACGACTGTTTCAGTGCAACCTCCGTCCCATGTTGAACCCTGTTTCGTGTGACAGGCGTGGTACTTTGTGTATGTTTGCTACTGGTACTTCTTACCGCATCCAAGCCTGGAAAGGCCGAAAGAGCGACTAGCGTTGGCAAAAATTGCGTTTTAAGCGCTTCCCAACTGTAAAAAGAAAAAAACATGGGGTTAACTTTTGCAACCCGAATGCTTGTTTCATGTGGCAGGCGCGGTAGATTCTAACTTCATGCGTCCTTACAAAGCAATACTCCCCCCACGGAGTTGTTTGTTGTTTGTTGTTGTTCGTTGTCGTCGTCGTCATCGTCGTGGTTGTTGTTTTTGCTGCTGCTGCTGCTGTTGCTGTTGCTGTTGCTGTTGTTGTTCTTCTTCTTGTTTTTTGTGGCTGTGGTTGTTGATTTTGTTGTCGTGGCTGTGCTGTTTTTTCTTTTTTGCCGTGCTCTTGCTGATCGTAGTAACAGTAACTCATGTAACGTGATGGCACTCTGTGTTGATGGCTACTGGTAACCCAGAGCATTTTGAGCCTTGTCGCGGTTGTCAGCAGGTAGGTTGTTTGTTGGATCGCGCAGCGGCTGCATCAGGCATTGCCTATTCGCAGTTGTCGAACGAGTAGCATTCACCTTGGAAGTGGCAGTCAGTGCCTGTGTTTTCGTTCCGTCCTCGTCGTAGCAGCACCCACCTTTTGCTGAAAATATTGTAGTCTACGGAATCCGAATGCAGAAACTTCCCAATATCACCAGCAGGTGGACGCTGGAGCTGAACGGCTACCCGGGCATGCGGAGAGCAACCAGAAGATATCCTCAGGAATGAGCGCAAGTTCGACTATATCAGCCTGACCTACCAAGTACTGAAGACAGACTTTGTGTCAGTGGAAGATTTCTCCCGGTTCCAGGCTGTTGTGGACGACACTCTTTCTATGATTCCCCAGTACTTGTCAAGGGGAGTTATGTGCTATCCCCACGTGGCAGAAGATACATTCATTGTGATCCTACGCATCACGGGAATCAGGATAGCTGTCAACCAGCTTCAATCAGGTACAACTCGTCAGCGGAATCTTGTTCACCAGTGACAGCTTCCTGGGATCCTGTGCGTGTGAAGATTTGCGGATATTTGTAGGCAACAAATGCCTTGGAGCCCATGGAAGGCTCGTGAATATCCAAATTCATGGTACCAAGGGTTCATTTACTGCTTATACACTTTAGGATAGGGCCGGGTTTTGGATACGGGTTGGAATACATACGGTCTGTGATACGGGTTTGCATACGCTTCTGGATACGCCTAGGAATTCTGGATACAGGTTTGAATACGGTTTATGATACGGGTTTGGATACGGTTCTGAATAGTCATAGGAACTATCAGAATTATTCAAACCCATATTGAAACCCGTATTCCGTATTCGAACCAGTATTGAAAACCGCATTCCGTATTCCAACCCATATTCAAACCTTTATCCAAATCTGTATCCAAACCCGTATTCCAACCCGTATCCAAACCCGTATCCAAACTCGTCTTTTCCCTGGGTTTTGGGCTTATACAAACCACTCCAACCCGTACCGCGACCTGTATTCGGACCCGTAAGCAAACCCGTATTGAAACGCGTATGCAAACCCGTATTCAAACCGTATTCCGTTCAGCCCAAGTCGTATTCCCGACCGTATTCTGACATACGAACTCTTGGTCATGGTAGGTCTGCTAACGACAACCAGGCACTGATCGCTTGTTGGTTGGCTCGGCCTTTAGATGACTGAGCCAGCCCAAACCGCTGCGAGCATGTCCAAATGATTTCGAGTTGTCGTTCGGTTTAGTCCTGCTTCCGTGATTGAATCAGGCATGGTTATTGTAGTTGCCTGCTTGTTGTCACCGCTCTGGATTCAGTTATTGTTGAGCTGATGAACGTAAGCAGACAGATTCAGCAAAACATTCTACTTCCAGTTAAACTCCTGCAGTGCCACATTAACGAAGAAGAGTTCATCACCAGACAGGACGAGGTCAGTGTTCTCGTTCGCACTGATTAGGGTTTCAAAAGATGAAAGCACGCCTAGCATGATGGTTGTGCAGCGATGACTTCCCACCAGCCGAAGGATCGCCTGTGCTTTGCTGCAGCTGGGCTGTTGAAGCTTCAACGCATTTTCCAGGTTGGCCCACGGCTGAAAATCAGCGTGCCAAACTTCAAGCGTGCCGTCCTCAGTGTTTCTCAGAGCCTGGTGTACCGGAATTACTGATAAGGTCTACATTTTGGTGTGTTGTTTCTTCATGCTGTGCTCGAGGTACGGATTTTTCTGGCGAGATCGAGAAGCTTGGAGGGCTCCATTCTGGCAGCAGCCGCAAGGCGTCAACAAATCTCCTCAGCAGCGAGGGTCAGGAGCTTCAGCATAAAGCAGAACAGTGTGCCACGGTGGCAGAGTGTATTGGAGTCTGTGCTGGCTGGTCACCTCAGTGTGGAGTTTTCCCAGCCACTGCAGCTTCTGACAGATCCGTTCTGTTCCGCGAAGTGACCCTGACCCATCGGCGAACAGGCACTTACGGGAACTGATTGCAACATGTCAAGGTCTATTCCAAGCCTCGAAATAGGGCGTCAGATCTTAAACGCTGGCTGGAGTTCAGTTCTGGCTCCACGAATCTACCTTGTCTTTCCTGCTTGCAGCTTCGTTTGCATGGTCTGTTGCGGGACGTTGGTTTTGCACCCAACCTTGTGCCAGGTTGAAGGCCTCTGCCGGGTTTCTCAGTGCGAGGGCACAGGACGGGAAAGCAGTCCTTCCACTGAAGCAATTACAACCAAGCTTTTCAGGTGCATGCTCTTGACTGAACCAGTGGAGCATGCCGCGAAGAGCATTCTGCGAAGTTGATTTCAGCAAATACCGCAGCTTGTCAGCGTGTTACTTGACGGAACTGCGGCGCACTCACTAGGTTTGGTACTAAACGGACGTTTCTCGGTGTCTTTCGTTCAGGGAAGTTGGTGGAGGTTTCGACTCGACCCTGACCCGCCGCAGGAAGGCTACCCGGACCGAGCGCCTGAGGCAAGGAGTCTTATCCCAGTTAAGTCGAGACGGCGATCGCATCGCTGGCTGCAGAGGGTTGACTTATGTGGCTGGCCTTGAGGCGGGTGCCGGCGACTTCAATGCGTGGCTTCGCTCCCTGGCCCCTCCAAAGGCAGCCTCAGTTGAGATGGCCGGTCTGAAACTTGGCTCAGTTGTGTTCCCTTGGCAGGAGCAAACCAGCCCTAGTGGAGCGGATGGAAGAGAGTTCCTTCCGCCGAAGGATGAAGAAGATGCCAGGGGGCCTGCAATTCACTTTCATTTTACCGGATTGGTGAGTGAAGTCACGGTGTGAGGCGACTGCAGGTCTTCCGCTGGAGGCTTTTGCAGCTCGGTTGCCTTCTATTTTTCTCATCTGTGACGATGCGATGTCTTTGAGCGGAGCATCTTGCCAAGGACAGTCCGATGGACTTCGAGGTCCACACGCCCGAGGCTCGAAGCTCCATACCCCCACGGCGAGATCTGCGTATGCAGCTGCCCACCTGGCAGGAGTGGCTTGCACTCTGCAAACAGGGCCCGACCGCAGGGAAGCCTCAGGCTCGTCTGGGACTGGCTATTTTGTCGATGACGCCTGTGGTGTGCCTCCCGACGAAGGCCGCTGTCCTGCACTATGCAGCACAGGAATGGCGAATGTTGCCCTGTTGGGTCTTGGGTTATGAGGCCTGGCGTGTTGGATGCCTCATTGCGGATTTGATTTGCAGCAGCATGTAGCGTATGCACGGGTTTCTTAGTCCCAGAACTCAGTGGTTGTAGAACGGCAAGGCAGCTTCCTCCCGGTACATCGTTGAGCTGGAGGATGGATCTCGCAAGCAGGTGCAGCAAAGCACTGTCAGTGCACAGTTGAGTTCTAGCTGACTGAGGTGAAGAGACTTGCGCTGCGCTTCAACGAGGAAGATGCGCAGAATTTCGCATTGCGGGCAGTGGCCTGAGAGGGAGAACGAGTCGACCAGCAGCCATGTCTATTCTGTGAGCTTCTCTTGTGCATGAGGTCGAGACTTGCCGAGCGAAAAAGGCGCACTGCGAACTGCAGCAGGTGCGAAGACGCGGCGCGATTCGAGTGAGCACCGCTGGTATTTCTGTGAACCTGCTTGCAGGCTTTCATCCGGTTTATTGAGTCCCAGCCGGACGAGCTCGTGCATCAACTGCAGAAATGGCTGTGTTTCTTCGACACCTCCTTGTGGGTTCAGACTGTCAAGACGCCTCGTACGGGCATCGTGAATTTCCGACATCTCCCATTCGCGCTCAGCACATCATCGTCCAAGCCGCATGCCAAAGACAGAAAGCTGAGACGTGCGAAGCGCATTAAGCATCGAACTTCAAGCAACGACACGGAGGCAGATGACGTCAAACTTCGAGGAAGTTGCTCTGACAGTCCGGCTTGCACGTCGGATCTAGTCAGAAGCGAAACCGTTCACCACAACGTATCGGATGTCAGGTTGTGCACGAAACACTCAACTGTTGACCGGCACCGGAGTGCCCTCGAAGGTTGGCCCGCAGCTGCAATGTTTGCCAGTGAGGTCTCTTCTATGTTGCGCGACCAGAAGGAGCGCTTCATCCGACAAGGCGGGTGCTGCCATGGAAACGAGTTAGGGCCAGGGCGTGGATCTTGCAATGTCCCCTCTTGCTTCCCCTTTTGCTGCTCAGGTCTTCATGGAAGTCACCTTGAGGATGCTGGCAGCTTTGTGAGCCCGGAGCTTAGTGGCCTGGCATGCCTGGGGAGCTTCTGGAGCTACTGTACCCTTTTTTCTGGAGGCCAGATTCGTGATCTCATCAGAGAGATCGAAGAGCCCGGAGCCCCGGTCCATGCTCTTTGTCACAGGCGCATCTCTGGTCTCTGCACGACTTTGTCAGGAACTACGTCCTCTCGATGAAGTTTGTTTCCTGGCAGCAAAGCTTTAGATTCCCTGCCTCTTTTCCTGCAGGAAGCAAGGTCAAGCCTTCCAACACTCCGGCACAAATGCAATTAGACCGGATGTCCGCGACCTTCCCAAGTGCTGTCAAAAGGAATGCTGGGTCCTGGGGCTTTGGGAATTCGGGCCGGAACTTCGACGCTACGTGCACGGAGGCGAAGGTGAAGAACGATCTAATCCTGGAGATGGGCACTCCGCCTTCCGCCCAGTGATGTCACCGAGCAGGAAGACCGCCCCCAGCCGCAATCCTCCAGGTATGCCTGTGTCCGGGATGACACGCCCTTCGCACCCTTGCTGCTTGGCGAAGTGCCAACTTTTGCTCCAAGTCCTTTCGGTTTCCTGAAAGCTGCTGAGGCTAACGAGCTTCCTGCCTACCGAGCCGCCTCAGTTTGGTCTGGTGGCCCACCAGGACAAGTTGTAGTTGCAGCATGCTGCTTTTATTCCTGTAGTCAGTGGTCTTCAAAACAGATTGAGTGCCCGTCCGAGACTTCTCTTCCATCTTCCAGGCCGCTGAGGAGCGAGTCCTGGAGATCGCGGCGCAGCTCGTCAAGCAGCCGACGATTTCCAGAAATGTAAATGTCGCCAGCTCAGGGGAATCTTTTTGGCATGACACTGCAGAAAATCCGTGCACGGTCGTCGCGAAAACATGAGTTTGTGCTCAAACTGTGGTCGCAGACGGTGTGCGCGATTGCAATTTGACTTGCACTGCATTCCAAAATGAGGTCTCCGAATTGTAGGTGAGTCTTTCACTAGGGGTCACCGTCAGCAGCAGCTGTGCTAGGCAGCTCGACCCTGATTCCACTTTTTTTGGCCTTAACCCGCACTCCGGCGATGCCATGGCAGTTCCGGTTGCGGGACATCGGAGGGGTGCCACTCGGATCGGATAGCTTGAGCTTTGGTTCTGTTGCGATCGTGAAGTCCAGGCCTTGACCCGCAGACGTTCCGTTTGCGCAGATCGAAGCAAGTGTGGTCGGGTAGCTATCACGAGAGCATAATATCAGCTTGCAGAGTCAACCCCTGACGGTCATGATAAGGACCTCGTTAAGCTCTGCTCCTGCATAGATTGCCTGAAGCGCCTGTGCGTCCTTGGGACTTCCTTTCCGAGCCATGGGGCCCCTGAGCGATGTCGAGTCGGACGACTCATCCAGCTCTTCTGGGTCCGCGGTTGCGGTTGGGAATGCTGTCTCTGGTTTCTCAAAAAGACTGCGATGCATGGTGTTTCTCGGAAACCCTTGAAGGCTGGAGAGTCGACGACGACGGAGCTCAACGTTAATCGTAGCACCTCGTCCTTGTTTTAAAGTTGCCAACTTGAAGCTCAGCCTGCAGCAGTTCATGTGCATCTTTATCACGGCCAGCAGATGCAGATAGGTTGTGATCCTGGTGCTTACCATCGGCCTATTTGGCACTTTGACGTTGGTACCGGAATTGGTGGCTTCAGGAATGCTCGCATATTCGTTTGGGCTTCGACATGCGTTTGACGTGGATCATATCGCCGCTTTGCCTTGCTAGCAGCATTTTCTGATGAAGCGTCGACACTTCGAGTCCTTCTGCCACTGCCACACCAAGTGCTCCTCCCCCTAAATCCGGAACGCCCTGCCAGTAGTTTTCAGTAAGAGATCTTCGTGTCTTGCAAGGCTGCAATAGACAACATCACACGAAAGCTGACGGTCAAGAAGAGTAGCCCGCACACGGTGGGAATGCTCTCTGGCTGACTCTGTGAATTCTCCGCTGTCACAGCGGGTGTCGGAGTAGTTCGGAGGATAATGTCGCTTAATCCGCAGGGCTTAAGCTTCGCACCGCTGCTGTCACCGAGGTTCTTTGCCCTTGGGCATTCTCTGGTGGTTTTGCTCGCCTGCTGCGGCATCTTGTTGACGAAGAGCTTCATGAAAAATATGCTGAGCACCTTCCACGCATATGGCAGCGTGTTTGGCCTGGCAATTTCTTCAACTTTCCTGCTGGCCCTCGGGATCCTCAACTTGTACACGGCTCGGCAGCTTTGGATGGAATGGAAGGGTCGAGGTGGCGACCACGGCCATGATGCAACTATGGGCTTGTGGTTGAGATGTTGTCCACGGCTGTTCCAGGCGATTTCTAAACCGTGGCACATGTTGATTGTCGGATTCTTATTCGGACTAGGCTTTGACACTTCCACGGAGGTGGGGCTTTTGGGCGTGGTAGCCGTGTCACATGGCCTCGCTGCGCCCGTCTGCATCTTGCTTCTGCCCTTGCTCTTCATGTCTGGAATGTGTCTCCTTGACACTCTGAATGGCTTGATGATGGCATGGATCTATCGCACATCTGCAGAGGACTGGCATGTTTCGTGGGGAGCGCTGTTTGTGAGAGCTTGCGATCCATCGCTGCTCACACTCGTAACTGTGAGGATGACAAGAAGAAGATCTACTTCAATTTGTTCGTCACCGTGACCTCAGGCTTGGTAGCTATTCTCGTTGGGCTGATCGAGATGCTGGGTTTTTTGGCTGAAAGGGCAAACCTGCAAAGCTGGTTCTTCCGGTGGATCCAATCTGCAAATGATCACTCTGAGCTTCTCGGAGCAGGTGTCGTGTTGATATTCTTGGTGGCCATGGCAATTGCATTGTTCTGTTTCAGGAGGGTGTTCGGCCAAAGTGCGGCACCTGCACAGTCTTCCGTGCACAGACTAGAACGGCCTGTGCAGTACGTTCACAATGTAGAGTTCGTCGATCGATCGGCCGTCTGAGGGGTGATCTCTTTCTCCAAGCAAGACAGATGTCTCTTGCTCATTGCCGACAAAAAGTGCTGAGCAGGGAACAGGCCGTGAGGTTTTTGCAGGATGTTCTCAGAGAGTGGATCCAAGGGATGCCTTGGCAGAGATGTCTTGGCTTCCCGATGCAGGGTTTCGTGACTATCTCTGTATGCGAAAAGCACAGGTTACCACATGGCTGAAGGAGAATGGCGCGACTTGCAAGCAGGTTCGCTGCCCGACAAGCAGTCTCCTTATCAAGTAGTATGTTGTGGTTGTCACACTCTCCCAACTTACATAGACCGAGTAGTTGGTAGCGTTCTTGTCTGTTGACTTCTCATGCTGTGCATATTTTTGATATGGTCGTCCATGATGATGACTGTGCAAGCTCCTCATGTCTTGGATTCCTGGATGTCAGCAGCTTTGTAAACTGTAGTATGAAAAGTTGCTAGTCTTACTCCTTGCTCTCCTCACTGATCTCGTGTTTGCTGCTCCACTGCAGGCATGCGTTCTTTCTGCAGGGCGCGCATCTCCAACTAACATCAATGCGTGTGCATTTTCCGCACCCGCTCGCACAGTGCAGGGTGTTCGTTCGTTTGATTTTGTCTTCTAGGGTCCCAGTGCAATTCTTAGGCTTTGCCGTACATATTCTCAGCTAGGTGCATGTGATTGATACGGATAGATTTGTTGAAGTCCTTGGCAGTGGTTCAACTCGTATGACAGTGGCAAATACGAGCTGTTTCGAATGCCCAGCTGTTGAGGGCTAGAGCGGGCTATATGACTGGCTTCGCCATGAACATTGATGTCGGCTGTTGATAGGCATCGCTTCTGAATGCAGAAAGGTGCTTCGCTTGCTTCTGGGAACCTGGATGGCGCTGTGTGGTGGCAGCCTCTATGCCTTCTCCAGGTTGGCGGGGCCAACGGTTGTGAGGATTGCAAATTCAAGAGCCAGCTGACTGCTTCGTCTACCAGACCCCTGTGAGTCAGAGTCTATCCTCGAACGGCGTGCTATCTTTCCCAAGCCGGTCTTCAGGTTCGAGGTGCAGATCATGACCAGATGTAGTCTGACGGCGCAGCAGCTGGACGTCGTCTATGCGGCCGGTCAGGCAGGACGTGGGACTGATTGTAACAAAGCTTAACATCTCCGCTGCTATGGAGTGTACCTGAAACGAAGCTGCAAGGCCGGTGTGGGCTTGGGCATCGTTCCGGGCACCCTCTTCGATCTGTATGGCCCGGTGGGGACAAGCCTTTATGGTGGCTCCCCTAGCTTGGCCCATTTTGAGATCCTGGGATTCTGAGCCCTGAGCCCATAAGGTGCAGCCTTCACAGCCGCTGGGAACCTTGGCCTCGCCAGCATGCTCAGTGGCGATCAATGTGGAGGAGTCTCTTCCTTGGCCACGTGGTACTTCCTGGTGCAGCAGGTGCACCTGGGAGGATGCCCGGGGACTCCTGAAGAATGGCCCGCCGACCCGGCGACCCCTTCCTGCTGTGCCCACAGCTTTCCAATGACTTGGGACTTGTGCGGTTACTGCCTTGCGTGTAATGAACCGGTTAGATGCTTCCGCTACAAAGACACCTGATGCGGAAAACGGCCACGTGTAAACACATGCAGTAGATGCTAGAGGTGGACGTTCTGAAAGACCACAATCCCTGCAGCTGGCGGCATTGGTCCACTCCTACAACCTAAGCGTGAGCCCGGCATGATCCAATGGTTGATGTTGGAGTCGTATCTACCGTAGACAGGCAATCTTAACAAATCTCCGGCTACTGTTCTGCCTTGGCTCGTGCAATAGTACGAAGGCATGCGAGCGAAACTACTCACATGCGAGAGGCTGATGCAGGCTTGGAGAGTCACAGCAGGAGCAGAAGCCACACGTGGTGATGGGGTTGGGAAACCATGCAAGGTTGTGTATGGCTGCCACCAATCCAACGCTTTCCAAAATGAGAGTCGACATGCGGTCAATGGGTTGATGCAGGATGTGTTGAAGCTTGTAACTCAGCAGCTTGCTTGTTTGCTGGCGGAGGGCTCCGTGGCAATTTTTCAAGCCGGCCTCTTCACGAACATCGTGGAAGCCCCGCCAAAGATGCAGGTGCCCGGCAGGAAGATTTGGACAGTTGTTTACGTCCTTCTTGCCACTGGCAAGTGCCATCGAGGCCAAAATCACGGCTAGTCCAATGTGGGCAGTCTTTTCCTTGACTCCTGCGACATCTCAGTGCTGAGGGCATTATCACCGGCATCGTTTCTTCTGGCTACGGCCTCTCTGCTGCCTTCGTCACTCTCATCTTCGCTTTCTTCCAGGAGGACACAGCGCAGCCACAGAGTTCATCGGGCCTTGAGATCACGGCTTTCTGTTTGGTGGCATCTGGGTGCTCATGCCAGGGACCTTTACAAACACGGCTGGCAGAAACGAAGGACAACCTTGTACGTTTGAGAACTTCATCGAAAGAGAGCATGATAACAACAGCAGGACTATCAAAAAGAAGCTCTACTATACCTGGCCCAGCTTGCCACCTAGGGCCTCGGAGAATCACGAGTTCTGACAGTCGCTGCCCACATCGCTAGCAGAAATATCAATCTCCGGCGAACGATGCACTCACGAGGCAGCAAAGTCAACATCAACCAATGAATTCGATTTAGATCCTGCTGTTTCCGGCGTGAGTGTGTATCAGGATCTGTCATTATATGCCGTGTGTCGAAAGGGCGCAATTCTGATTCGTAATTCGTTGATTTCCGGGTCACTTCAGGCGTAAGTCTAACATTGACCACTCCTGTGCCTCTGGAGTTTGGACCAGATTCGGGCCTTCCTTGTTCTTTGTTGCAAAAGCAACAGCAAACAGTTCACAAAGATACGCCGCAGACTCCCCCCACGCCCCACACCCTGCATGCACAGAGTTCAATCCTTGTCAAAATTAAATGTGAAGCTGCAGGACTTGGATGCCTACTTCAAGGGAACTGCATTGCTTTTTTCCGCGACTGGCCTGGTGGCAGCTTGCACTATGCCGTGCCGAGGATGCATCGTGTTCCGGGTTAGCGGCACGAACCTAGGGACCTCTACGTCGAGGTGATGCCGTGTTCTGAAAGCGCAAAACTTTGGGTACGAAAAAGATCGCTCTGGCAAGGTTGCTTCGTGGTGGGTCTCGTGCAACAGCCTATGGTCGCTTAGAACACAAGGACGAGGCGTGTAGACTGGACTGTCTTGTGGTGGATGGATGCAGAACCCCCTCGCTGTGACCTCGAAAGGCAGGGGGACGCTCACCACCACCAGCAACAACGTGACTAGTTGCAAGCAAATAGCTACATCTGCGACGTTGGTTAAATGTGGTCCTGGACACGTTGCTGAGTCTTTATCTTGATCGATGCATCATATTGGTGATGATGTCTTCTACTTTGTGAGGTATGGGCGCCAAGAGCAAGAGGAGCTTCCGGAAGGCGCTCCTGTTCCTGCATCTTCTTCACCATCCCTGAGCCGCTGCGATATCTTGTGCTGCACTTACGGAACTGCTGCGTGTCTCGCCTTGTCTCTAGGTCTGTTGCTCCAACTGGAGAACCATGAGGCATTAACTTCTTACCATCTGGGGACTAGTCTCGGTGCTTCCTTCTGATCAGTGTGAGGTTTTAACGGTTGTCTCAACATGTATCTAAAAGAAGCGAGCCAGGAGGGGATCGATGAGGGAAGGAAGGATTCCAGAACGCAAAAGACGCCAACAAGCGAGCCTCCAAGAACAAAAGATCCCGATCCAGACGACAACAAGCATATCCCAAAAAATTGCTAAAGTGGACGTACAGAGTTTCATATCACACAAACCTCAAGCCTGATGTAAGCGTCGAGCCTAGAAGCCGAAATCTCGGATGCCTCAAGCCGCGCGAGAGGTCCCAAACCGCTCCTGCATGTTCTCGCGCTGGCCATGTAGTCTCCTCGTCGCTCACCTGCCGACTTTTCCCAAGGTGCCGAGCTGATTTCTGGCTGTTTCTGCTGCCGTTTGTCCTGGTCCAAAGCATTGGCTCTGGCCTCTACATCGCCAACCTCTCGCTGCGCCCTGGTCTAAACTCCAAGCCTACGGCAGTACTGCACCCAGAACCCGCGTGCTGCTCTCCTCTTCCTGGAGCTTTAGAGGTTCTCGACGCAAGCCTTGCGGAGCCTAGGATCGGGGACTCGCTGGGTATCTCACCAGACAGTCGGCCAGTTTACGTTCGCACCGTGTCGCGAAGCTGATAGTGGAAAGCCCTCGTCTTGCGCCCCCATTTTCCAGTGCAGAAGGTCGTACTGCAACTCTCTGGGCCGCATCTTCAGTGGTCTGGCTATGGACACGTTGGAGCCACGAGGCCGCCGCAACGCGGCAGCGCAGCGATGACGATGAGAGTTTCTGTTCTCTCGTAGGCATCCATCGCTCGGACCATCTCCTCCTGAGTGCTTTTGCGGTGATTCTGGCCTCTGTTGCTCTCTTCCTACTGCCAGAGGAGGCTGGGCGGCTGGGCTGTCCAGGCAGCAGACTTCAACTTTTGTCTGCCGTGTGCAGGTTGTCCCTGCAATGCTTCTGCCGGCATTGGCAGTGATTGCTGCGGCATACGGCTCCAATTGGGCACCTGACTGAGGGACGGGTGTTTGTCGAACTTGCCAAGGCTCTAGCTGGTTTTTGCGACAAGCAAGAAATCGAACCAACGCGAGCATCCAAGGCAATCATGCCGTCATACATATCCAAGCGGTTTTACGGTTCGCACGATCCTTGGCTGCAGACAGAGTGCAGGAGCCACCTGATGGCAGTTCTGGGTCCACTTCGTATGGCGAGTGCTGAAGCTCGCTTCATCAGGTTGGTGTGATGTTTAACATCCACAGTGGCCACATCGCGGTGGCCGTGCTGCTGACATCCTACGCGGTGGGGGGGGGGGGGTGCGAGTGGAAAGACAGGGCATTCACACATCACGTGCCCTGGCGGGCCAGTGAGCAGGTGGGAGGTCTCTACGATACTCAGGCCGAGCTGCAGGGCGAAGGCACTTGGATGGTACCAGTCCCTTCAGTACTCGTCCAAGCTGCTCCCGAAGCGAGGCAGCTTTTGCCACGGTACCACGTGCTGGCGTCCGGCGTTTGCCATGGGCTTGATCGTACAGGCTCCCGGCTTGCAGACTTTCACGGGATATAGCATGATTGCTGTTGGCGATCGCGCTTGAAAAAGCCTCTGCAGGCCGTTGCACTGGCAGTTGCCCTGCTCCTCATGCCAGCTCCCAAGAAACATGCTGCTTTCGGGGTCTGGGGGGGGCGGGGCCCGCAGTGCTTTGAAGTGTGAAGTGCAGCGAAGGTGGAAGGTTCGTCGTCCGCAGATCTCCGAGTCCAAAGCCGCTTCTGAGAAGACCTGCCACGAGAAGTGAGCTCTGCAGAGCCGCCCTGAGCCGCGCCGAGCTCTGCTGAGCCTTGCAGAGCCGTGAAGATGCGGAGTCCTGGACCGACCAGTTGTGCTTCGCGCAGAAGCCCTGGCAGCGCCAGTGAAGGGCAAGCTGGGACCTCCGGGCCTGGCATTTTGTCGTCAAGAACGTGCTCAAGAGACTTCCAGCTGCCCACAGCTGCACGCACGGGTGGAGCAGCAGACAGCAGAAGCTGAGCAGCGTGCGGATTCCATCACTGTTCGGGCCAAGGTGCTCGGCCAAATTCGGCGAGCTAGACTTCTGAGGTCTTGCGTTTCGCTACATGATGAGCTGTGTGCCTGTGTGCAGCGGTACCTTGCCGATGCACAACCGCACCCACGGGAAACTGCGGATGAGAGAAAGCATACGCAGAGCAGTCCTGTCTTCTGCCTGCGACTCGACTTTTTTCGCCCACTTTGCCCGAGATCGTGACCATGGCCGTCTGGCGTCGTTTTGGCGAAGAGGCGGCTTTCACTTCCCCGTCCATTCTTCAATCCATACCTATTCCACTAAGGAACATCGCAAAGAGCACTTGCAAGTAACCTTGCACGTCCTGTTGAGATCCATCGCCACCGGATCCTGGACACCACGCGCTGCGGAAAAGTCGGGGACAAGGGCGCAGCCCGAGGTGGAGCAGCTTCTTTCATAGATAAAGGGAGTCAGAGACCCCAAAGCTGCAGGTCCCAACGGCGCGGCTTGGACCCCAGATGGGCCTGAAAGAAAGTCGGCAAGCCACTCACGGGCTAAGGCGGTGGACCCCAGGTGGCGCTCTTTCGTTCCAAGCGATTTCATCCATCACATGGAGGAGCATCGCAAGGCAAGGTGCTCGATACTTGGAGCGGAGCTTTGCTGAGCTTTGCAGTAAGGGCCCTGCCTTGTCGTCCAGGATGTGGCGGTGATTTTGGAACGCCACTGGAGAGACTACATCGTTTCGGAGGCAAGGGGACGGCACAAGGATGCTACGGCCAGTCGAGGTCTTGTTGTGATGTGTACTGTTTCAGAAAGGACATGACGCCGGAGACGATGTGCGTATGCAAGAAAATACAAACATGCAGTCTAGTTTCTTATTCGTTGTTGTTTGACATGCATGCAAAGTGTGCTCATATACATACATTTATTTGCACAGACAGATAGACAGCTGCGTCTAGCCTACCCCCATGATGGTATATAGTCTCATTGTATGGTTGTGTGTGTGTGTCTGTGGGGAGGCGCTGAATCCTCGTGACACGTTTCTGGACACGTACTTGCGATGATGTCAACACATACAACAGACACGGGAACGGGGAGGGGGTTAGAGCCTGAATCCTCGAGACGTCAGAGTTGTTGTTTTGGACTTCAACACTCCTATACTGTAACAACTAACAACCATGGCACCAGTCACAGGGAATCTTGGGGACTCTTCGGTTTTCCGGATCTTTCCCTGCCGCCTCGAAACTGTAGTCGTTTTTGTGTGCCGACGTCTCTTGAATCCGAAAATGGATGCAGGGATGGGTTGCCCATAAGTGTCACAGAGATGGGTCGTGACGCCCCGCGACTCGTGACTGCCGTTGCTCTGTGGATTGGATAGCACTCGGAAACACTCGGATTCAAGCATGAAGGAATGAAGGAATGCAGGAAGCAAGGAGTTGAGGCGTCAAGAAATCAATGAATGGATGGATGAATGAAAACATGCACCGACTGCACCCTTGCCCCCTCGGCAGCTCCATACTTCCGTCTGACGCAAGAACCGACATTTCAACTTGTCCGTTTTCGAGTTCTGCCTTCTTTCCTCTAAAGTTCCAAAAGTGCTCTCACCGAAAGGCTTCGAAGTGTCTACACGACTACAAGTCCCTTACACACAGTGCTTCAGGGCTTGCAAATGAGTCGTCACTCCAGGTCCTCGACAAGATGTCCGAGGTGAACAACTTTTTCATTGAAAATCCTCAAAAGCACCTGAGGCCTTCTGCCTGCCATGTGCTCCTGGTTTCTTGCAGTGCTCACCCTGCCACCATCTAGGCAGCCGCTTCACCGTGTTTTGAGGAAGCTCGGCCCCCGGATGTTGTTTTCAGAAGTGAGGCAGGGCGAGCCCCGTGCGGTCATTGAAACTTGTGCCACAGCTTGGTGCAGAGTATAGGTCGCAAGGGCAGCTTGCATCTTCTTTGCGGTTGAGGGAAGTGGTTCTTGGCGTTTGGCAGCACCAAAGAAGTCCCTGGATGCCCTGTCTGCAGGGGCTCTGATCAAAGCCGCCCAGAGTGAGATGCACGGTCCTTTTCCCGTTCTTGACATTTGTGCATCCACGGGTCTTTCCCTGTGTTGCAAACGGTCTGGGTCGCGAAATCCGGCGGGGTGTGGTCAGTGTGAGGCAAGGCAGTACATTGAGCTGGGCTCCTCATGTACTTCTGCGGACGGAGGATGCCCCCTTAACGCTGTCAAGACCACTGCTCACAAGTCAAGCCCCGTGTACATGCAGTGAGCAATATGGCCACGGGTCTTTCCTTGTGCCACAGATTGGTGCAGAGTATAGGTCGCAAGGGCAGCTTGCACCTTCTTTGCGGTTGATGGCAGTGGTTCTTGGCATTTGGCAGCACCAAAGAAGTCCCTGGATGCCCTGTCTGCAGGGGCTCTGATCAAAGCCGCCCAGAGTGAGATGCACGGTCCTTTTCCCGTTCTTGACATTTGTGCATCCACGGGTCTTTCCCTGTGTTGCAACCGGTCTGGGTCGCGAAATCCGGCGGGGTGTGGTCAGTGTGAGGCAAGGCAGTACATTGAGCTGGGCTCCTCATGTACTTCTGCGGACGGAGGATGCCCCCTTAACGCTGTCAAGACCACTGCTCACAAGTCAAGCCCCGTGTACATGCAGTGAGCAATATGGCCACGGGTCTTTCCTTGTGCCACAGATTGGTGCAGAGTATAGGTCGCGAGGGCAGCTTGCACCTTCTTTGCGGTTGATGGAAGTGGTTCTTGGCATTTGGCAGCACCAAAGAAGTCCCTGGATGCCCTGTCTGCAGGGGCTCTGATCAAAGCCGCCCAGAGTGAGATGCACGGTCCTTTTCCCGTTCTTGACATTTGTGCATCCACGGGTCTTTCCCTGTGTTGCAACCGGTCTGGGTCGCGAAATCCGGCGGGGTGTGGTCAGTGTGAGGCAAGGCAGTACATTGAGCTGGGCTCCTCATGTACTTCTGCGGACGGAGGATGCCCCCTTAACGCTGTCAAGACCACTGCTCACAAGTCAAGCCCCGTGTACATGCAATGAGCAATATGGCCACGGGTCTTTCCTTGTGCCACAGATTGGTGCAGAGTATAGGTCGCGAGGGCAGCTTGCATCTTCTTTGCGGTTGATGGCAGTGGTTCTTGGCATTTGGCAGCACCAAAGAAGTCCCTGGATGCCCTGTCTGCAGGGGCTCTGATCAAAGCCGCCCAGAGTGAGATGCACGGTCCTTTTCCCGTTCTTGACATTTGTGCATCCACGGGTCTTTCCCTGTGTTGCAACCGGTCTGGGTCGCGAAATCCGGCTGGGTGTGGTCAGTGTGAGGCAAGGCAGTACATTGAGCTGGGCTCCTCATGTACTTCTGCGGACGGAGGATGCCCCCTTAACGCTGTCAAGACCACTGCTCACAAGTCAAGCCCCGTGTACATGCAATGAGCAATATGGCCACGGGTCTTTCCTTGTGCCACAGATTGGTGCAGAGTATAGGTCGCGAGGGCAGCTTGCATCTTCTTTGCGGTTGATGGCAGTGGTTCTTGGCATTTGGCAGCACCAAAGAAGTCCCTGGATGCCCTGTCTGCAGGGGCTCTGATCAAAGCCGCCCAGAGTGAGATGCAAGGTCCTTTTCCCGTTCTTGACATTTGTGCATCCACGGGTCTTTCCCTGTGTTGCAAACGGTCTGGGTCGCGAAATCCGGCGGGGTGTGGTCAGTGTGAGGCAAGGCAGTACATTGAGCTGGGCTCCTCATGTACTTCTGCGGACGGAGGATGCCCCCTTAACGCTGTCAAGACCACTGCTCACAAGTCAAGCCCCGTGTACATGCAATGAGCAATATGGCCACGGGTCTTTCCTTGTGCCACAGATTGGTGCAGAGTATAGGTCGCGAGGGCAGCTTGCATCTTCTTTGCGGTTGATGGCAGTGGTTCTTGGCATTTGGCAGCACCAAATAAGTCCCTGGATGCCCTGTCTGCAGGGGCTCTGATCAAAGCCACCCAGAGTGAGATGCACGGTCCTTTTCCCGTTCTTGACATTTGTGCATCCACGGGTCTTTCCCTGTGTTGCAAACGGTCTGGGTCGCGAAATCCGGCGGGGTGTGGTCAGTGTGAGGCAAGGCAGTACATTGAGCTGGGGACGGAGGATGCCCCCTTAACGCTGTCAAGACCACTGCTCACAAGTCAAGCCCCGTGTACATGCAATGAGCAATATGGCCACGGGTCTTTCCTTGTGCCACAGATTGGTGCAGAGTATAGGTCGCAAGGGCAGCTTGCACCTTCTTTGCGGTTGATGGCAGTGGTTCTTGGCATTTGGCAGCACCAAAGAAGTCCCTGGATGCCCTGTCTGCAGGGGCTCTGATCAAAGCCGCCCAGAGTGAGATGCACGGTCCTTTTCCCGTTCTTGACATTTGTGCATCCACGGGTCTTTCCCTGTGTTGCAACCGGTCTGGGTCGCGAAATCCGGCGGGGTGTGGTCAGTGTGAGGCAAGGCAGTACATTGAGCTGGGCTCCTCATGTACTTCTGCGGACGGAGGATGCCCCCTTAACGCTGTCAAGACCACTGCTCACAAGTCAAGCCCCGTGTACATGCAATGAGCAATATGGCCACGGGTCTTTCCTTGTGCCACAGATTGGTGCAGAGTATAGGTCGCGAGGGCAGCTTGCATCTTCTTTGCGGTTGATGGCAGTGGTTCTTGGCATTTGGCAGCACCAAAGAAGTCCCTGGATGCCCTGTCTGCAGGGGCTCTGATCAAAGCCGCCCAGAGTGAGATGCACCGTCCTTTTCCCGTTCTTGACATTTGTGCATCCACGGGTCTTTCCCTGTGTTGCAAACGGTCTGGGTCGCGAAATCCGGCGGGGTGTGGTCAGTGTGAGGCAAGGCAGTACATTGAGCTGGGCTCCTCATGTACTTCTGCGGACGGAGGATGCCCCCTTAACGCTGTCAAGACCACTGCTCACAAGTCAAGCCCCGTGTACATGCAGTGAGCAATATGGCCACGGGTCTTTCCTTGTGCCACAGATTGGTGCAGAGTATAGGTCGCAAGGGCAGCTTGCATCTTCTTTGCGGTTGATGGCAGTGGTTCTTGACATTTGGCAGCACCAAAGAAGTCCCAGCGACGTGAGGAGCCAGAGCAATCAACTCGTTTTGTAGCGGCTTCATATCCTTCTCGTCGTCAAGATGGTGGCAGCTGTTGATATTGGTGTTGATCTAGACCGGTGAGTCGTAAAGCTGGCTTAGCCAGATTTCTTAGAAAGAACGTCAAGGTGCATCTGTGTTTGTTGATATCCTCTAGGTAAGACTTAACAAGAGCTTTGAAGTTGTGCAGGTGTTGCAGCTTTCAAGGAGACTACCGGAGCCCTCCCTTGCCTAGGTTTGACTTGATCCTGTCCGCACAGATGCGGTGGTTTGTCCAAATGTCCTTAACGGACTGGGCCAGCAACTGAGAAGAGTTGAGAAGCAGTCCCCGAGTCCAGAGCAAGATGATAGGAGTTTGGGTGCTCTGCTGAGGGTCATCTCCCGACCCGCTGAGGTGGAGTTTGTCCGGTCCTTCACACCGAAGGTCAACGAGCCTCTCCCGCCGCGACGCTCAGCCTAGCTGCTCCGATGCTGCGTTTCAGGTTGAGGGCATCGCAGCTTGTTCTGCGCCTCAGGACCCCTCTGCTAACGTTGAGCCTTGAGGCTGTCCATGGTGAGGCAAATTTGTTACAATTGTTTGATGGGGATTTACGACCGCCGATCTTGTCGTCACAGCTACAAACAGTGCACTGCGACAGGTGCAGATAGCACCTCATCCGGACGACCTCAAAATGAAGATTCTTGAGTTGATCGATGATGTGACGAAGGCTGCTGCATCTGCAACAGCTCCACACCTTCTGCCCGCTGAGCCCACCAAAATCTCGCGAGGTGACATCTTCCATCATGAGCATTGAGTACGAGGCAGAGCCGGAGAGCTCCGAAGCGCCGGGCCCATTTGCCATTGCACCTGTGCCAGCTCGTGCCCTTCTGCAATCTGCCCCAGCACCTCATGTTCGAGCCGCTGCCCCAGGGGAAACAGAGTGTGGCAGTGTAGCCGCCTTTGGCCGGATCGCTGTTCCCTCAACGCATCGAGGCTGCAGCCGAACAAGGAGGAGCGCAAAGCCGAGGTGGGGTCACATGCTGCGTCTTCGCTGGCAAATCTGCATGCGGACATGCGTACCGGTGCGAGCGGTCTCGGTCCGAGTTTTCCTCGTCAGGCAGAGGCGTCCGCTTCGCCGGGCCCTCGAGGGCAGGGCAGGACAGAAGGCGTCCTCGTGACAGCATGTAGAGAAAAGCGCGGCGCTGAGGAGTCCTGCGGACGAGGTCCAGCTGCTGAGAGCGGCAAAGGTTGGGCGCTTAGGCAGACGGCGCAAGCCTCTCGCACTGCCTACAAGACCAGGGCGATCGACACAGTTAAGACTTGCTGTGGACGAGGCTGCAACCGCAGAGGTCATTGAAGAGTGCCTTCATGGACCTCGACAGGTTCAGGTGCGGGCGATGAGCTCCACTCTTGAATCGTTTTTGGTTCGTGTCGCGCACCGAAGGCGAGCTACCAGGAGTATGCGTACCTCTTCAAGGAGGAGGCATTCCCAGCTTTTTCGACGGCTACTCAGTGTAACGTGGGCTCTGTGGTTCAGGTTGCGGGTGACATGGACCCACTCGATGTGGAGGCCGTGCGAGTCGCCGCCTCGAAGGGTGACCGGTTGAATATAAGCCAAACCTCAAGCCACTCGTACGCCCGAAGCAACTGGCGGTACCAGATCCTTGATCAGGAAAAGACAGATGCGTACCTGCAGGCAGGATGCTGCATCTGAAGTTGGTAGGACTGCTCGAAGTTTATCTTGGCGAAGCGAGCTGTATGACACTGCAAGGCAGGCACACAGATTGAGAAGCTCATGACCGAGGTGGTGAAGTCCAGATCTCAGCCACATTTAATGTTTCGGTACTTCGGGTGACATTGTGCCTTCCTTCTGCGCCAATAAGCTGCCATCCGGGTCCCATGCAAATCTTGTGGATGAGTTCCGCTTCGCCAGAAACATGCCTAGCTCAATGCAGCTGTGAACTCTTCCACATTGCTAGCTCTGGCAAGGTTCCCTCTGTTCGAGCTGCACTGCATGGACCGGGCTTAGTGGGGTGTAAGGGTTAGGGTTTGAGGGTTCAGGGCTTGCATTGAGGAATTTTGATGTTCAGGCTCCGGTGCGGGATCTGACAAGGATACAGCCTCGTTTTTTGAAGCCAGGATCAGGGGATAGTATGCACTCCGCTCAGAGGTTTGAGGAAGGATAACCACGCTCTACTCCGTTTAGACTTCAGTTTTTGGCGACGGCCCACTTGCCGCTCCTCGTTGTTCAGATGATTGAGTTTTAAGTTAGGGTGGCTAAAGGTTTGCCTTTCCCCACTCCCTTTACGGGTCAGGGGATTTTGTGCCAATCCGCCTCCCGTTTCTGTTGTGAAGATTTTGTCACTCTCCAGTAATGCGTTCAGAAGGGTTTGCCAATTTCTATTCTATTCCATTTGGGTACTTCCTTCCGAGGTTTGCGCCTCTCTGCACTCTTTTCAGGGTTAGCAGTTGGCCAGTGCCTCTGTTGGGTGTTTCTTTTGAAGCTTCGCGGTTCGCGACTTTCAAACGTGTTTGACTGTTGACAGTGTCCGTAACGTTGAGGGCATGCTTAGCGTTTACTGCTCAACATGGGTCGAGTGCCTCCTTCCAGTGTGTAGGGTATGGCACTCGCAGCAAACTGACAGGGTCTTCGCTTTGCCGGTTCATGCTTGCCAATTCTCGATTCCTTCTAGGATTTAGGCTTCTCTCCGTGTCTGTGTGTAACTGCTTGCCAGTTTCAAGGTGCCTTTGGGTTGCAGCTTTTGTAATGCATAGTATAATATAGAAAATATAGTACAATATCGTATAATGTAGTGTAACATAGTATAATACAGTATAATACAGTAATATAAAAGAATACAGTTTAATCTAGTGTAGTCTCTCGTCTTGAAGTGCAGCTCGGCCGCTCATCAACCCTTCTAAGTAGGGATTCCGTTTAAGTATCGCCCATGCCTGTGCTAGCTGCGAATTCCTCTTGCGCTTTGTATCGATTTTACTTTGGTCTTGCGACTTGGTGAATACGGTTGATGTCAGTTTCTCATTCTTGCTCTGAGGTGAACTATATTATGAGTCCCGTGCTCCTTGTCGGGTTCGGGGCATGCTAGTGCTTTCTTCCTTGACAATTAAGGATTTTTATGTTTCGCCTTGTGCTTCCCTCTTGGGTTTTTCAAGTGTTTTAGGTTCAGTGTTTTGCCACTCCGACTGCTTTTGGGGTCTTGAGTCTGCAGGACATCATCCAGCAGATGTCGCAGAGGGCCTACCACCTCGCAGGCTGTTGCCTCCAGACGGTGGCACAGAGCATCCAGGTGCGCCGTGATCCGAGTGAGTGGGCTTCGGCCTTCGGCAGTACTCGGAAGCCGTTGGTGCCAGGAGCGTTCACAGGCTGTGCTCACGGAGTGGCGGGTGACTGAGCGTCAAGCATGTCCGAATGTTCACAGATGAGTGTGGCCGCCGTAGGCACGAGACCCACGAGCACATCCTGTCGAACCCCGAAGATGAAGAGGAGACTTTGTGGCAAATGGTTGTGTGTAAATCACGTGCGCGAATACTACTTTCCGGAGTGTAGAGTGTACAGCAGGTTTTTGGATGTGGTGTCAGGAGTTGGCAAAGCTGAAGCAGTTCATGAGCGACCTGCCGCAGCTGAAAACCAAGTCAGAATCTTATTTGATCGCCACCTGAATTTCAGAGCGCCCTGCACAGATTTGCAAACACAATATAACCTTCAAGGCCACTGATGCAGACCACGCGGCACATCCACACTCAGATCAACATGTGACTGGGACGCGCACCAGACCCTGGCAGTACCAGAGTCGGTATTGCTGTTCTCAGAAAACATGAGCTACTTTGGTGAACATTCGCAATACATTGCCGCACCAAGGCTTGCAGACTTCAGCTTTCAGATCGACAACGAGGCGCGGACCAGATTTTGCCGCTTCCTGAAAAGGGCGGGAATGCTCCTGATCCATCCTGATCATGCACAGGTCGTGGAACGTGCCTTCTCCTCCTTTGCGTGGCCCCTGCAAATCCAAATCGATGTGGGTGACTCTGCAGGGAGACCCAGAGAGGCCAGTTCTGGCACTTTGCCGGGATAGCGGAAAGACAGACGGCACCGGAATCATCATCGGGAACATTATGCTGTGTGACATGCTGAAAATACTGATGGCAGTGCTGGGGGTGGTAGTCCTCGTCCTCGTCGTCGTCTTCGTGCGGCAGCAGCAGTATCAATCGGCGTGGAAGGGTTGATGGTAGCAGCATCGTCAGCAGTAGCAGCGGCAGCTGGAGGACCATCTCAAACGTGATTTGAAGTGTATTCGACAAGATTGCACTGTGCACGACTGTCATGAGTCATGGTGCTTGCTCCTCCTCGCCACCTAGTCATTAACTGAAACCATGCGTCCTGCTTCGCCGTCGCCACAACCTTCTCATCATGATCGCCCTCCTCCTCCTCCTCCTTCTCCTCCTCCTACTCCTCCAAAACAGCAACCTCGTCATCATCATCATCATCATCACCATCACCATCATCATCATCATCATCATCACCGTCAGCACCACCACAATCACCACCCATGACGTCACCACCATCGCCACCATCACCACCATCACCATGATCACGATCATCATCATAATCATCATCATCATAAAAGTGGCCAATAATCCAGATCGCCTCCGCCTCCTCCTCGTCCTCATTCTCTGGCTCCGACTCAGTGCTAGCTCACCGTCATCGTCGCCGATTCGACAACCCTGTCGAGAGAGTTGCCAAGCAACAGGACGAGAAGGAACCTGTAATCGAGAACAGCGGAAGATGGATGACGCAGATTTGTTTAAGAAAGGTCCGGGCATTACGGTACATGGCACAGGCAAGTGGTTCTGATTGTGCCTGTCCAGCTCTGAGGAACGAAGCCTGGACTCTCAGAAGCAAAAGTTCATGGAGAAGCTGGACCAGGAGAAAACAGAGCAGCTTGACTGCCTCGAAATCATCATCCTGTCCTCATGTATTTCGTCAGAACCTGCACTGAAGGTATGAGCGGGACATGGCTAGCTACCAGGAGGATTTAGAATGGCTCCGAGGTTTGCACCTGGGCTGCATGCATGCTCCTGTGAGCCGGCCATGGGAGTAGTTGGGTGCACGTGACCGACGCTCACGGGTCATTAAGGAATGACTATTCCCTGGCCATGAAATGCGCTCATCGTATCTACTCTCTGAAAGACTGCCTCTCAGCATCCGGTACCCGCAGGGGGACTCTACATCTTTGCAATCCTTGGTAAGCATCCCTGGTCCCATGCGCAGGAGAACTTGGAGAAGGCCGTGGTGCGGGTGCAAAGCTTCGTGGACAGAGAGCGGCTGTTCGGCCGGAGCCTAAACGCTTTTGCTGTGCGATAACTGAGCAATACTGGTGGCAAGGTGCATGGAACAGACACGTGTGGCAATTTCGGTCCTAAACCCTATACCCTCACATAACCCTGAACCCAAAACCCTAAATCCTTTACCCTAAACCCGACAGAGGCATGGAAGTCTCCGACTACTCTGCCGTGGAGGTTATGAGCGAGGAGCGCAACTTCTCGCAGCTTCGAAACACCTCCCTCCTACGACCCTCGGTACTCGGCCGTACTACGTAGGCCTTCGAGCCGTACTACAAGCTGTGGAACAGTGCCATTGACTTCAAGCACTCAGAGGCCTGCGCCGTCGGTGCCATGCATGCTGTTCTTTGGGGTGGGTGGGTGTGCGCGCAAAAGTTCATAAGCGACACTTATTTCTGATTTGCTGAAGACTTACACCGAGCAATTGGACCGCATGATGAATGCAGGTGTCATGAGATGTCCTGGGTTTCGCTGACACATGCGTGCTGTTCACATCTGGCCGCATGTAGCCAAACAGATTCCCTCCACGTGCACAGCATGCCCCAGCAAGTACTCTAAGGAAGTAAGAGTGCTAGTCCTCAGACCCTTCAGCCCTTACGTCTACTTTAGTAGTAAAGCAGTAGGCTTAGCGACGCTTAAGCCCTTCAACCCTTCCCAGCCCGGAGGGCTTTCAACCCTCGCTGAGGAACAAAGGTCAGCAAGCCCAGAAGCCCTACAGCCCCATATTGCAGGTCTTGCAGGTCTCGTAAAATAGTAGTGTTGTGTGACAAAACATCCTGACAATAAAGCCTACTGCCCCCAACCCCAACAACACACTCATACTTAAACCCTTGCAAGAAAGAGAAGAAGCCAAGAAGAAAGGCGCCTCCTGATATCCGAGGAGGAGTGGCTGCAGGGAGTGGTCCAGCGCCTGGTAGCCGAAGAGATCGAATCAATGGTCGAAGAGCAGCCGGGGAGCCCAAAAAGGAACAAGGGGAGCTCGAGGGCTTGGGAGCTTTTGTCGGGAGGTAGGTTTTTGTCGTTTTGGGGACTTGGGATGAAGGGGTTTTAGGGGTGTATGTGGGTTCGCGGTGTTTAGCAGTTGGGCGGTCAGGGCTGTGAAGTCTTTGGGGAATTTTTTAGGGTTTGGGGCGGGCATGTGGGGTTCTCTGAGTCGGGATGTACCTCCGGGGAGGCAAGAATCAACCCGAGATAAACCACGGAAACTCCTCCACGACCTGTGTGTAACGCTTCGCGGATTTCTCTTCGCCTCTGGTATGCGTGCCAAGGTACAAAGAGAGCTATAAGACCATGAAGCAGTTTGAAGGCAATGAGAATCCGCTGGCAGTGGCCAAGGATGGAGCAGTCGGTTTTGGATTTGCGGTTTACGGTTGGGGGTTTGGGGTTCAGGACTCCAGACGAAGCGTTGCGTGCTGCCAGGATCTGCGAGAAGAAATCTCGAACTTCCGTGCCAACATGTCGGGCGGCCTGGGTTTGAGTTGATTTATCTACAGTGCATGTTCGTCCTTCCGTTCGCCAGGCCCGTCATCCGTGCCCTGTGCCAGGAGGCTTGGGAGACAGTGCGGGCAGGTTGGTAGTTGCTGTTGTCCTACCTCAAGAGCGCAAAAGGGTGTTATCTCGATTTCCGGCATTTCGGCTGAGCCAATACAGGGGTGTGTGCGTTTTTAGGCATCGGGAGAGCTCCAGTAAGAACTGACATGACTCAAACCTGGAACGGCATATGGCATATGTCGGTGGCATGTTGGAACACATATTATACATGTCTGCAAGCAACTCACCAGCAGGCTTGCTGAAGGGGAAGGGTAGGGGAAGGAAGCACAATTGACTCCGCAACAAGAAGAATCAGAGCGTTGAAAGGCCTTCGAACCACGGCACTTCTCGGATCTTTTCGAAGAGCTGCGGATGGACATGGACATGGAGGTGCTTGCCTGCTTCGCGGTCGGTATGTTTGCTCCGGCCATGAAGCTGAGCGTCACTTCCATGTGTGTTGCGTTTGCTGTCGAGTGTGATCATGCCCGGCTTGCCACATGGGTCATTGCGTTGGTTCATGTGGTGTGTGTCGCATGGAAAGCGCGAGCAGGATGGCATTACTTTGCAACAAATGCTGGAAATCGGCATCCTGGACCATATCGACACCCTGGAAAGGATCAGTGTCAAGGCAAGCAGACACCCAGATACTGTCCCTTGTGGCTAGACATACTGCAGCCCGTTCTGCGAAGCTTCACGCGCTCCTGTTGTCCTCAGGCGCAAAAGGAGCACGGCCTGAAGACGGCCTTGGCCACCATGAAGAAAGAGCCAAGCCCTAAGTCTCCTGTTCCTCGTTACCGGGCCATCGGTACAGGCTTGAAGTCTTTGCTTCAAGCTCAGGTGGCGTCCAATCGAGTTTGGCCTCGTTCCACACAGAGCTGGCACTCATATGGTCAGAGGAATCGATGAGATCCAGGCTCCTGCAGCTGCCGGGCGATGTCTGGATGCATTGACTGGCGCATCAGCAGAACATACTTCACGTCGACCGCTGCAGAGTTCTTCGTCGCTTTGCAGGGGGCGGCATTGCCGTGCAGTCCTTGTGCCGGCAGGCCGTGCTCGACGACCACATTGTCAAGTCTATGGGTATTCGTGGCTCTCCATTCGTTGCGCTCTCAGAAGCGCGGGGCAAACTCGAGCGGATATGTCAGAGCCAAGAAGCTTTTGATGGAGCGTTGTGACCGTGAGGTGGAGCCGATCGAGAAAGAAGTGAAGGACTGATCGGGTTGGCAAGTCTGCAGTATTATGACAGCCACATGTACCATGCATGGTATAAGCTTCCACGATATCCGAGCGGCATGGTTCAGGGTATTCGCAGGATTGGCTGTTGAAGCTCACCTACATCCAAGACCTTCTGGAGCAGTGGCTGGCGATGCAGCGTTCATGGCTGTACCTGGAGAGCGGTGCTTAGCAGCTGACAGCATGCAGCGCACTTCGGACTTTGTCCTTTTTTCCGAGGCCGATCTTCAGTTCGGATGACATCCAGAAGCAGCTTCCCAGTGAAGCCAAGCGCTTCCAACAGGCAGAACGGTTTCCTGTGGAGAAGGCATCTGGGAGTCTGAAGAACCAGGTCAACATCCTCTGGCGAACTACAATGGAGTCCGTTGCCGAAAATCCGAACGTTCTGGATGCCCGTTCCTCATTCAACTCTGTGACAAGATAATTTGCAGCTGTGGCTTCCCTCCATTTGTTCTTCCGCTTGCCAAGCAAGGTCTCAGAGATCGAGAACCTGCTTGCGAGCTTCATTGATGCCAACAAAAAGCTGGATGCAATCCAGAAAGGCTTCAGACATGTCCAGGGCACTCTCACGGCCAGTTCCTGCCACGTACTCACCCGATGTTCCTTATGCTTCTGTCTGAAATCTCATTAAAGCTTCTTGTCTAAATGGACGTGGTCGCCAGCGTCGGTCGTCGGTTGTTCAGACAGCACTAGCAGCGAGTGCAGGTGTGTCTGGGTTGCTGTGCATGAAGCGGGACAGGTCTTCCACGGCGTTGGATTCGTTTGGGTCGTGGGCAGTTTTGACAGGCTTAAACGACTACCTGGACACGAAGCGTCTCGCCTTTCCGCGCTTCTTCTTCCTGTCGAGTGACTGGCTCTGCGGCTGTTTTGTAGCATGGTCCACCTCAAAGTTGCACCCGGGTCCACACGGTTCTGGCCTCCTGCACAGACTATGCTTGCAGGATGAGCTGCTGATGATCCTGTCCCAGACCAAGGACCCGACAGCCGCCAAGCACCCAGAAGTAATAGGTGCACCTGTCCCGTGGTCCCACACCCATATGATGGCTGTGCGGCAGCACAGCGGTGCAGCACTTTCCGCAAGGTTCAGCCACACATGGGCAAGTGCTTCGAAGGCTCGTCGCCCGGTGTCGGGACATGGATCGTGCTGCCTCAGACCACGTCTCGCAGCTCCTGAAGAGATAGATGACATCTGTCGACATCGATTCCTGCATATCCCGTAGAAATTCTGAACTTTGTTCAGGCATCAGCAGGGTTCGCTTCAACAACACAAACGAGATCATCGAAGCCATGTCGTCTGACTCCTGGGAGCTTCGTTTTCAAGGTTTGACCCTTTCCTTCAGCTGCTTTTGCCTCCGTCGAGGTCTGTAGAGGGCGAGGTGGTCGAACTCGCCGAGCCCGTGAATGTGGTCGAAGGAGAGAAGCGGGAACCCGAGCTTTTCTTGAAGCTTCAGGAACCGAGATTTGCAATAGGGGCTCGTGGCTAAATCTCCGACTGACCAGGAAGGGCAACGTGGAGAAGTGGTTGATGGAGGTGCAAGGTGCCACCTCCAGCTTGAACAGCCAGTGATAGCCAGTGTAAGTACCCTGGCACGTTGGAATTGCATCGCTACGGTGAGGCTCCATGATCGACAGCCTGACGAAGGTGACCGGCAATTCCCTCTTGGCCTATGCGAAGACAGAACGTGGGGGCCCTCGCGTGCAATCGCCACGCTACGCTCGTACGTCTCCGGGGTGGCTGCCTGCTGAGTTCACATCATTCATGCTGCACCTCTAGTTCACTTCATGTCGGAGTGTTTGGATGGTACTGATTCCAGACCTGGCTCATCGCAAGACGAAGGGTTTGCTGCTTGTGAAGCCGCTAGCCTGCTTCGATCTTCCACGGCCTAACATAGCCAGAAGAATGCGCCACGCGCACCATGGCCGACTCTGCTTGGAGCGATGACGCCGATGTCGCCGACGTGTGCATCATAGGCCCGGGCCCGGAAGAGAGACGAGCAGGCGGTCCGCAGAGTCAAGTCCCACTCCTCTCGCACTCCCAGGCGGCGGATTGGCCGGTTTGACTGCTCTGGTGCGCCCCGGGCTTGAAAACACGGGAAGTAACAGGGCTTGTAAGGAATTACGCGGATCCTTCAAGCAGATCTCTTTGCTTCAGACCCTCCGTGGCATGCAATTGCTCCTGAATCAGTCTGCGTATGTGTAAGTTAGCTAAATTTCGCGTTCTGCAAGGAGCACCTGGCTGTCAAGCACCGCTGCGTTCTGCTGGAAGCCTCCGCTCGCCTAGGAGGTTCCAACTTCTTCGGTTCTGCTCCGGCCTAGCAGATGGGTCTTTGAAGCCCCACCTGAACTCAGACTCAGATGTTTGGCACAGGCCGCCTTCGCAGCAGAGATTTCTGTGGCCGGAAGCTGGAAGAAGGACAGTGACCTTGGTACGGCCAGTTAAGAAATCTCAGCATGTCTGACCTCTTCATCCAGGAGCCAACTGGGTTCAAGGGCTTGGGAAGAATCCAATATGGACCCGGGCACAAGAGCGGTTTGACTGAAACCAGCACAGCCACACAAACAGCAAGCCCGCAAGCTTTCTGCTGCCAGGTGCAACCTGCAGGGACACGCGGAGGACGATGAAGCCGCCACGGTCTGCTTGTTCAGAGGCAGCGAGGGGCCAGTGGACACCCGGCGCGTACTTCGCTTCGGTTCTTATCCAGCGGAGGTGAAGCTTGTGGATGCTTGTGGCATGCGCGTGAACGTTCCGAGGATGTGACGAAGGAGACCGGCGAACGCATGGAGGCCCGATTTGGCCACGGACTTCTGGTGGTCGCATGGTGGATGGCTAAGTGCAGGTCTTGGAGAGCGCTCAGGAGTCGGTCTGGCACTCGGATGACCGCAGCGGCTCCATGAGGGCCGGAAGTGGAAGTGCGCAGCATGCTTTGGAAGGTGGAGGACAGCGAGGCGTGGGCAAATGTGATTTCGAGCTGCGGCGCATCTGATCGCCACGGCTTGAGGCCGGCAAGGGTTCACTGCCCGACCTGAGTCTCGCGGATGCTCTGGAAAAAAGAGGCCAGGACACGCACACACGGAGCACACGAGCTTTCGTGAAGCTTTGCCCTTCTAGGGTGGCCTCCTGCTGCCACAGCCATAGATATGGCCGTGGAGTTCATGCTCGTCGACTTCGAGTATGGGGAAAGTGTCTGCCTTAGACCCCGGGCCGGAGACAGCACTCAAGTCTCAAAGTCTCGAGAGTGATGAGGCCCTGACAAAATCTCTGTGAAGCACAACGTCCACGAGGAGCACACTCGAACCGATTTCGGCGGAGCGCTGAATTCGCTTTCCGTGTTCGTGCGACACACTGGCAGCATCGAACGTGCTCGCAAGAGACAGCGCAGCTTTTGCATGAGTCCATAACCTTAAGCATCCCCGAGCGTGCAATCGTGCTCGTTGTAAGTTCAACCAGCCCAGGTGAGGAGACATTTTTCGTGGATGATCCTCGTGGTTTTGGGACGATTGCGCCGGCAGTGCCAGGACTGGTGCCATACACTCCATCCTTCTTGCCATGAGCGGATAGCAGGTAGAGTTTCGGGCCGATACATCTTGATCTCAATCTGGCGATGAGTGTGTCTACCTGCAAGCATCTGCAAGCTGTGTTCAAGCAGATTGTGGGGCAGAGGGCTCACTTGCCGCAAAGCGGTGCCGTCTTCTATGCTGGGTATTGTCCACGGCCGTACATCAACTGTGATTCATGGGTCACTTGCCTACCTGCCTGGGCGCCGCCGACTTTCTGTGACTCTGGCGGACGTCGCTGATGGAGACCCGGCTCGATCCTATCTCTCTCTCTCTCTCTCTCCGTTCCTCCTCTTGTTTGTCGCTTGAGGATCCTCTTCAGCGCTGCGGCACTTGGCTCGTTCTCCGAAAGCCGTGGCCGCCTGTCACTTGACTGCCCTTCCTGTGAATGCCGTCGGCAGTTTCTGGTTCTTTTAGAGACCTCCAAGGCTTTGCAGGAAAGTCGCAGATTCCCGAGAGCTCATTGCGGTCGTTGGCCGCGGAGGTCAGGAAGAGCTGCGCACTAGATGCACTGTTGGGTCCTGGGGCCAGCGCCTGAATCCGAAACATGATCGTGCGGTGGGCAGGTGGTGACAGGGCTGTGCAATTTTCGGCCTGGCACTGGGGCAGCAGGGTCCGGTTATGCGCATGCTCTACGACAAGACCCGACGGGAAGGCCGGGCTGAGCCGCTTGCAAGAGATCCGAGATCCTTTCTGTGATCTTTTTCGTGTGCCAGAGGCTTGCCTCATTCCTTGAGGATGAGATTCTTGCTCGATCCAGTACGCTCGATCCCAAGGCGATTGCGAACCTGAGCGGCTTGCTCTACGGCTCTGGTGCACCCTGCAAGAAGAACAAGGCTGTGATGCAGCTTCGGCAAAGTGCCATGCAGAAGCTTCAGGCATTCTCGGCACCTGAACTTGTGGATCTGGCATCCGGGCTGGCAAACTCGCGCGTCATGGACGAAAGCTGTTTGCAGACTCTGCGGAAGAGAATGGATGCAGCGGCCGGCCAGGGTGATTCCGAAGGCATCGGATGCTCCCGGCCCGTGACTGCGCCTGCTTGCGAAAGCGACTGGCCTTCGCCTTGTCCCAACATTCTGGCAGACTTGGAGACCGCTTTTGTTTTGTCGAAACCACCGGGCTGGTCCTGTGCCACCTCGGTTTCTGGAAAAAACCGGCTGGCGGAGGGTGGCAAGATGCCTCCAACCATCTCACACTACTTGCAGCGCCTGGGTTGGGAGAGGCCTGTATCGCAAGATCCCGCTGTGGATCACGGTCTTGTCCATCGCTTAGACCTTGAGACAAGCGGTGCATTGCTTGCTGCAAAGACATTTCACAGCTACTGGCGGCTACGTTTGGACTTTTCCGCACAGGATGTTCGCAAGCGGTACCTTGCTTTGGTCCATGGATTCTTGCCACGGCAGTGGCAACGCCTTGACATGCCCCTTCAACTACAGCGCATTCCGCGCTCCGACTCTCGACGGTCTGTTCGTTCCAAGTCAGTGGTCAACCATGACTTTGGAAGGTCCTCCAAGTGCATTCCGTGCAGCTCATGGTCTCACAAGAGCACGGCTTGCGCTTGCTTGTTTGCAGGTCGGCCGAAACTGGAATTCGAGCAATTGCTCATCTGCATGGCAGAGGCCGGGCCTGCGCTGTTGCGGCTCCAGCGATTTTTGCACTAAGCAGTGGTCTCACGAAGGTGGGGGCCCGATGTCGTTACTTCTTGCAGAGCCGCGGACTGGGCGAACTCATCAAATTCGCAGTCACGTCTCGCACATCGGCCATCCGATTGCCCTTTGGCTCTTCTGGAGACCTTCGTAGTTTAGCTGGAAAGAGACAGGGGGCCTGTGGGAGGTGGAAAGGACGGAGAGAGACAGGTAGGTGTTGGTTTAAGGCTCGTGGTGCGGCATTCAAGAACGAGGATTGAGGCTTCGGCTTCGGGGTTCGGGAGGCTGAGCCTCATCAAGCAGATGCCTGAACATAGTTTTCGTGCTAAGGCCCGACGTATCACTGTCACTTGTAGCCAGAAGGTCGGGGACTCGCTCTATGCGACGAGCGACGAGGTTGTTGACGACTCTTGCCAACGAGTGCCTGGGACATCTCGGAGTACTATTCGGGCAGGCTGTGTTTTGTGCACACAACCCCTACTGAACCAGCTGCTTAACATCTGACTGAGGTCTTTCTCCACTGCTTTGCACTCAACTTTCTGGAGCCCGCGGCCACGGACGACGACCATGAGCCTTGTATCGTTTCTCGTCGGTCTGTCACAGCTCCCTTGCCGGCAGACCTGATTCAAGTCCTCCGGAGTATGGCTCCGGCAGATCTCGGATCCACACAGGCTCTCGAGGAGCTCGAAGAACCTTCGAACTCCTCCAGTTGGGCGCAGTGGGTGGAAAAAGAACGGCGCGAGCGACACCATCGCAGATCCTCTTTCGGTACTCTTGTGCAAGATGCTGTCTTGTGCCAGACGCTCTGAAGAGCGACAGTCGGAAAGGAGCCGCGGATGTTCGCCTGAACTCGATCGTGGATCGAGTGGTTCAATCTGCGGACCACGTGAAGGCACAGGGGATCGGTTGCATCTTCCGGCATAAACCACTCTTGCCCTCTGTCGTCATTTTGGTATGCTTGTCATGCAGACTGCAGCTGAGCTTTCTTCGAAGGTTTGCTGCCGGGACGGGAGGCGAGTGATCGCTCGAAGCGTGCTGTGCACAGCTGCACGGATGCATCTATCATGTGCTCCATTAGGCCGCATGAAGACTTTGTATGACACAAAGGGCGGCCTTGTGAGTTCATCCAGCTACCACAACCTTGAAGAGCGTGCTTGCCAGTTGGAGGTGAGTGTTGGTGTCATCAACGCTGCTGATATACTTTTCGACCCGCCGCTGCCAGCACCAATGACGGCAGCGCTTGGCTCAATGATGCTCTACCGCACAGCTGGAAATAGGAATCCTTCCCTGCTGAAAAAAGCCATATTTTACCCGCAGAACTAGCTGTAACCAGCTAGTGTAAGAGAAGCTACCGCAGATGCGAAGGAACTTGGCGGAGTCCGGCTTGACTGTGCTAAGGAGGATGTGCAACTACACCAAGGTCTTCGTCAAGCTGGAAGGGCCCTTGTGGGCCCCTGGGTTGGCACATATTTGAGCAGGAATCTGAGTCTTGCCATCGCGGCCGAATTCGCTGAATCTCTGTTGGTGGCGAGGAGCCAGGCCTCCACTATGTCCTCCGTGCTGGCCCGCCGCGCGGTCGCTGGGCAGCCGCCCGACGACCTTCAGCACTCGTTCGGGGCTTGAGGTGTTCAGGGCTTTCGGGTGCTGTCTTTGCCTTAGGTTCTAGAGCACTTCTGTAGACATCAACGGTCAGTTCTGACTTGGCAACAGCCACAGCTTTTCTGCGCTCGTCACATTTCGCCGATTCGGCGAGCCTTGGTTTGGAACAGTCGTCTTGTTGGCTGGTCTCGCTGACAGCAATAGTAGAAGTAGGCCATGATGATAAACGTGTGAAAGAAAAAGAATCGGCTAGAGTGAGACTACAGTTGGAAGAGCAGTTTCTAGTCAGAGCTTTTGCGAGAGGTGATTAGCTGGAACAGATGCAAACCCATAAGTCCCGTAAGCTACAGTGCAACAGCAGGGCCAAGTAACAAAGGGAAAATGAACACTGCTACACCCTAAACCCCAGATCCTAAGCCCCAAATCCAAACCGTTAACCTAAACCCCAAACCCGAAATCCTAAACCTCAAGCAGTGAAGTCTTTTCAAAGTAAGCTCCGAGGTATGGCAGCCTCTGGAGGCGGACCTGGCCATCGTCACGGTCACGGGTGACGAGGGGCGTCGTGCAGAGCAGCTCCGCACTGAGGCTTCGGTTGGGTTCATGTTTAGGTTTTAAGGGTTTAGGGTTTACGGTTTAGGGTAGGGTTTAGGGTTTAGGGTTCAGGGCTTAGGGTAGTTTATAGAAATTGTTAAGGGTTTGGGTGCCAATAAGTTTTGAGCGAAAAGTTTTGAGCAGGTTTCCTTTTTGGAACCACATTTTGAATCTGGGCTTGGGCTTGGGGCTGGGAACTAGGGGCTGCACCGATCGAGCACTGACTGCTTGTAGCCTGAGTTGCTTTTTCGTGCCCTGACTGATCGGTGGCATTGACCTGCCCAGAACTGACTCCGAGCTTGGTGGGAGTGCTGCGCTTGCGCTGCCACACTATCCCGAACCTGCTGAGCCGGAACATGCAGCTGGAGGAGCTGAGGAAGCTCATCGCGGAAGCGTCGCATGGTGGCAGTAAGTCTCCGCTGGGAGTGCCGCCGGAAGACTGATCGAAGGGGCGGTGGAGGAGAGCTCGTTTATGGGCCGTGTGCAACTTAGGAAAGCTTATACGACGGAGACACTGCCTGCACAAGCGTGGAAGTACCAAACCAGGACCGCGGCGGTGTGATGCAGTTGTTGGCTTCCGTGCGATGTTGGTGTATAGGGATGATGCTCATAAATGTGTCAGCGTTGGCGGAGGACCGACTCGGACAATGTGCACGACGTGTTCCCGCGACGGGATTAAGACGATTTCTGGCGTAAAGCCAGAACGCCGGCTTCCAAAATCGCTTTGTCGGCTGGCGGCGAGGACAGGAAGTTTCTGCGCCAGCTGCCAATGATGTGCACGACCGATCCCTAGAATTCTCGCCATCAGAATGAAACGCCCACTCCTCTCACTGAACTACAACAAGAGAGAGTGGAGGCCGCAACTGGTGACGGCTCGGAGTGCGCGGGGTGTCCGTTGACTGTGTCGCCCAGGCCTGTCCAGAGTATATTCGTCGTGATACACGTTCTGCCACTGCACTGGGCTTGACCGCTGTCTGTGGGTACTACGAGAAGCACTTAGAGAAGGGCTATTTGTACATGTCCCTTGCTCAGTTTGTGAGGGGCACGGCTTGTTGGTACCATAACCGCAGTAAAATCATCGGCACTGCGTTGCAAGCCTGACCACTCGGGTGCGGTCTCGGCGATACGTGATCCGTACGACCGTCTCGAAGACAAGCACTGCTACATTACAATGAACGGCCGAATCTACACGGGCGAAGTGGCGGTGCGCTGGACATGTGTTGATGAGCTGTGTCTTCCGTCACAGCGGGCACACATGCCCTCTTAGATTTTGCTTGTCCGGGTGGTACGCCTTGCACGATCCAGGTGTGGCGCTACCCTGCGCATACGGTTGTGGATGCCCAGCTAATGACGGCAGATGTGCCGCCTCCAGGCCTGCCCGCATTGAGGGAGGAGCTGAAACTCTTGCATCGCGGTACGCCAGTTCGTTCGCGAAGTCAAATTAACAGCTGAAGCGAGGGGTGGCCGCAGAGAGCGAGAGAGAGGGAGGGAGAGACAGAGGTTTCAGCTTTGCGTATTCGCTATCTGGGATGTTTTCCATGAAATCACCCGTTTTGTGCAATGAATTTGCGCATGTTCATCGGTCCGTGCAGGTGACACTTAGGGGGACCATATTACTCTAGATTTGTCCTCTATTGTATGTCATGTTTTAAATATATGGCCTTTATTGTATGCCCCCAAAGTCGCGAAAGGATCGTGCACGTGTCAGCCCAACATCAGTGAACCCAGTCATTCATAGTCCAATATATTCTCTTGCATCAACTGGGGGAATTGATGCTTCTTTTTCACGCCCCACCGAAAGCCCCATAACACATGGGGGGCCCATGAGGCCGGGGGGTCTAACCCGCCCCTTAGAGAGAGAGAGAGAGAGAGAGACAGAGAGAGAGAGAGAGAGAGACAGAGAGGGAGGAGGAGAGACCGAGACAAAGAGAGGGAGAGAGAGGTAGGGAGGTAGAGAGAGGGGAAGAGAGAGGATATTTCCGAGGGCAGCGAATTCGATTGCTCGCTGTGCCCCGCTGTCGGTGATCCACGACAATACTATAGTCCTTTCCTGCCGTGGTCGCGTGAACGAGGACTCCAGCTGAAGTGTTTATGGAGGATCTGCCAGGCCATGTCCGAAGCACCAGCATGATTCCAAGGCAACACATAGTTGTTGGCAACCTGCGACCCTTAACCAGACTGCCTCGAACAGGGATATGTAAGCCCGTGACGATGGCATTACACAATCGACTGGGGGCGGGGGTGGGCTTGGGGCTGGGGCAAGGGTGGGGCTGGGGTGGGGAGGGGCGAGGGCTGGAGGCTGGGAGGGCTGGGTTTTTAATTCTATGCACATTTATACACCAATCGTTTTGAACCGTAAATCCTAAACCCTTTTCGTAGTAGTCTAAACCCTTTTCGTGATATTTTTGCACGTTAGAGTGGACCAGAAACATACCACAAGAACCCGGCCGAGCGATGAGTAAGTCCTTGCCGTCGTTTGCGGACAGGTAAAGCAAATGACAGGCGTCGGTACGGGGGGGCGGGGGTTGGGGCTGGCCCAAGCTCTAAACACTAGGCTCGTGTCGTGAGTGTTTTCGTGAGCAGAAGGCAAACATGCGTTCGCAGAGCAAAGCTTTCGTTTGAATTTTGAGGAAAGCCAACGGTTACGGAAATCAAGACAGGAGGGGGGGGCGGGCGGGCGCATAATTGACGGAATGCACTTCGCGCTTCGGCCTATGCACAAACCCTGAACCCTAAATCCTAAACCCTTTTCGTAGTAGTCTAAACCCTTGTCGTAATATTTTTCCACATGTTTCGTCAACAAAACAGAGGTACAGTTCGCCTATTTTTCGGCAGGCACGGTATTTTTTCTTGAGGGTTTAGGGTTTAGGGTTGTAGAAATTGTTAACGGTTTGGGTGCCAAGAAGTTTTGAGCGAAACGTTTTGAGCAGGTTTCCTTTTTGGAGCCACATTTTGGGCTTGGGCTTGGGGCCACATTTTGAGTTTGGGCTTGGGCTTTGGGCTGGCAACTGGTGGCTGAGGGCTGGGGGCTAGCGGAGTGAGTGTTGTGGGTGGGAGGGGGGGTGGTTTTGCGATTGAAATTAAATTTTGGATTTGGTGGAGTTTTGCGATTGGAACTTGAGTTTTGTGGCTCGACCCTGGTTTTGGGCTGGGTTGGGCTTGAAATTGATTGTTTAGGGGTTCAGCGCAAGCAATGACAAGCAATTTCTATTTATTTGTTTCTTGAGGGTTTAGGGATTAGGGTTCAGGGTTTAGGGTTCAGAGGTACAGGTTGGGGGGTTCGGGTTTGGGGTTTGGGGTTTGGTGTGCTGGCAAGCATGGATTGTCGGGAGGGGGTGGGTTTGCTAATGGAATTCTAGTGGGGGCACCTCAAGTAGAAAGCTGTTGCTTGCGGAGCACTGTGGCCAGGAGTTGAAGCACGAGCTCGCGCTCGCACTCGAAGCGCCTCTAACGCAGCTGTTCTTTGAGGGTGGTTTTGGAGCTTCTGAAGTTCCCGGGTCGTGCTTTTGCAGCAGGCTTGTGAAGCCACGTCTTGCGGCGTAGCAGTGTAATGGCAGCACTAGTTTGTAGCAGCATCAGGAGATGTATGAAGACCCGCCTGCCATCGTCGAAGTCGAGGCCACATAATGCCACACAATGGAACATGACATGTGCATGCATTATGATACTATTCCTGTTCGGGGAAGCTAGATGTGCGGTCTGCTGGATGTGCCTCGTCAGGCCACCCGCTGGTCTTCCGATCCTTTCTTCAGGGGTTCCTACTCCCTTCTGCCCACCAACTCCATGACAGAGAACAGCTGGGACGTGATCAACGCAAGATATGGAAGGTCCATCTGTCACCATAAGGGAAGATTTGCTGGCAGAGCTCGGCTTTGCAACGAGGCTCTTCTTTGCCGGAGAAGCGTTCCACCCGAGATGGTCTGGGTATTTGCAAGGCCGGAATTAGGTTTCCTTGCAGATACTGTGTAGGGCCTCGGCCCTGGGCCATGGGCCTAGGCCTTCGCTTCCCTGAACATGCCAGGAGCCTTTGCCTCGGGCAAGGACAAGGCGCAGCAAGTGGAGCTGTTCCTGAAGTCGGATGCTTCCGCGCCCGATGGAAAATGTCCGTTGCAGGGAGAGGGCCGTGCAATGGGATGGGAACGGGGGGCGGGGGTGGGGGTAGTAGGCCTCGAATGGTGGTCAAGTGTACAGGCTTGCACGTCTGATTTCTTTCATCACTTCAAGCTTCCAGCATCGGAGGGTCGAATCTTGAGAGCTTCGGGATTTCCATGTTGAACTCCATAGAGCCTCCCTTGAACCCTAAACTCTTTTTGTGAAGCTGAGCCGTGAGCGACTGAGGAACCCAGTGGGTGCTCGAGTGGCCCGGCCAGGCCAGGTCCTGACAACTTGGAGCTTCGTGACCTTGGGAAGTACGCTACTTACGGGTCCTGAGATGAAGGATCCTACCATTTTAAATCCTTCCGCAGCTTCCAATTCTCCCGGTGCTCAGAGACACTGCTGAGGATTGCTGCTTGTATCCGGCTTCAGAGCTTAGGGTCTCGGGATTAGGGTGGACTCTGAACTGGCAGGTCGTTATTTGCATCGACAACGTCTATTGGACCCAAGAGGTTGCAGTGGCCATCGAGCCGCTGCCTCAGCGAGTTCCTGGCGTTAGGGCTGCTAGGGTTCAGCGGTCCCGGGTTTAGGCATCGACTGTGGCCGAAGCTACTTGTATGACTACGATGTACAGTCTTATGATGAGAGTGTTACAAGACAGCTTCAGCTTCGGCCAAGAGGTCTTAACTGCTGCGCAGGAAAGCAGAAGCCTGTCAGCTGCCGTCGCCCAGGGCTGGAAAACTCGAAGCCTACTACAAGAAGAGCGTGGGCCATCCCGGCGGGTTACGGACGTGAGCGAACTGCATAGAGTGAGCTAGATTGTGTGGTTGCATGCTCATTCCGAATCTGTGTGCCTGCAATATGTCGCCAGCCCTAGACCTTGAAAGCCCTCACCATACACCTTGCAAACCTCAAGCTGAAGCCCTGAACCCGTGTGTGAATGTGGGTTAAAGCCCCGGCAACCAAACTCCCACATGCAAGTTTCCAAGACCTAGAACCTTGAAGTTTAGAATCCAGCTCAAGCGCCAGAACAACTGAGCGGCCTCGTGAATTTGGTTCGTGGCGATTTGTCGAAACTGGCGAGGCGGGCCGTACTGGCTTGTCCTTCGGGGTTTAGGGATAGGTTCAGGGTGCAGGGCTCTGACTGCTTTACGCGTTTTGCGGCCTAGGGTCACAGGTTTTAGGGTTAGGGGTTGGGGGGGGGTCTTCGGCCACACGGTTGAGCGCTTCGAACAGTCAGGGCCTTTCGGGTTTAAGGCGTTTGAGGGGTTCGAGGGTTTTGAGGGTTTGGGGCCGCAGTAAGAGCCTGAAGAGGCAGAGCCGCTTGCTCCTTCAGGCAGACCCTCGGGGCCTTGGTGACTATCGACGTTCACAACCGTGATGTGGCCGGCTGCTCTTGTTTTCACTGCTCTGAATCCTGAAGTCCACGTCAAAAGAGTCGGGACTTCGACTCTGAGGTGCTCAGCTTGAAGGATGCCAGGATCTCCAGCTCGAAGGCCCGGCCGCGGAAACTTCCCCAAACGTTTCAACTCCTGCGACATCATGACATGGGAGTTGATGTGGCCTAGCAAGACTTACGTTGCCCAAGCGAATGCGCGAAACGACTGTACAGCACTGGCAGAGTCATGCAACAAATCAAGGCAGCAATTTACATGCAAGATCGTCTGCTTCCTGTAACTTCCCCCTTTTGCTGTGCACTGAAAAACGAACACTCTGCTGTGACTCACTTGCCTCTGCGCCTCGACTTTGTCTGTGTCCTAAGAAAAGCTTATGTTGTGTACAGGAAGACTCTATTCGCACCCGGGTGGCATCAAGCAAGCTTGAATGGTTGTGCTTCCAACAGGACTTCGACTGGATTGCCCAGCTGCGATACTACTGGCGCCAGAAGGGTTCGATTACCCTAAAGGCCAGCCCCAGTGAATTTTGTAGCTGTCATCTTGAGTACCGCGCCAGTTTCCTGACGTGCCAGGAAACCGGCAAGCCAAGTACGGTGGACAAGTGCGAGGTCGAACTGACACTGTTCGAGAATAGCAGCTCCCAAAAGTTGAAGCTTTGCAGGTATCAATCATCAACGCCACCCTCTACTATGGTTTCGAGTACTTGGGCAACAGTGATCGTCACTGCGCTCAGATGAACAGGGGATGGTTTCATGAGATTGCCACGGCGCCCTCGAGCACCGGAGCTGCGAGGCCTGGTGATCACACCCTTGACTGACCGTTGCTACCGCACGTCAGCCCAACCTGTTTCAACGCTATTGCCGGGAGGGTACCTGCCGTAAGCAGTCTTATTGCACGTCTTATTTTGTGTTGACATCTTTGGATTCTTTGGCACACGTGATGGGTGCACTCCCAGCCCCTCATGTGCCAGGCTAATGGGTGCATTCCACCTCTACTATGGCGGTGGCCCGGAAGGTCCTGCTGGCACGGGAAAGACGGAAAGCACCAAGGACCCGGAATGCAAAAAGGGATATCGTGGGATCGAGCAAGTCTCCGAAAACTGACGCAACCTTGGGAGCCTGCCTATGGCCTCTGTCCGCATCATTCACGTCGGGGTTGAACGGTTGATTGTTTTGCGCTTGTGTCTCAACCTCTGCCGCTCCTCGAATAGCACCAAGCAAAACACAAGCCGCAGAAGCCATGCTGTGGTGAGCTTCAGTGGGTTCTAGCAAGTGACATCTCTAGCCGTCTGCAGGATTTGGCGAAGGCAGTGGCTGTGCAGTGTGTTGCATTGGGCCCAGCGATCCCTGCCGAGTATCGAAGCACATAGCTCCAGCATCAGTCCGGCTCAGGTCTTCAACTGCTCAGATGGCCTTGACTACATTGCTTTGCTCTCGGAGGGCTGCGACTGCATGATTAGTTGAAGTTGAAGATCAGAGCAACGCAAGCTGGCAGAGGCTATGGGCAAATTCTTCAAAGGCATCGCATCCTCCGGTGCTTGGTGCTGCTTCGACGAGTTCAACCGTATCAACCTCGAGGCTTTGCGGGATGTGCATCTCTGCAGTTTGCACTGGCTTTCAAGTGGCTGGCTTGGTCAGGTCTTGTCCGTGGTGTCGCAGCAGGTGCAGGGGTCCGGGGCTGGAAATTCCTTGGAGGGCTGGGTTTCAAGTTGAATTCGTTTCGCTGAGCGGGGTTCTACTGGCGCAGGAGTGATTAGCCTCTCAAGGCACAGATGCCCTTGTTGCTCCACCTTGCATCAAGGTGCAGACAATCCAATTCGCCATTCGAGACAAGAGGGAGACCTTCTGGTTCGAAGAGATGGAGATCAGGCGGGCTCCGATTGGATGCTGGACTCCACTTCCGAAGCGATGGTGAAGCGTCTCCGGTCATGGAGCATCTGGTCAGGTTGGTGCCCTCCTGCGCGGTGAACATCACCATGAATCCAGGCCTTTGCCGATGGTGAAGGTTGCAAGCCAGAGAGTGAGGATTCATGTTTGCATCCTGGGAGAGGCTATGCTGGGCGATCGGAGCTGCCGGATAACCTCAAGGCTGGCCGGAAGTGGGCGGGATGGAACGCCCGAGGCGAAACTCCGTGCGACCATTTTTCCTGCCAAGGCACTCTTCCGGCCTTGTGCCATGATGGCCACTGCCTTGCTGCGTAAGGAGACAGGGACCTCGTACGTCACGAGCAGCTCAGGTCCCAGACTATGCCCTCATCGGTGAGATTGTTCTGTATTCCAACGGACCATCTGATCTCATGATCACCATGTTGACCTAGAGACCGCCGTTGCCAAAACTGGCTGTCGGTTCAAGCACGTTTCAGCACTCCGGCTTGAAGCCTCGCGAGGATTTGAGGATGCCAAAAATCTTGCCCGAAAGGCGGGGATGATGTGCTACTAGCATGTGTTCTGCTTGGACTTGACTTGATCTATCTTGATCTGTACAAACAAGGCTGTGGGCAGTCTTCGTCTGAGCTCCGAGCAGCTTTCTTCTCAGGTGTGCTGGGCTTCGGCCGCCACTTTGATGATGCTAAAGCTTCGATGATGCACAAAATTGAAGGAGCACTATGACTTCGGCATGCGGGCACTGAAATCGATACTTGTTCGAGCCGTGGGCTTGGTCTAATGAAACAGGGATCTAAAATCCAAAGCCTTAAATTTGTACACTGCTATACCCCAAACGCTGCATAAGGCCGGGGCTCTCCGCCGTCAGTACGGAGGCAGCCGACCAGAGCAGGCGCAGCGCAGCCGGGCGTAGCCGGGACCGGAGACGAAGACCAGACAAGACGGGGGGGGGGGGGGTTGAAACGCTGCAGCTTCAAGGCAGCAATGTGACTTTGCTGAAGTCTCATTTCCTTTTGAGCTTCGACTCGATAAGGACTTGCTCAGATTTCTACTGGTGGCGATGGGCTATGTCACAACCTACTAAAGTGCGCGCCCTCTACTATACCATACAATACTGTACTGTATCATCATATGTTCGCAGGGCATATCATAATGTGTAAAATGGTAGAACTCGTAGCATGTCATGTTGTTGTTATGTTTCGTCAGATGGTATTCTGGTTTGCCATGCGAGTATGGTATACAGCAGTAGAGTATAGCAGATTGTAGCAGTTACGTTCGTTATGTTACATGACACTTCTATTTGCAACTGATTATATCGTAGTACAATATGCTTTGCTAGATTGTAGATCAGCTATGTTGTGCTATGTCCTGTTTTGCTATGTGGTGTTATGTTGTGGTATGTTGCGGTATGTAGGTTGAAAGTGTATCATATTCTGTTCTATTCTGCTCGTTTCTCTTTTTATTTGCTTCTGTACCATTCTATTCCATTCTATTCTATTCTGTTATGTCATGCTCTGATATGCTATACTATGCTATCCAACACTGCCAAGTCGTATCACATTGCGCATGTTATAGTACGTTCACATGTTGAGCCAAGCCGTATGATAGGTCTTGGCACTGTCTGCGTTGAACGATGCAGGGCTCCTGGAAGAGATTGCATCCGAAGGAGCCGCTGGTCACAGTTCCCATCACAGTACCAAGGTGAACCTGCCTAAGTTCACCCGAAACGACATCCCCTTGTTCCTGGGCATCACCGGCGACCTCTTTCCAGAAGCTGGGGCCCCACAAAAAAAAGGAGACCGTAGGGTCGTTGCAAGTGTCTCCACAGCCGAGGTGGAGCTTCCGCCGTCCGACTACGGCGTGCTGATCAACGAGCTTGAGGCACCGCTCGTCACATGCCAGTGGTCCAGTAGCCGGAAGCCGGAAGCGGTTTCCCGGCCAAAGCTGTGCCGGAAGCTTTCCAACCTCTGCAAAGCTTAGCAGCTTTGCTCGTGCCAGGGTTCGGCCCGCAGCCTCGTCCTGCAGCCAGTGGACGGCTTCATCAAGAAATGTCTGCCCAGCGGGTTGCTGCTTCTTGACTGTCTACTGCCTTGTGATGTGTCTGGGCCAGGCATACAGCTCTGGGAAACCATTATGGTTCGACATGGCTTGATGTTGGTGGGCCAGACCGTGTCCGGCAAAACAGAGGTGGAGAATGCAACGGGCTCGGACTTGTTGCTGCATCCTGTTTGTTAAACGTGCTGACGGATTGGAAGAATCTTGTATGCATATGTTGCATACGCGTATACAGAAATGGTGCAGTGTTTGTGGCTGGAAAGTGCAACAGAAGGGCAGACTCGACGATCTGCTAGCGGAGAACCCATCGGGTGTGCGTATAGAGAGCGGTTATCGAAGCCCTAATCCGGAGATGGTCTCCCAAGGTCTTGGCTGCAGCACTTGCAGCCGTGGCCGATGGCGAGAGCTATCTGCCAGCCGCAGCACTTAAACGGTAGAATGTAGTTGCTCCGCATGAAGCGACGATGGCCTTTCCCTTGAGGTGCTTATTCACAAGATCAATCCAAAGTGCCGCCCCGATTTGAGGCAGAGGCCTTGCTGTGGCAGAAGACCAGATGCACGCTGCTAGGTCCATTACGCAGGGCCAGCTGTACGGTGAAAATGATGAAGCCACACACGAATGGACAGCTGCCATCTCAGACAGTGGTCTCAAATTGAGATTCTGTTCTAGGTTTAAGCGCAGCTGTGCCAAGGACGGCATTCTGGCTCTGACAGTGCGCCATGCTTCTGCAGCGGAGCAATCCAAAAGGCAAGTCCCACAAGAAGAGCACTGCGAACGACTAAATGCCATGTGCATTGCTGGCTTCATAAGAAGTGTGCCTGCTTTCAGCCATGCGAACCCAAGTGCTAGCAGTGCTTAGTGGCTTGCGGTGCTTCAGTCATGCTTGCGCCGGAACCACGCAGGCAGTGGATTCTGCTTGATGGTCCTGTCGATGCGGTGCACCAGCATGTGTTGAGTGTTGCACAAATTCGGTACATGTTGCTGTGGCTAGCCAGTGTTTCTGCATGCCAGGTCTGGATCGAGAACTTGAACACAGTCCTTGACGACAACAAGAAGTTGTGCTTAAACAGTGGTGAAATCATCAAGTGTATCCCTCAGCGCTGAGACTTAGACGCCGCATCTCATGATGGAGTCGCAAGACAGGAAGGCAGGCCTACAACAGAAACCACGATTCAATGTGCAAGCTTTTGAGCGGTAGTGAGATCGTGGTGACCTGCTGGTTATGACTCACCCATCATGCCTGGTTCCATGCATTTGAGGTTGACGCCAGTCACCACGATGATGTTTGAGGCCGCTTGCCTTTTCACCTGCTTCCATCATCATCGACCCAGGGGGCTGCCTAAAAAGTGACTGCATCTCCCTGGGCAGGTGGAGGACTTGTCTGCGGCGTCTCCAGCGACCGTCGACCTCCTGGAAACTTATGCTTGGCGGTGCATTTTGCACATTTCGACAGCATGCAATTTTCGACCCCGCCAATCTCTGCTTGTAGTTTTGATCTCTCGGTGCAGTGCAGTCCATTGTGGAAGCAGTCCTTTCATGTTGTTTCGGGATAGCCGATGGCATGAGCAGCGGCAAAGTCACAGCGAAGTGTTCTACTTGACACACTTTCTGTCTTTTGCAGCACCACTGTGATGGGAATGTGGCAGCATTGCAAGAGTCCTCAGCAGCAACATGACGTGCGTTTGCGTGGACTGGAAAGTCAGATGCGGCTGTAGCAGTAAGCCTTAGATATGCTACCAACATGTCTTCAACTTAGCATCAAGTTAGCTGCTTTTGCGTCTCTAAGGTCTCGCGCTGTGGCATGGTCTTCCTGGAGCAGCAGGACATTGGCTGGCGAGTGCTCCTAAGCTCCTGGCACCCCGGATGCAAGGCACTGGGAGTGGCCATCTTGGATGTATTTTGGGGTTTAGGGCGTGAGGGTTCCTAGGGGTTTAGGGTTTAGGGCCTTCAAGCTTAGACATCCCTAAACCCTAAGCCCGCGTCCCAGGTGCGAACGGTTGCCAGACCGGCTGAAAGACCAGGCAGCCTTGCTGCAGGCGCCCCGTCGAAGTTTTGGAGATTACGGTTTAGAGTTTAGGGCTTGGAGTTTAGGGTCTAGAGTTTGGGGTTAGATAAGTTTTGTACATTACAGGGGAGTGCTAACGGATCTAACGGGGGATTGGATTCAGGTGTCGTTGCTGGCCCTTCAGTTGATGTTGCCGTCATCGGGGTGATCACTGGTTGCTGATGTTCTCTGGGTTTTGCCCTGCAGTGGTTTGCGCTTCTTGTTACTTGCGTGGTTGTCAAATTTAGGGTCCCTTTTTGGGTCCTTATTATAGTAAGGCACCTATCATTTAGGGTACCCGAGAAGGGACCTTAATTTTGATAACTACCCACATGTTAGTGCAAAAAGTTGTGGTGTGATACTCGGAGATGGCCGCAAAGTTTTTCTCAGAACCACGACTCGAAAGGCTTGTCAAAAGGACCAGTAGGAGCTGCTCGGGCATAGGGATATTGGAGCGCGAAACTCGCGAACTCTGCCTGAAAATTAGGACGATTTGCCAGCTGTGTCAGCTTGAAGTCGCTCCCAACTAGGGAAACTTATGGCCTCTGCCATTGTAGAGTTGTGCCTGTGGCCACTGCTGCTGTTGCTGCCTCGTCTTTTCGGGCCGCTTTTTTTCACAGTGCCTCCTGCCTTGCTCTGCCACGGAAGAGAGGCTGAAGCCAGAAACTGAAGCCTTCAGTTTTCCTTTTGTGCAGTATCAGGAGCTGATGGACTCCTGCCTGGATGCCGTCTTCGAGATGGTCTCCAGAAAGGCTGCCGTGGGAGTGCACCTGGCAGCCACTGTGGTGTTTGATTCTTCCAGAGCTCTTTCACCCTAAGCTTCGGCTTTCGGAAGCTTCTGAGAACATGGATAAAAAGGTGTGTGAGGCGGGTGATTGGGCGCTGATGGTCGCACAGACAAAGTTTCAACCGGAGATGTACCCGATCTCTGATGTCAGGGGTGCTACACAATATCGCCTGCGTCTCTGAAGATGCCAGTCAGCTGGGGACCTCGTTCAGCGTGTGAGAAATACATACGCTAAAACGTTGAGGAAGACCTTCACCCATGAATAGAGGTATGTGGGTATACACATTTGTGTAGATTTAGGCATGCACATCTATATAGACATATAGGTATACATATATATATATATATATGCATACATCTACACATAAATGTATGCACGCATAAACCAACGTGTGCTAACATGTGAACCGATATGGATAGTAAATAGATCGATGGATAGCTGCCAGCTAGAAATCTAGGAAGGTAGGTAGGTCCGCAGGTAGACAGACAGACGATGCGGTAAGATAAACAAACTAGTGTGGATAGACGAAACGTTGTACATACAAGACATAGAAATATAATGCCCAAATAGGAAACTACGGCGGACGATGTCTTCCTGTCTGTCTGTCGATCTATCTGTTATCTGTCTGTCTGTCTGTCTGTCTGTCTGTCTGTCCGTCCGTCTGTCTGTCTGTCTGTCTGTCTGTATGTAGATACACATTCTGAAGTTTGGTGGATTTGGAGGTGTCGAAGCCGGTGCCTGTGAGCATCAACTGGCTAGTGCTGAACCTCCTGCACTTGCTCTGGGCGCTCCTGCAGGCACGGGATTCCTGTTGATTCCTCCTTGGTCTTCCTCGTGTGATCATCCGCAGCATGTAGCTGAGTGGGAGATTCACAGAAGACTTCGAGGCAGAGCTACCACTGGATCCAAGCACCAAGGACAATTGATGCCAGTTCGAATTGTGTACCAGGCCGTACGTGGCAGCGCGATGTGCTTCCGTGCCGCCGTCAGGACGTGGCCGTGAAGGAGAAGGAAGCAAAAGTCGAGGCCGTGCTAGTCAGCCTTCGGGATGGTAGTGCTCAGACCATGCATGACGACGTTGGTTTTCTACCACGAGGGCCATGTGCTCATGGGCTTCGTGCTCATAAGACTTTCCAGTCCAAGCAAACTACCCCTCCCAGGTCGCGTCACAGGCTCATGTAGGTGTCACATGCCGTTCTGCGCGGGGAGCAACTAATTAGTCGTGTTCGAGTGTTTGTCACAGTGATGTCACGCACCACCGCGCCATGGAAGAAGCCGCTGCAGATGGCGACGGCGCATGTCATGCAGATGAGCTCTTCAATTTGGGCAATAAGCTTGATGAAGAAGGACGATACGAAGATGCAGCGGAAGCGTACCAGCGTAGCGTTTCCATCAGTGAGGTCTCCTCTGGAGCCTGGGCAGCATTGATTGCTGCTAGTATCATTCTTCCAGGAACTCACACCTTGCGAATCTTAGCCAAGGTGAGGTTCCGAGCGACGTGCTGCTGCAGCTAGTCGGAGTCGATATGAGTTCAGAGCCGGCCCTTCTTGTACTTCGGCAGCTGCAAGTCGAGGAGTTTTCCCGCCTTTGAGCTCAGGAACTTGGGCTATGCCCTGCGAAGCTTGGGGGAACTGGGCCAAGCACGAGCTGCCTGGTGCCGAGCACTGCGCAGCGCGCCCGAGGCTCTGGGGGCATCTGTTGGCTTCTGACAGTCACTGAGAGGGCGGTGCAGGTGCGCTCACGGGCCGTTCTGCTGTCCTCCGGAGGCTTGTGTACAGACCCGGAGGCGAGGGGCAGTAGAATCATCTTCATGGGCACTGCTCTGATTTCGCCGTGAGGCCGTCTTGAAGCTCGCTGGAGTGCTTCGCAGCCTTAAGATCCATGCCACGGTCTTACAAGGCAGGAACAGCAGTCGCCTCCAGAATCTTCCACTGACAAACTGCGTGATTGGGCACATTTTCTTCTAGAGTTTTGGATTTGACGGCATCGAGGATGGGATGGAATGATGGTGTTGTTATTCAAGACGACAGTACAAGTGTGGATGATGGCCGTGCTGATGCCAGATGGAACTGCAGCAGCGATTCAGAAGCTTCGCAAATGTAGGCTGGAAGTGTGGCTGGGGCTAGCGAACCATCTAATCGACGGCGGCAAGAAAGCAGGAGCTGCAAGAACAGAATAGCCGGAATGGAGGTCCGATAAAGGGGGTCCTTTCCGAGTTACTTGGTACAGGCTGGAGAAACTTTTTAACGAGTTACCCGCGCTTTTAACAATCCAGTGCGCCTGCGAGTGTGCTACCGGCTGCATTCATGATGGCACTGTGGTTCCAATGTAAGGATCCCCAACCGGGACCTCGAATAGTTTGAAATCCTCCAGATATATACTCCTTTCAGCTTTAGCCAGGGCTTCTGCCAGCTTCGGAGCTGCACCACCTGCGCTTCAAGCAGCTGGGTTGAGATGTGCCCAAAATAGCCGCGAGAATCCGACAGATGAGGGTTGTGACAGGTCGGAGTCCGAGTGTCTCAGCGAGGTCTTCGATTCCTTCGTGTTGGCATCCGAGCCTTGGGTGGCTCTGCTGCAATGCGTGGGCGATGCAGCACGGCCCCAGCAAGATCTATCGCTTCTGAAGCGCAGGTGCGGCTGCTTTGTGTCGGCGAGACGTTACCTCGTGCAGACGTAGCAGCTTTCGTTGCAGAGGCGGCTTCGAGTACGAGCGAAGCAGGCCCAGCTAGGAATCGGAGTGTGCGACTTCAGGTCAACGCCATGCTTGATGTTGGCTTGCTGGAGGACCGCTTGTTGCACTATGCTGCCCTCCGTTCTAAAGCCGCTGCTGAGCTTCTTGAGGAAGTTCTGCCTAGGCACTTGGCATCAGGTCTGCAGCTTTACCCCTTCAGAGGCCCAATGTTTCCTTGTCCTGTTTGGGAGAGCCCAGTCGTTTCGCACAGGCCTCGCCCTACTTACAGACTGGCCCAGCGTGACACTGGGACCACCCGGTGACGAGCCGGCCAGCTTTTGCAGACACTCGCAGCTCCCAAAAGACATGAGAGAAAAAGCTCTCCTTTTCCCTTTGCGCCGGTAGGTGATGGCCATTGGCACGGACTCCCTGGAGCTGCCGGAGACTCAGAGCCAGGGAGCTCCGGGAGAGCCGGGCTCTTTTCCTGAGTCTCAGGTGCCTCGCGCTCTCTCCGGGCGATGGACCGGAGGCCAAGAACTCAGAGACCGGACGACCGGACCTGACGAGATTCGACGCGGACGATCTCGCCAGGCCACGTCAGACCTCAGCGGCCTCAGGGCGGCTCAGCAGCTTGGAGCACTCAACAGAACTGTCGTCTCAAAGGATGGGTGCGGCGAGGTGCTGGACCTCTGTACAGGCAGCGGTATCGCTGCACTGCATGCCCTGCGCTGCGGAGCAGAGGAGGTGAGAGCACCTTCTTTTGCTATGAAAGGGTTCCTTGAACGCCCGAAGAGCAAAGGAGATGCGAAGCCCTGAGCAGGCGGTCGCCGTAGATCTCAGCCCGCGAGCGGCAAGCATCGCGAAGGCACGATGCCAAAGCTGTTCGTTACACCGTCAAGCGATATCTGTGCTGCATGAGGTCAATGGCCTCATCAACGACTTGGGTTCCAGGCTGACCGTTTGCCAGGGGGACCTCTTTCAGGCGATAGACTTCAGTCTGCACCCTTAGGAGAACACAATCTTCTTTTGTCCTGAAGTCCAATCCAGAAACATGTTGCAAAATCTCAGGAAGGCATTGCAGACATGCGTGGCTTCGACTTGATCGTGGCTTTGAGAAATTCAGTGCTGAATGTGACTCTTCAGTTCTCTGTAGTTTTCTTGTGTGGTCCGGGGCAACAAGTGCAAGATGCAGTTTCCATGACCTCAGGTGGCAAATCCACCGTTCGTTGCGGCACCGGAGAATGTAAAAGCTTCTCTCTACGTGCATGGAGGCCGGCCCTCATCATCAACCCCGCAAGCCCAAAAACTCTAAAACCCAGAACCCCAAACTCAAGAGCTCTAAAAACCCTACGAAGCCAAGCTGGCGATAACCGGACGAGGCCGTGACGGCCTAGCAGTGACGAGGCGCCTCGTCTCCGGGGCCTGCGATCATCTGGAGTCCCAAAATGGAACTCTGGCCTGGGGCCCTACACTTTCTTTACTGTGGGAGGGTTTTTGGGTGTAGGGTTTCGGGTGGTTTCTTCGGGTCCCCAGACAGTTCTTGCTGAAAATTTAGGAAGCGGATTTCTGGAGGGCCCTTTGGCCAATGGCTCTTGCGAGGGCTCTCATATTAGATGGGCTCTTCATCGAGTTCCTAGATTGGATGCAAAGCCTCGAGCTGACGGAGAGACGGGCTTTCGAGTGCAGGTCATGATCGGCGAGTTCCCGAACTTGTCCGCCGAGGATAGACATGGCATCCTATGCACACAAACTTTCCTTGAGCTTTGATGTGCAGGGGCTTCCGCCTTGGCTTCCAGATAGACCCGGCTGGAATCATGCCGCCTTCTTCGCCGAGGTAGGGGTCAAACAGGCTCATCCTGGGTTCCGCCAACTCGATCCCACTCGGACGAGGAGCATCGCCAGAGTGCGGCCGCCTATGCTGCCGACCGTGCCAGGCCGCATTTTTGCATCACCTTCACCCTGCGAGGGCTGACTTCGACTGCGGCTCCTGGAGGCCGCCGGCGGAGCCCCTCTGGACCAGCTCGCTGCGAGCCGCAGGAGTGGAGGAGCTCGAGCCGGAGCCGGATGCCCTTGAATTTTGACATATTTTTGATGCCTGGCAGAGGACATGATCTCGGCCTTGATAGTATCCTCCTTCGATGGTTCGAGGCGCGAGGCTTGGTAGGCTGCAAGAGAGAGCAAGGCCAAAGGAAAGAGTTCCGTCAAGCAAACCGCGGCATGGGCACGTATGCATATGCATCCAGACACATTCATCCCTGCATTTTTCGTGCTACATGAGCAGGCAGCGGCTAGATCATGTCAAGCGGAATGACATGGACTCACTGACAACAAGAGGTCTGTATCGAGCACAGCCACTTCTGGTGCCACCTGGGACTGCTTTGTTTGGCCTGCGAAAGATGCTGACCACTCCTGGAGCCTTGGCATGCAGAAGCTGTCCATAAACCACGTCTTGCATGTGATGTTGAAAGGAAGAAGTTCAAGCTTCCGTAGTTTGCTGCAGTTCATCCATGACATGTGACATGCCTTGCAGGATGGGAAGCGAGCACGAAGCATGGATACGCGCGGAAGTGCGGCAGCGCTTGCCGAAAAAAATCCCAATCGGATGTGCATCCTGCGAGCGTGGCCTAAAGAGATCTGTGTCAGGGACAGCTTTCTTCAGACAAAGCTTCTTCAGGGAAAGCTCACATGTTGTACACGTAGGTGTCGGTGCTTGCCAGTGTCCTTCTCACCCTGCGCATCTGAGAGTCTCTGCAGGCGCTGTTCTGGTTGAGTCCTGCTAACACGCTTGAAAGAATAGAAGGACTCGATGCTTTTTGCGTCGTCGGCGTCGGTTTGGGCACAGCCAGGTCTGGTGTGGAGCTTCGGGTGCGTCACGGACAGTGATGGGAGGAATGTGCTCGAGCCCTTCCTCCGAAAATTGGCCGCAGGCCGGCAAGTTGCAGAGCTCTTTGGTGACTGCAAGAGGGTAAGCAAGCTGACCTGCAGGACAGACGCAGGGAATGAAGGAGGAGTTCGGGCTTCTCTGTGATGAGCTGTCGCCTCGGTGTATCTGATCAGCGGTCATCCGGGCAGTTTGATGTCCCTTTAAACCCCAACAGACCCTAAACCCCAGGGTAACACCCCAAAATCCCGAGCCCTAAACCCTGACACCCCCTTAAGTTGCATCCCCGGACCCAGGCCGGCTCAACGTTCTTTGCGCGGCGGGCTGGGCTCCCAGAGCTACCTCCTGACGCCAGAAAGCTCTACACCTCAAAAGCCTTCAAAAGGCCATAAACTGCTAAAGCTCTAACAAAGTGAAGACTGAAACCCAGACCCACCCCCTCAAAAAAAACACCAAAAGCCTGAAGCCCTGAATGCTTGAGTTTGGATCTTGCAAAATTCCAAAACCCTGAATCCTAAACTCTAAACCCTAATCCTAAACCCCAAACCCTAAACTCTAATCCGAAACCCTAGTTCGACCAGGTCGCCGCCCTTCCCGGAAGAAGGCGGCGTCTTCGAATACTTCCCTGTAGGGCCGAGCTGCAAGTCTGAGCCTCTGTTAGGGTTTGACTGCCACTCTTTTGGGGGTGCAGGGTATTTTGGGGTGTAGGATATTTTGGGGTGTAGGGTTTAGGGCCGGTCCGGACTTAGGGCTTTTTGGGGAGTGGAGTTTTTAAAGTAGGAGCTTAGGCTAGGGAAGTTTATGGTTTAAAGGGTTGAAGCTTTTAGGGAGAAGTTTTGGGCTTCAAGGGTTGAAGGTTCTAGGTTTCTTCTTAGGGGTTTCGGGTTTGATGGGTTGAAAAGGCGTTACGGAGTGTAGAGTTTGAAGGACTAAGATTTCAGGATTTGGGGCGTGGAGAGTTTGAGGATGAAGTGTTCAGGTTTTGGGTTCAGAGTTTCGAAACCCTAAACCCTAAACCCTAAACCCTAAACCCTAAACCCTAAACCCTAAACCCTAAACCCTAAACCCTAAACCCTAAACCCTAAACCCTAAACCGTTCCTTTGGGAACTTAAGGTGGGAGCCCTGGAGCAAGAAGATCGGCACCTTTGAGATCCCGAAGGATGCACAGGCACCTATAGAGGGAAGTCCAGAAAGTTAGATAATATGGTTTCTGGTAGTAGGATACCCTATAATCTACCTTAAAGGGGTTACGATAATGATATTCCAACTTTCTGGCTTCTACTGTACGTTCTTGCGCTTGGAAGGTTTTGGGTCGAGTGCATTGAGTGCCGCCTGCGAAGGCCCACTCACTCATCGTCCCCACCTCCGACACCGTGAGGATGGGGCTTTCATCTTTGAAACTAGAACTGACATCTGCGAAAGGGGGGAGGCTTCGGGTTTATCCTGCTCAGAAAATTACATCAGACTTCCTTTCGTGTGGTTGGGCAAGATGCGCAACTTGGCAGTCCCCTGACCCGTGGGTTTTGTGCCGAGAACGCAGGAATGCCTTCTTCCTCCAGATGCTGATCAAGGCGGAGTGCCACGTGGTCTTTGCAGGCCGGGGCCAGCTTCGAAGTGCTTGGACTTAGGAGGCGATCTCAGACGAGGACTCCAAACTCCTTTGTAGTTGTGCAGGCCCGACGGGGACTGGCAAGACGGTGGTGATCCAGCAGCAGCTTCTCAAGGGCTTCGATAGGGAGCCAAGACCTGAGCAATTCAATCGTACATGACACAGACCCGTCCGGCTGTGTGGCGCATTCACATAGTAAGCCCACACAGCATGTAGATGCTCTCGTGCATGGTTCGCAGAAAATGCTTTGGAGTGCGACTTTCCTACCTTCCGAAGCACTTGCGAGTGGATGCTGTTCCGAGGAAATACAACACGTTCGCCTTTGCCTTCAGTGCCCAGTCGAGTGCAAACCAGACGCAGGACGATCGAGAGTTTCGGGGTCCTTGCAGTGGGGATAGATTGAAGGTAGAATCTGGTGCGATGCATGTTGTGTTCTCAGAGTAGTCATCCCTGGCATCTGTAGCACCATCCACATCATTGGTCAAATGCACATGCAACGCATGGCACAGCTTGTTGTCACACGCAGGATGTGATCGATGGCAAACTGGACAAGAGGCTGACGGGCCTTCATGCTTCACCAGAGAGTGCATGTGGTGCAGTAATCTCGGAGTGCGGACCCAAAATGAGACAAAGAGTAGTGTCGTCGCAGTAGCCTATCCTCTTACCACTCGTAGCAGCTACGTGTAACAGATCGCATCATCAGTTTCTCTCGGTGCAGGAAGAAGGGGTGCTATGGCCCACCCTTTGGAAAGCGCTGCCTCGTTTTTGTGGACGACTTGAACATGCCAGCGAAGGCAGGTTTCGTATCCGTGGACTCTGACAGGTATATTTGTGAGGGGCCCTTGGAGACTTCTGTGTGGAAACGTTGCTCCGGCTTCGATGCGTCCCGCATTAATCGGGCCATTACCATGTGCCGTCGCATGCAACCGACCTGTGTCGTGGCAATGGCGGCGCAGGAGAAGTATGGTGCTCAACCACCGATCGAGTTGTTGAGGTGCGGTCAGCATCTTTGCAGAAAGCTCCTTATCACCCGTTGTTGCGGTTCGGAGTGAGGCAGCTGCTGGCATATGGGAGGGTTGGCGCATGATACTTGCTAGGCAGTGGATGGACACCAGTGGGTGGTACGAAAGGAAGACATGTGAGTCCGGCGCCTGGTCCATTGCTTTCGTGCGTTCTGCTTTTGTCTTCGTGTGTTCGGCTGGGAACTTCAGGAGCTCCTATCCGGACCCTAGCCTTGCGCAGGTATCGCCAACTGGTGGATTTGAACTTCATTGCTGCACTCACCCCCAGCGCTGGCCGGCCACAGATCACAGCACGCTACCTCAGGCCGGGCCGGGAATGATCTTTGAGCATGTCACGCTTATCTACAGTAGGTCAAGGTTCAGGATTCGTGCACTCCAGGGCTTGGAGTTAAGGGTGCAGGGTTAAGGGTGCAGGGTTTAGGCTTAGCATCCTGGAGTAGCTTTCCGCGTTCAGCAGGAAGTTTCGCTTTGCATGACTTGCCAGCGAGGCACTACAACTACTTCTACGTCTTGCCTTTCGAAGGAGAGAGTCTGCACCGAATCTTTCAGACAGTCCTGTCTGGTCCCCAGATCGTGGCACTGTCGGGGGTTGGAACAGAATCGCCTCGAGTTTCGCAAGACTGAGGCAGTGGTACCTGGCCAAGTTCCCGAGTCAGGCTCCTGAAACTAGAATTCCCTGATGCAATCTGTTTAGGGATCGCGGCGGCTGGGCTTCCATCTCACCAGCCAAGCACGCAGGTTGGTGCACTCAGTGGCAACGTCGTCCGAGCAACTGCCCAGCCCTCGGCCAGTTTTCAGCCTTAGGCCATGGCACTTGCCGCATCGAGTGCCCCAGGTCGACATCTATCATTCAATCTCGGCCAACATGCTGCCGACGCCCGCCAAGTGATCAGCCCAGAAAGGATCCCTCCCAAGCACCGCTGGTCATAACTATGCTGCCCTCCTGATTCGTGCCAGCCGTGCTGGCACATCCAGCTTCAGGTCGCATTACACCTTCAACCTGAGAGATCTCGCCAAGGCCAGGACACGCTTCCATGTTCATCTAGGCATCCGTCTGCCGGGCTAGCTCCGTCTTCCTCTCTTTCTTTCTTTCTTTCTTTCTTTCTCTCTCTCTCTCTCTCTCTCTCTCTCTCCGTCCCTCTGTGTTTAGGAACGGAGCATCGCATGCAACACATAGAGCTGGGCAGACACATTTGCGGCCAAGGTGAACCAGGGCATCTGCCTCTGCAGCAAGGAGTCTCTCCCGACCCCGGACGACTTCATCAGATGCTGGGTTCACGAATGCCAGCGGGTCTTCCAGGCTCCTGCAGCAGAGCGGAGGTTAGAATGCATGATGGTGCAAAACAGATTCAGGATTCAGGAAGGCCAAACCGAGACCCCTCACCCGGAATCATGTTACAACTTTCCTGGCTCGGTGGTACGGTCGATGTAACTACGGAAACAGGTTCCAGGTGTTCTTGGCACTTGGTGCCGCCAGCAGCTAGCAGTAAGCTTGGATGCCGAAGAGTCTCGCGGGTTGTTGCGCTGCAACCCCTTGAGAGGACCGGCTCGTCAATGATGAGGATAATGCGCCCAACTCAAGCCCACGTCTCCCGTGATTGTGCAATCAAGCCGCCCCTTCTGAGGCATGGTTCAATGAGCTCCTGCAAGAGAAGTTGCAGGAGTAGTCGGGGCACATCAACTTGCATTCGGTGGCTGTGGAACCAGTGTAAGCTAGGTGAGTCAGAGTGCCTCCAGTCGTATGTTTTTTCCTTTAATTGGAGAGGTTGTCTAGCCATGATGCACAGGAGCACTTCAAGAAGCAGTGGAAAGCCGTCGTCAAACAGGACGGGTGACAGTTGCTGCATCGCCATGTGCGGCCTCCATGAGCTCTCAGTGCAGGAGCCGCTGATTTTCATTGACTTCGCTGACAGTGGCACACTCGGCTTGGCCAAAGCATCTGTAGGGTTTGGGGGTTTAGGGTTTAGGGATGCAATGCCAACTTGCCCTGCCACCCAGGCAAGGCACCATACTATCAGCAGGTCACCGACTATGAGCAGCTGGATGACGTGCTGCTACGCCAGCATGTGTTGTATGACATGGGAGGTTGCGTGTGTATTGGTATTCTTAAATACAAGGCTCGTGTGCCAGGAAGAACCGCCTCATGGACTACAACTCCATGGCGAAGCGCGGTATGGAGCTCGTTCTCTTCATGCCGAAGCCCGAGCTGGCAACGGTCGTATCATGACCACATTGAAGAGCTCGCGAGAGTGCGAGACAAAGTGGAGAATTTCTTCCGTTCCAGGGCTGCTGCCCAGCACATCTGCCGCATCGTCCTGCTCCTAGTAAGGGACAGAGGGACACACCAGAAAGCAGAGTGTGACAGGGGTTCTCTGCAGCCAATCGTGATGCGATGTGGGCTCGATGAATGCCCCCATTTCCGGCAGTGCGCCGCCGTGCTTCAGGTGCGGGTGTTGAAGACTCCTCTGGGCAATTCGCTGCTAGTGGGTGTCGGAGGCCAGAAGCCGCCCAGCCTTCAACACGGGGTCTACCAAGACAATGTAGTCGACGCCTCAGGCAGCGGCCGGAAGAGTCTGGCATCGCTAGCCACCTTCGTGGCCGAGTGCGCCTTGCATCTGTGAGCTGGACTTGGAGCTCGCAAAGGTTCTTGAAACTGATCCCCAGAGTTGGGTTCTCGTATTTTTTTCATGGTGTGAGGTACGAGCAGTTCTCCATTGAAATCACCAAGAACTACACTGTCTCTGACTGGCACGACGATGCCCAGAGCTTACTGTTCGCTCCTGCTCTGAATGGTAGTCTAGAAGCTTAGCACGTCCGGAAGATGAAGTTTGCCCTTGCAAGGTGAAGCGCTTGCTCATGATGGTCGGAAGCTCCACGCAGGCATCCGCCCTCATGCAGTTTGTGATTGCAGCTGTCAAAAAACACGTGATGCAAACTCCTGGGTGCTTGTATTGTCAACGTATATGTGAAGGTAACGTTTCTGCTTGCAGACACCCAGATTCCGAAGGCGGACTCGGTTGGATCATAATAGTCGGTGTTCACGTCTCGGTCTGACTCTTCGTCTTGAGCATCAGGAATCCTTCCTGGAAGACACTTCGAGCCTCTTGAACAACGGCGAGGCGGAGTCGAGATAAGTCTCAGACGGCCAGACTTCCCCGAAACATAGCCTTTACAATGGAACTTCGAAATGCCCATGTACATGCAATGTCTTGCTGCACATGCTGTTCGCCTTCTAGGGCTGTGTCGATGCGAACTCATGCCTCGACTTCCTGACATCCTGGTCGCTCTTTTGCCTCTGGCGCTGATGCGATGACAGGGCGTGTCTTGAGGCTCCTGTTGAGCCTTTTGCTGCTCCGATCTGAGCCTACAGCCGACATGTTGGACGCATCTTTTCTCGAGGCTGGCACGGAAGAAGCGACGTCCGTAGCAACCAGAGCCCATCATGTTCGTTTCATTTACAGATTCGATCCCGAGCTGCGGCGGCATGTGCCATGAAGCGCCGCCATGGCGCAGCCCTTGCGGGATGGGCGGCCCGCTTGAGTTGCGACGGGGAAGGGTACCGCCAACTCATGTTCAAGCGACCAAGGATCCAAACACCAAGGATGCTGAAGTCGAGGTTGAGCAAGATCCCCTGACTGGAGGCAGATTCGCGCGACTTATCTTTATCGCACAGCTGCCAGCCTGCAGGCTGCTACAAAGCCGCCTGTGCAAGCACCGATCGTGCCTGGATCGGACTGCGAGGACGTCCCGGTGTGGTTTCAGGTGGCCGGGTTTCGTCACCTGAAGCTTTGACAGTATCCTGTCTTGCTCATCAGGCCAATACTGCTTCGAGGTGAAGGTCACGGAGGGTCTCCTCCGGGTGGGCTGGTCGTCGTCCACAGCGTCCCTGGCACTTGGCACGGCCGGATCGGAGTTTCCGAAACCAGCTAGTCTGCATTTGCCTGGGTACCCCGGATATGTTGCATGTGTGCCCACCTTGCATCCATAGCCAGGCATGTGCTCGCAGCGTCAGACGTAGTTGCTTCTCCTCCACGCTTGTCAGAAATCCTAAGTGGGAAGGATGCGGAAGGCTTCGGCTTCGGGGGCACTGGAAAGAAGAGCCGCCTGGCAGGGAAGCGGCTATCGGCCGTAGTGCCGCAATGCACAAGCGTGGTTCACCCAGGCCACAGGAACAAGTTCGCAGACTACGGCGCTCCCTTCGAAGCCGGCGACGTGGTCACCTGCTGTCTGGACTGTTTTGCTTGTCAAGCTCCGTTGATCAGATGAGCGGTTGGATTTCACCCGCTTTGCTGTCGAAGCAGGACCGAGATGGGCGCGAGGTGAGCTTCGGTGTCAATGGCATCTGGCATCTGGACGCATGAATTATGCAATTGAGGGCCAATGCCAGAGCTGTCGCAAGGATGCTCAAGTCTCGAAGTCTTCTGCTTTTGAATGAACTTGTACAGGTTCATATGCAGTACAGTAGCAGTTTCGATTTCAATGCATGGGGACATGTCAGGTACGGGAAGGCCTTCGACATCCCCAAGGCTTTCGCCCGCTTCACCCAGCCACGTGTTCAAGATCACATACCTATGCAGTCTGTGTATGTTGAGCTGCTCAAGGCTTCAGAAGCAGAAGCGTGCGATTTCGTGCCAAACAGGCATGGGATGGCTTTGCCCTGTTCCCGGCGATCTGTGCGCGGGAAGCTTTTCGAATAACAGGCCAGTCCACAAATAAGCTCATAAACTTGTGTGTGTGTGTTGAGAGTTTAGGGTACAGTGTATGCGGTCTAGAGGCCAAGCCATGCTTTAGAAATTTGTTGAGTTGTTGGGTGCTCAGAAGCAGCTTGGCTGTTCCCTGAAGGCTACTTTGGCTGCCCCGATCATCCGAAGGTGCCGCACGGCTGCGACTTCTGGCCTTTAGGCGCGGAAGCCCGAGATGGTAGGCTTTGTTTGAGCTTAGGGTTTACGGCTTTACATCGTTTGAGACAGCGGGACGTTGCATAGACGGTGGTGATGTCTGCCGTTCTGACATATTCTACTGCGATCTGGCAGGCGCAGCTTACCCCGTCACTTGGCTTATGAAGTGCAGAGTGGGAGTTCGTGGCCGTTGGGACTCGTGGCGCCGGAGAGCTGCAAACGCTGCGAAGATTTTCGAGCACCTAACGAACAGGATGCGTACACTTCAGTTGGTGCCTTGTGTTTTCACGAACCAACTTCCTACATGACCCGGCAGTTTCGGGCTTCACGGCATCCTGAGATGAGTAGGCGGGTGCCAGACGTTCGGGCAAATTCACAAGGCACAACTCGGCAAGCCGACTGCCACCAGCTAGGGGGAACTTGCTTTGGCAGCAGATGACAGCCGATAAGGCAAACTGCACAGGGCAGGCTCCCGAAGACCACATCAGGTCGGCAAATCGCATGACATGCAAAACCACGAGAAAGATTCCCACAATGGTGGTGACCGGAAGACAGCTTGTCTTCGAGGTCACATTGGACAAGCATGACAAACTAGGTGCTCCATGCAGCATTCCGACAGCTCTGAGGTTTCTCATGGGAAATCTGAAATCATTGAGCGTCGTTGTCTCAACCGCTTTGTGCCTCCGAACAGATATCTGAGCGAGTCATGTCCACAAGAAGCAACCTGAACCCTCAACACCTGAACTTGGCCTGCCCAATCGGGCTGGTAGACGCCGAGCAGTCGTGCAGACACCACTAGGCCCACCAAAATGAAAAACCCTAAGCCCGAAACCCGAAATCCAAACCCTAATCCCTGAAACTCCTAAACCCCAAACCCCTAAACCCCTGAACCTGATCGATCCTCTGATCTCAGGAGGATGTGCTCGAGTCTGCAGCCGGCCCTCCGATGCAACTGGAACTCCCCGGTCTGGAGGACTGCAGGGGCCTAATGCCAACAATTAGGGTAACAATAACAAGAACAATCATAATAGTGATAATCATAGTAAAGTCATAATAACAATGATCATAATAGTAATAAGAATACCAATAGTAGCAGTAATAATGGTAATAGTGGTAGTAATAATTGGTACATTAATAGTAGTACAATAGTACTAGTAACTGTAATGATAATGACAATAACGACAAGCATGATAATGATAATGACAATAATCATTGATTGAAGCGGTTCCATGTCCATGCAGGAAGGGCCTGCCAGCCTCTGGTGATTGCCGATCCCTCCAGGAGTCTGCCGAAAGGCGGGGCGCGCGACGTGGTCGCTTCGCGAAGATGGCCCGTGTGGACCAGGCCTTCTGCAGTTGTCAGAGTGCCAATCCCATAGAAGGGAAAATTGGCAGACCGTGATGTGTTTGTTGCAGGACTTGACTGTCCTTTCAAGCCACCGGCCGGGGATGCTTCGTTCAGCCGGGACCACAGGTGGCGGAACCGCATTGCTTTGGGTGGGAAGTGATCAGCTCCCATATTCAAATCTCAGCTATAGGTGTGCGTGTCGATGATGGGTGTCCGTGTACTGGTATCTGTCCGTCCGTCTATCCGCCTGAGCTTTCAGCATAATGTGTAAGAAGCACAGAGCTTTTGAATTTCGCATCACCGTCTCCTTGCTCAGATGCCGGGGTCCTCATCGGCCGCTGTCGTGCCTTGGAACGAGGCAGGAGCACCTTCCGTGCAAGCTCCATGACACCTGTCGTGCGGTTCCATGTCCTTGGAGGCTATCTGCGCGATGCCGCGAAGCTACGTGATCCAGAGCAGATTCGGCCCATGCCGGCTTGCTACTCAGCTTCAGCGTTGGCCAGGATGGGCTTCCGGGTGGAGCAAAGGGCCAAAGAGCCCACGTGCAAGCTGTGACGAACGGTCCCTGCAATCCTGCACACTAGTATCTTTTTTGCGGGAGTATGGGAAGTTGTCATCAGCCCTGATCGAGACAAGAAATGCCGCGGCAACCGTATGAGCTCACTCTGGCAATCGCGCAGTGTGTAAAGCTGTAAGCCTTGCGATTCGGAATTCGGGCTTCTGCTGTCGTCTTCGCACGTGCCGTAGAGTTGAGGCTGAGGATATCTTACACGTGCTGTGCTTTGAATTCTGGAGGTACTCCGCGAGGCCTTGCAGCACTGCCTCTCAGCCGGCCGTGCACCTTGGCTTCAGAAGAATAATCGAGCCCGAGGGCTGTCAAAACGCTCCGCTGACATAACTTCTTTAAAGTGCAAGAGAAGATGTGCGTCTACGCAGTGAAGTCTTGCAATTAGCCCCCCCCCTTCTCATCCTGAGCTCTGTCCCTTGGCGAGAGCTCCTGCTCCAGCCTGCCGGACCCGTCCCCCAATGTAGACTGCCTCAACACTTGGGTGAGATCGATACGACTGCACATCTGAGCATTGTACTGCTGCAGACTAAAGCACCCAAAATCTGCCTCCCAAGGTGGCTAGCCGCTAAGCCCTGAAAAACCAACAGCTGAACACTTGAAGGGGATCTGGTTGTTTACAACAACCTTCTCGAACACTCTGACGACGGAGGCATGGTCCTGGGAAGCGGAGATGCTGAGAGCGATCCGGCAGGAAACGTCCATGGCTCACGAGAATCTCGCGTCTACACTTCCTTTACTTACGGTTCCAAGTCAAACTCTTGCATTTGGGGTGTACGGCTGTGTAAGATAGGGTTTAAGGCTTGTGGGTCTTTCTCTTGAGACGCCCGAGTCTTGAATAGCCTATCGACTTGCGGCAGTTCTGTTATTGGCCCAGGGCATCTGCTGCATCTGTTGAAAGCCGAGGCGGGCGTGTTAATTTTCTGACGATCTACAACTGGAGAAGAACTTGCTTTTGTCTTCTCATGGTCGCAGTGCCGCGCGCATCAAGACATGAAGCCGGAGATGTCGAGTGGCACCAGGACATCACCGTCCAGCATCTGGATGCAGACTTCTTGGAAGAGGCAGACCCTGCCGAGCTCCCCCCAATTGTCGTTTTCCTGCTGTGATGACCGCCGTCAGAGTTTGGCGGTTTTGGGTTCAGGCTTCGGGTTTCGGGAACCCTCGAACCGCAAAGCCCTACGTGTGGTGTTCACACAGAGACAGGACTTCCTGCACACTACCAAAAATTATCAAACCCGAGCCCGAACCTTCTAGCCTAGAACCCGGGACTACCAGAGTCCAAAACCCCAAACCCTTAAACCTTAAACCCCAAGAGCCTGGTGACAAGCCCAAACCGGAATGTGGGCAGCAGGTCTGTGAGGTGTCCTGCCTGCGCGCGCTGGCCAACGGGGATTGGCCCGTCTTTGCCGCTTGCTCAGTTTGTGTTTCGGGGTTTGTGGTGTGCATAAGTGTGTGCCAAGAGTGCTTGGCGCTTGCACTCTAGGCGTCTTGCTCATCTACGCTGAAGCGGCGACCACGTGCTGCGGTGCGGGTCTCTGGGCCGTGGAGGGAGCTGTGCACGTTTCTCTGCTCTCTCAGACACCGTTGTTGACGAAAAATGACAGCACAGTAAGCTCGACATTGCAACCAGGAAACACACGTGTGAGTTTGAATCATAGATGTCTCCTGGCCGGAAGTTCGATCCCAATCCTACGCAGTAGAAGACATAACTGACATGACTGGCCAAGGGCCGAATCCGTGACTGGCAAAGATGGAAGCACGCCCTTCCGAACTGCATCAAACCTTGCATAGAGAACCCAGACAGGTCTCAACTGGCAGGAGAAAGAGGGACCTTCATCCTCCAAAGCAGAGGCCCAAACGCAAGCACTGCGTGTCCGTCTCTTCGAGGAACTCCGCTGGCTTGCGCTGCTGGGGCGCCCGCAAGTCCTGGCAGCAGCTCTCCAAGCGATGCCTTTGGAGGAGTGCGGCTATTTTCTGCGATGTGCGTGGTTGCGTTATAAAGGTATTCTCATTGGTGGTGTATACTTAGTCCACTTACAGGGGAGGGTCGGGTGAAGTTGTGTTCTTGAAAATTTAATGGGTGGCATCCACAACAATCAGTGTGCGAGTGTGTGTGGCATGTCGTATTCGTCATGGGAGCATGTTGGAGCCAGGTCCAGGTGTTAACAGCTAACGAGCTAATGTCAGGACTTTTCTGGGCACCTGTAGTGTGACCAGACTGCGTTGTCAGTGAAAGTGCCAGGACAGTGTCTCGGGCTTCGTTCGCAAAACGTTGGCCGATCTCGGCGTGGGCTTGTGGACTCGGGCTCTGAAGCGGAAAGCTCCGACTCAGAAACTTGGCTGCGCCTTGTTCCACTACGCATGCAGATGCTGAGGAAGCATCGGATGTGTCTCCAGGACAGCTCAGCAAGCCTTTGACATTGCCGTCAAACCCATTGCACAGGCTCGCGATGAAGTACTGTCGTTAAATTTGCATGCTGAGCTGTTGTGCCCGGTGACATGGCCTCAACCAAGAAGTCCAATTATCTCTGCCATGCTTGACAGTCTTTGCCATCGCTGAGAGTTGGGCTCTTCCCATGTCATCCTTTGACAGACTTTGGCTGCACCCTCTTTGAGGCAAATCTCCTGTGCGCCATTTGCAAGGCCAGCACTTGCTGTGCGTTGTCGGCTGGTAAAACACCTGCAGACTTTCAGAGTGGCATGCAATGGCAGTCAGTCAAGATGCTCCAGCCATCCTCCGAGTTGGCCATCAGAGTTGCTGATTTGTGCAGTTGTACGCACGCAGGCATTCCCCACCGCACAGCAGTCGACGCTGCCGCTTGCCTAAGTTCCCTGAGTGTTCCCTGTGTTTTCCATACTCTTCATCTTCTCTTTAGTCTGAGCCCGGAAGATTGTGGCAGCACACCAGGCAAAGCCTTGGCGTCGACAGCTTGCCGTCCAGCATAAGCCTCACTGACAAGTTGCTGAATGGGAAAGAGGCCAGAGGCAGCAGTTACATCTCCCCTCGGGATGGGGAGGTTTCGGACCGAGAAGTAAACGCAGATGTGCTGCTAGGGTGGATCGGCAAACCCTGAACCCCAGCGTGCATCAGTGAAATGGGCGCTCAATGTCGGGACAGCCCACGCTCGTCTTTGCTGCATGCTCCCATCTCCTCCAAAAGGTATGCAACAATCCGAGGCTACGGCTGATGCAAGCGATTGCAAGCGTCTAGGCACCAGAGGCATCCGTCGTCCTGCTCCGGCTCAATTCCAGTCAGTGTCGGATTCGTCGCGATATTACATTCGTATACATATACAGGTAGATGCAGATATTGATATACATCGATCTACTGGTAGGTATAGATCTAGTAATATATTGATAGTTGTCCCCTTCTGGTCCCTGTACTTCCTTTGCTACCCTATAGTCCAATTGTGAAGGCCAGCTATGTCTCGCAGCCGTTCTCCGGTGGGTGAACTGGAAGACACCAGGGTCCGTTCGGACGGCATCGAGCTATGGGTTGCGTTGACAGCTGAGCAGATCTCCTTGTTGGGCTCAGAAGATGGGTCTCCTCCTGATCCATACTCCAAGCGCTACGGCCTTCGGCGCCGAGCTGCTGAAGCCTTGGAACGCGCGCTGTGTTTCATGCAGTGGCGCCCGGATGGAGAGACTCGCCCTACACTCAACCAGCAAGATTTCACGCTGTGCAAGATCGATATAACCGCCAAAGGCTACTTATTCCTCTGCGAAACAAAACAGCTGGAATCGAGGAAGCAAGGCCAGTGGCGCCTCATCGGTAACCTCCGATCAAAGTTGACTGCGCAAGTGGTGGACGGGGAAGCTCCCATCCTCGTCTATGAAGTAAGACCGGACAGGCATCAGATAAGCTAGTGCGATCTTCCGCATGGCTATCCGCCTCTACGGCGGCACGAGATTGCAGGGCCGGAGCAAAAAGGCGCAGAGATCAGCTCCTGCCAGCATGCACCCAAGCTCACCCGGCCGTTAAGACTCCGCCAATGGATACCCAAGACCTGTCTGGGTGAGTCAGTCACAGTTCAATCACTGTTGCAAGACGGTCACCTCTTTTATGACTCTCGGGAACAGGGTGGTCATGACAAGCTCGCGTAGCTAGTTGCTGCGACCGCGGTTTAAAGAAGTAGCTACTTGCTTGAATTCTCAATCCTGTAGTAAGACAGTATGCAAGCACGAAGGGGCTCGATGATCGTCAGCTGTGAGGCAACCTAACTAAGCACTGTAGTGTCGGTAGGTGCCATTATGAGGGTCGGGTTTCTGGCGGCTTCGTTCGAACATGCCGTGCCAAGAAGGTTCCAGTCACCTATTGATCACATGATGATGACCGTAGAAAAAAGGACACGGGATCACATGGGTCAACATGTATGGAGCAGCCACAGATGTTCCATTCCGATGTCCGCGAGGCATTGCCCGCAGCTCAAGAGGTGCTTCAGGTGGCGCAGCGGCCGCAGCAGCGCAGGGGCCCGAGTTTTCGCTGGTCCGGCCTTCAGAAGACACGGCTGTTCCAGAGGTGAAGATCATAGAACCTTGGAAAGCAATTTGAGAAGTGATGAGTAAGCAGTAAACCAAGCGAAGTGCTAGATGGCGAAGGGTTGGTTTCAGGGTTCTCCAGTCAGTGGTGGATCTCTCGCATCAGGCTCGGAGTTCCTGCGCTGAGCCACCCGGGACCTCTCCCGCCCAGCCGACTGTTTGGGAACATGCGCCACGGCCGGCCACAGCATGGAGAAGCAAGGAGGGGAACGAAGAAATCTCCCAAGGCCGAGGTCCGAGGTCCGAGGTCGGAAGGCGGGGAGGGCTTAGGGCTTCCGCACGACTCTGGACTTGCCTTGAGCTGATGGGATCATTGCATTCGGCAAAGCACCGACAGATCCCGACCTCGCCCTGGCTGCGGCAAAACTGCGTGCTGCTCCTCCGAGCTGCTTGAAGGAGGAACAAGCGGATGGTTCCACCTGCAGGTGCCGAACCTCTTCAATGCCGAGGACAAGACGCAGATCCTGGAGGTGGACGGGTCTTGTTGCGACTCCCTTGTAGGAGATCTGCCCTCGTAGTGCATTACAGAGACAGAGGGGCTTGGCTGCAAAGGTGTCAACCTCGGCGGCCCAAGCCGCGGGCTGCAGCGATCCCGCGGAGGCAGCCAGCGCTCAGCTCCGCTGGGAAGAGGGAACTTGGAGGATCATGGGACTTAGTAAGTACGGTTATAAGTACCTTAATGTAGTTATAAGTAATTATGACTGTAGTTACTTTACTTATAACTGCAAAGTGACGCGCGGCATGAGAGGACGACTTACTCTGTCCTAGATTTTGAGCTGCAGAGGGTTCCGTGAAAACATGGTGGTTTGCAACACGCTGGGCACTGATCATTGTAACATAGTTTGGAGCTCTGCATATTGCTTGATCCAGACCCCTTCGCCATGATTCAGATTGCAGTCGTTGAGTGCAAAGACCAGCCATCGAGCGTCATGGACATGGCTTGGCCTGTATTCGCACTTCTGCAGGTGTTCGCCTTCTTTACAGAGCAGTGCCGTCACAGCCTTTGAATTGAGACGGAACTTGGTTTGTTATCGCACTTGTGTCAGGGAGTTACTTCTTCAGACAGATTGTTGATACGCTGGCAGCTCGCATTAGAGTCTTGCGTTTCATGTCAGCAGCACTTGAAAAGCTTCGAACGATTTCGGACTTGTAGCTTGTCTAGAAGAGCGGCTCGCTCCGGCCCGTAGCTGAGGCAAGAACCTGCACCTCGTTCTCGCGCTGTCGCCTATTGGTGAGGCATGGTTTTGCTTGCAAAGCATGGTGCTCTGCGCACTACGCATCGGGAGAGTGATGAGCAGGAAGCCTTCAGAAGCTTTGCCAGGCCTTCCGCCGACGCGTGCGGATGTTCCCAGCCATCGTCAACTGCTGCACGATCGCCTGAAACTCAGATGCGCAAGACTTGCAGAGGAAATTAAAACAGGCAACGCCAGATATCAGAATTAGTATTAGCATTATTCAATAGTCAGCGGACGCCGTTATGCACCATGCGAACTTGGGCGTTCAGCTAGGACTGCGTAAGTTGCATGCCAGGCCGAGAGCCGTGATGAGGTACCTTATTTTAGGGATCCTTATAATAAGGATTTTAGAAGAAGGATCCTACAAAAAGGATCCTACTATAAGGATCCTACTATAAGGATGCTACTATAAGGATCCTACTATGTAGGGTCTCGAATTTCTGGTTGCTTTGGTTTATCTTCCAGGAAGAAGGCTCAGGGAAAACTCATTTCTTCGCTCCGGCACTTGGAAGCATGTGGCGGCAGTTTCCCAATGCGCCGCAGAAGCACAACAACAAGAACAGAGAGATTGAAAAAGGTATCAGAGAAAGAGAGAGCGATCCACCCAACACCCATGCTCGGGTGCTACCATCTACTCCTGGAGAGAGACAAACACCGTTCTTGTTGAAGAAGCAGAAACACGGGATCCTCTGCGACCTCCGGCGTGCTCCATCTTTCGCTATTTAAGGACTGGTTCATGGAGTGGCCCGAGGAAGCGCTCCGTGGGGTGGCCACCCATTTCTTGCAGAAGGTCGCAGAGAGTTGTGCGGGTCAAGTGCAAAAGACTTGGGGCGGCGCCTCTTCACAGGTGGACCTGGCGAAGGACGTTTTCACTGGAGTTGTGGAGTCCGGGCCTCAGAACATCTCGAATCAATTTCCCGAAACAAAGAAAACGGGTTTTGATGACATCCGCCGCCATCTGAATCTGGATTGCGGGTGATGTCGGCTACGACATGCACTGTCGAAAGCACCGCTCGATTCGATCACGGAGTGTGCCAAGAATGCCATAAGGCCATATCAAGCATCCAGAAAGTGCAATCGTGTAATTCACTGCAACCTTACACCCTCGCATCTCAAGCCGCTGCGGCCAGAACTCGAGCTTTGGCCTGTGGTCGCCGCAGAAGCTTTTCACGACTCGCGGGCTGTAGAAGCATAGCGGCGAACAGCCGACAAAGGATTTGTGTGCGGATGCAAGAGTCCGTCTTCGAGCTGACGGACCGCTTCCGCCGCGAGGCTTGGCCAGGTAGAGCAATCGGCATGCTTTTTCGGCGGTTTCGGCCGACTGCGCTATCGGTCCTGGTTCGGGAGTTTTGTGCTGGGTGAGTTCCCAAGCAGATCCGTGAGGTGCAGCGACACTACTACGCCTGGAGCTCGGGGCCCTATCGGCAATGGGAAGTGCCTGCTACGTCTCGGGTGAGGTCACGCCCACGTCATACCTGGAGCTCATCAACGCCTTCAAGGGCGCAGCAGCCTTGAGAGAGCGTGCAACCAGCCAGAACCAGTCTCACTTGGTCCGCTAAGTCGTGCAGCGTGCAGTTCACTGCCTCGAGACTCGTCGAGACTCGAGGTCTTGGCAAGCAAGCGAGACGATGTCTCCGGTGCGAAGCGACGCTACGATGATGGTCTCGAGAAGGTGATCTCCACTGAAGAGCAGGCAAGAGCCAAGGACCCTACCCAGCGGGCCTTCCGACTGGCTTTGCGGCAATGCAGGTGAAGACGATGTCCATCCAGCTGGAAGAGCTTCGACCAGCCAGGCACTCAAGAGACCACAGTGCCCTTGGTGCCGGTGAGGCTGTACCACTCCGGCATGAAGTGCGCATGCCAGGCTTCCAGCCTTGTTTCTTGAGGTGCTCAAGCAGACCTCTGCAGAGACAGCAGATCTTATGACCGTAATCGAGCACAAGCAGGAAGAGGCCAATTGTTGTAGCGAAGACTGGGAACCAGACCGGAACATGCCGCGCATTGCAGGCCTCAGCAACACAGGCGGTGGTGGCGAAGGAAGAAGAGGCTGCGTCGCAACAGGCCTCGCGCAACCGGCCTTTCAAAAAAAGCACAGAGAGCGATTCTTGCAAAAGCCTGCCCCGTTCGACAAGCATGTTGGTTGCAGGCAGAAGCCTCCCGCACCATGAAGGAGGAATGCCAGGCCGACTTGGACAAGGTGCCTCGTGCCTGCCGTGGTGTCTGCTGGACGCCTTGTGTTTCGGATCCTACATTACTTGTTTGGGCGTGGGTTCCGCCAGCCTTCAGAGCTATTCACCGCTCATGTTTTTGTGGTTGACTTCCCAGCTACCTGCAGCGGGGCCGTCCCACAGGGAACACAGGAAAATGTAGACCGGCTTGAGACTTGTTTTGTTCCCATCTTTACGTCGTAGGTATTGTCCTTGAACAGACACGCAGACAGTAAACAAGCTGCCATGATAGCAAGCCTCCCAGAAACACCCGTAGTTGCAGAAGAAAATCCCTCTAACTGGTAAGGGCAAGCTGCAAAGAATCGTTGGACGGCTTGCTAGAAATCCGATCCGATGGCATCCGGTTGAGAATTAGGGTTTGGCATCAGCCGTTGCAACAGCGCAGCATCAAACGATGTCGCAAGTGATCTCCTGAAGTCTTCGTGGAACGGTTCGAACACTTTGCCTCGAAGTTGGATGGGAAGTACTTGCCGTGGCAGGGTACATGTTGGTGACGACATGCAGCTCGTAGACGCAGATATCGAGCGCAGCATGACGCATGCAGAAGCGAGGATCGCCTTATACTGCGCCTTGTCTGAGCACTGTAGTTTCTCGCAGGCACTGCCGGCATTGAATGCAGCTTTGGATGCGCTGAAGAGCCTAAAGAAAGGTGCGCGCTTTTTGGTGTTGAGTCTAGCCGAGATTTTCTGAGTCAATGCGGCTTGCCAGCCAGGTGACATCGTGGAGGCGTTTGTGGCTTGGGGCAGGTAGATCTAGGCAGTGACATGGTGAAGCGACTTTGAAACCGTTCGGGAGAGGTGGGGCATTGACAATGCCGGTGCAATGCCACGGCAGAGGCGGTTCGTGGTAGACATGTTCTCAGACTTGCAGGTGAAGAATATGAAGTCTCCACCAGAAGGCGTCATTACGGTGTCGAAGGCGCTGTGCTGGATGTACCTCGGCGGCAGAGAAAGAGCGCGCCACAGCATGCAGTCCTGAGCATTGACATGTGGCGCCGGAGGTTCGATGTGAAGCCAAAGAAAGTCACTGCGGAAGATGGCCGCACCAAGGCGGCCCTCCGCAACAGATCCCGCTCTCCAGATTTCTTAAGAGAGCCTCTGCTAAGACTACCTCTGCATGCCTGCGACGTCCTTTACCTTGTGTCTGGGGCAGATCGATGACTACTGGGAGCCGTCCAAGAAGAGCCTTTGGGGTGTCCGACCCTCAGCTCTGTGTGCTCCTCGTCGAAATTTCTCCAGCGTCCCTTTCGGCGTGGCGCCAAAGGACTCGAAGATGTTGGACCGGCTGTTGGGCGCTCCCCCGAGCGAAGGGGGAGAAATGTCACAGCATGTCACAGTATTGCTGTCCGACTCCTCCTGTAGCAGTTGTAACAGCCTTTCTTGTTGCTCCGGCGTGGAGCCGCCGCAGGCCTCTTTCAAGCAGGCACACAGCAGTTTCACGTCGCTGCTTCTGGTGTGTTTTCCAGCCAGGCAAACCTAGGTTTGATTCAAGACACTGCATGCGTCTGAGGCTATGACAAGGATCATATACCGGCGCGGTCCCAAGATTCCATCCGTGTGCGTGGTTTGTCCGGACCCCCTCATGCAAATCGAATCCGTCGAATCCGTGTCGTGGTGCTCCTGGGAAGTCAGCTTGCCACATTTTGATCACCCGTTGGTCTTGCTTCTCAATTTTGCGCTTGTGGATGCTGCGAGGAATTTGGTGTTCAGGGGTGGTGTGAAGGGCACCCCCCCGGACCTGAAAGTCGTGGTCAGGTGGAGGTCATCGAGAAGTTGAAGCCCTTGGAGGATGACCCCGAGTTTGACCCGGAGGCCGGGGCAGGGGGAAGTCTTCCCTCAAGGCTGGGAGTTGGATCTGAGGGAAGGTCTCACAAGCCAAGTCTCCTGGGGGGTTCTTGGCCGTGCATCCGCCCGCTTGACGGTTGCTTCAGCTTGAGGTCATCAAGAAGGCTTCCACTGCAGCCATGGGTATTTGCAAATGGGCCAGACACTCGTGGCACGCGAGTGCTGACAGAGCTTCGATGCGCCTGCAGGAGCTGAGCAGCAGAGATGGTGGGCTGCATGCCTCTAAGGTCCGTGCCATGATTGTGTACGACGGCGTGGCGAAAGTCGTAGGGCCCAAGAAGGAGGCTTGCTAGCCCAAGGGTGGCACCGAAGATCGGGGCGTTCTAGATAAATGTGCTGCATTCAAGCACAGTTCTCCCGATTCACCCTTCGGCAGGCACTTGCCCAGGCAGAATCTGAGCTGGCCAAGGCCGTTTTCCACTTCACAGGGCCTTGCCGAATATTTAGCGGATGCAGATAACGTCCCTGCCCGGGCATTGTATTACGTGGTCAAAGACGTAAACCAATTCTGCCTGTTCGGCCGTCGATTCGCCATGGACCGCGGTTGTCTCTTTCGGCTTTGCAGCATATTGCAATGGTATATCATGCTGGTCTCCCAAATTCAAGCAGGGCAGGGCAGAGTCTCTCCTTCTCTCTCTCTCTCTCTCTCTCTCTCTCTCTGTCTCTAAATCTCCCCCTCTCGCACACCACAAACTGCGCTGTCATGCTTTGCAAGACTCATCACAGAAGTCCGGAAAGCCTTACGCAACTCAGCACCCTCCCCCCCCAATGCAGAATGGCATCCGGCCTGCTCGCGGTTTACAGTCTTCTGCGGCACAAGTTGCCTGCTTCAGCATCAGCCAACATTGTGGCGTTTCTTCACAGGCCGCACCTCTTGGTGCAGACTCTTTGCTTGAAAGGGAAGGTTCGACCCTCCAAGCTTCGGGGTCTAAACTCGGTTGACTGGGTTGGAATGGAACGAGGATTGCCCTGAGTACTTCTCAGGCCCTACGACAAGAGCTGCATCAACATTATCTCCCTGGAGACTGGCAACGCCATCAAATCCATAACAGTACGGCACATCGGCAACGCCGCCGCCATCCTTTCCGGCATTTCCCAAATCGCCACCTGCTGTGCGGAAGGCCCCTGCGTCATCCAAAAGGGCTCTTTTGGCTTTTCCGTTGAGCTGAGGCTACCAGAGGTCACTGGCCAACAGGTTTGGCAGAGCTTCTCAGAGCCTCAGAAACGCCCCATTTCGGACTGGAGGCTTGCAGTCCGAAACATGGAATCCGGGCTGCAGCCCATTCTGGAGCACAACCAAGACGGTGTTCATGTCCACCTTGGCTCAGTGGTTGGCTCTGTTGAAGATGGCTGGTTTGCATTTGCATCCTGGACTGGCGACAAGACCATCGAGGTGACAATCCTAAGCAAGCTTGGGGAGGTCATTGGCAGGCCGGGTCATGCTGCTTTCAATCCGGACGTTTTAATACTTTTGGGAGTGTTTTCATCATGCCAGGCTGGAAGCATGCGCATGGAAAAGGAGTAGCCGTGACCCCTCCGTATTCAGTCTGCACGCAGAGAGAGACACTCTGATGCTGCGAAGTACTTTCGATTGGGGATCTGATGGTATCTACGCAAGCCTCGATGTGCAGCTTGCTTGCATGTTCGAGCCCGACATGAATTTCTCAGAACCGCTCCGTCAATGTCTCATGCAGTTTTTTCTTTGCGTCGCTAAGCTCTTCTCTTATAATGGAAGCAAAGGTACAAGATTGATGCTGAGCATGGCCAAGTCATACCGGTGCCGATTGAGTACCGCCAAGAAAACATCGAGTGCGTATCTTGCAATGCCACACATTGCCTGTTAACGTGGGAGTACGAGGTCTTCGCTTACGAGCTAGGCCCTAATTTCTGGAACAGCCAGCGGGCCATCATTCGGAGATCTGTCCGTGATATGCGAACAAGAGGAGCATATTTCCTTCAAGACGAAGCTCATGTCCTGCTGTCAACAGCGCGGTTCCCTGATCATTGTGGGATTCGTCGTCAAGATGATGTCACATTGAGTGTCATCGAATGGTCGGCCACAGGTAGCCGTTTCCCTTTCGAGCTCGTCTTGGAGGGCCAGCTGGACGGCGGTGTCGGCGCATGCAACTTGCGCCGAGCTGACTGCCGGGGGCTGGAGGGGTTAGATCTGCCCGAATCAAGCGACGTGGAAGGTTGGAGCAAGTCCATCTTTAGAAGATAGTCTGCCGAATTATGTTTTGAGTCAAACAGATAAGTTGTGAGGGTGGCTGGAAAGGATACGAGACCGTAGATCTGCGATTTGTCAGTTCCACATACTGCGTGCCTTCAATGCATCGTATCTTGTTGTGAGCTTCCAGTTTGGCTTTGATCCTTTCCAGTGCCTGCTTTTCGCAACGGTACAGCTGATTTGACTCACATCTGGCCGGGGCAGCATGTTTAGTTAGTCCAATGCTGCCTGAATTCAGAAGGATCGGCTGCAGTCGAAAAGGAGCCGCACGGTCGGTGCTGGCCAGTAGTGTCCGGATGAGCATGTCCAGGTTGCTAGTACGTTGCTGTGACTTGCGATTTCATGTTGCTGTGCCCCGAAATCCCGCGAAGACTCGTCAGCGATTTATTGCCTGTTGTGGCTGGGTTGTGCACCATGCAGGTCATGGGCGTTCTGAATGAGAAGAAGGCAGAGCTCAAAGCCGTGCAGGCCAATGTCCTTTAGGTGAGGCATCATCAGGTGCATGTCACGAGGACCATGCTGCAGACATCCGTGGACAGAGACCCGCCGATGAATGCCAGACAGGCCATGTCAATGTCACGTCTAGCATGCCGTCACGTTGGCAGGACAACGTGTCGCAGCTGCTGGCAGATTTCGAGACTGCGAGGAAGAAGAAGGATGATCTTGCCGTGCAGGCACCATGCGCCTGGTTCCTTTTCCTGTGAGACGTGTGATGCTGCGGGATTCTGATCAGCGACATGTGCAGGTGGATGACTGCAGCAAGCGCCTCGTGCGAGCCGAGAAGCTGATCAGCGGCCTTGGAGGCCGGCACTCCGCACGGTTGCCGCAGCCAAAGAGCAAAGCGCCAAAGCCCGTGGCTCTGGTTTGAGGTGAGAAAGCGCGATGGATCGAGTCATCGAAGCGGCTTGGGGAGCAGTACACCAACCTGACGGGAGATGCACGGACCTTACTTCCCGAGCCCGAGTTTAGAGCTTCCGCATTCTTGGACCCGCCCTTCCCCAAGATCATCCTCTGACAGTCTGAGCCCTGAGCCTGGCAGGTGCTCATTGGCTCGGGCATCCTCGCCTATCTCGGAACCTTCACAGGTCGGTATCGCGTGGACACGGTGAAGAGTTGGGCAGGAGTCCCGGTTTGCCCAGGAACCTTGATAAGTAAGTCAGTGCATCTTGTTGCCGAATCCTGCGGTCTGTCTGACTGTTAGCCTTACGCAGCCGCTATCTCAGACAAGCGGATGTGCTGAAGTGCGCTGAGCCGCATTAGCCTTTTGGTGCCTACAGCACAGCAACACTTGTGCACGGCTGGAGCCGCTTCGGACCGTGATGGAGGTGTTGACCTGCGTGAAGAATACCTTTGTCGAATTTGCAGATGCAGAGAGCCCCAAATTCGAGCACCGACGGAGCAGATCAATCGGATGCCCGCGTGATCTGCAGTTTCACAAACTCCAGAGTTCCACCAGTCACACTTCGTATGCTGCACTTGACGATATCGGCTTGCACGAGACGGGAGCGACTGGCAAGAAGAATTCAGAGATTATCACGCAGACCCTCAAGAAGCCCGGAACCGGGACGACAGCAGTGGCCCAACTAGCCGCCTCCTTGCCCAAAGGATACTCCCTTACGCTTACACACCATGGCGAGCCCGACACCGCGAAGTGCAAGCATGACATGACAGACCCCAAGACGACCAGCCACAAAGCGACCGCCGCGGCCAGTGGCAGCCTTCAGGCCCAGGCAACCGCGGCTGTCAGGCAGCCTTTTCAGACGAGGCAGCCTTACACTCCGGCCGGCTACCTGAACGAGATGCAGGTTCAGAGTCCTATCTGGTCTCCGGCGCTTGCATCTGAGAGAGTCCTGTCCTCGACTCCAGCGATGTCCTGGCAGACTTCTCACTGGCCGTCCCCGAACTCGCCGAACGTCTATCCTGATCCACGATGGCACGCATTGCACGCTGCACAGTCCTACGGAGCCGGCCACCCTTGGCAAGCACACGGAGCACACGTACCCGGAGCGACGTGGCATCAGAATGTCATGAACACAGCCGTCCCTGCCTACGATCCTGTGGTGAACAGCGCAGTGGCTGCAGCCGCTGGAGTCGCGTCAATGGCCAGTCTCGCGATGGCCTTCAGGCAGAGTCTTGCTTGGCAGAGTCTCTTGGGGGCTGCCCCTTGCATCAACGAACTCCCAGCTTCTCAAGACTCCGCTGCGCCCCCGCAACCTCCCCCGGGATGGTGGGGCGCCCAAGTGCAGACCGAGACGGTGCCAGATCCTCTGCCATGCGATGACGAAGAGCCGACCGAGCCAGCTCCCGAAGAGGAGCCTGAGCAGAGTGACCCTCTGCCCGAGCACCCGCAGAAGGGGTGGGCCAGCACTCAAGTCCGCAAGCGCATGCATAGACCTCTTCGTGCTCCATCCCGACGTTGGTGTTGCTTCAAGATCAAGATGCATGCTGACAGGACCTTCCACCCAGTGCGGATGATCATCGGCAAGGGAGGCAACAACACGAAACAGATCGCGTTGCAAACCGGAGCCAAGGTCAGAATCCGAGGCCGTGGCTCAGGCCACATTGAGCCTGCAACCGGCGAGGAGGCCCCCACACCATTGATGCTGGTGGTGTCGGCAGACTTCGGCAACACTGAAGGTTACTTCAATGCGTTGGACATGAGTCTTGAGCTCTTGCACACCGTCGAATCTGCTTACAAGGAGCACTGTGCTGCGACGGGCATCAGAGGAGTCTCTCCCGCACTGGTCATCGGCAGCATGTGCGGCTTCACAGCATCCCAGCTCGACATGCCGGAGTACGCAGCAATGACGCTGGGTCCTCGGTGATACGAAGAGCAGCAAAGTTGCTGTAGATTCAGAATCTTTGCATGTCTCTGCTTTGCAGCGCATTTCGTTCAACTCAGGGCCCGCTGCCTAGCAGCCATGAAGCAATACCTCTGAGCTCTGCTGGGCCTGCGACCGGAATTTTCACAAGCTCTCCATGCATGTTCTGCATTCGTCACTTGCGGAAACCCTGTTCAAGCATGCTTCGTTCTTGCTCATCCCAGAGCATTTACTCAAGCACCAGATAAGTTGACTGTGTTTGATTTGGTTGCATGATGCTTGATGCAGGGTGTAGACCCACTCTGTTCAATGTGACAGAAGCAGCCTTCTTTGTCGGCTGCCAGCTCTGTGAAATCTCAGTTTGGGTCTAGCAGCCAGTGAGACGCCATAGTTTGCGGTTTAGGCTATCGGAGTTTCCGAGGGGACCCCAATATAGCACCCTAAATCGTAGGATCAAGGTAGACCCCAAAATATGATACCCCTAATTGTCGGAAACTCCCAATATAGTGGGCCTAGGGTCTGGTTAGTCCGACATCGCAGACTGAGCTGCTGAAGATTGTATCTGTAGCGATCTCGGGGCCCTGGTTGGCCCGATGGCTCCTTGCCAGATCAGGCTCTGCAGATGAAGTTCGTACTGCGGGCTCCTTCATATAAGTATATCAAAATGATGAAGAGAAGGCATTATTGATTGAAAGAGGGCGTAGACTCGCAGGACATTCAACGATTGACTCTGAAAGCGTTTAAATCATGAAGAGCCGATCTTTGCTGACCTTTCCAGTGACAGACTGTCTTGCAAACTGTTGAAAAGAGTGCGCCGGATCGGGAAGCTGGGAGATGCGAGCTCTTCAAAAGGCCAGATTCGACGAAGCTGAGGTACAGCTCATGAAAGAGAACCAGCTGCCCTCAGCGCAGGAGTTCTCACTTCGTACCGTCTTGGGCGACGAGGCCAGTGTGCCGTGACACATGTAGCGACTGAGGTGACACATGTAGCGACTGAGGGTGGTAGGGCGCACTCTCAGAATCCATAGATTGTGTGAACAGGTGCAGATTCGCCAGTGGGTGATCGACAAGCTTCCAAACGATCAGGCGCTCTTTCGTCCTAATGTTCAGTAAGATGATAGCCTTGGCTCGCTTGGCCTTGCTAGGATCTGCTCCCTCGCTTTTCTTTTCTCTTTCTCTCTCTCTCTCTACATCTGCCTCCTCTCCCCAGCTTGTCGATATGCAATGATGCGATCGCTTGTCAGAAGACTTGCCAGCGCTGGATGGCAACTTCTGGTCTCTGTCTAGCGTAATACGTCTGGCAGCCCGAATGGCAGGTGTCTGTGGAGAATGCCATCATCATCCAGAGGTGAGCTCAGACTTAGCCCACGTCGCACGGATGAGACATTGCCGCGAGACTGTTGGGAAGATCGTTTCAGTGGCAGGTCTCGTCGGTGGCCGCTGATGATCGACCCGCAGCTGCAGGCACGAATACCCCGAGAGTTGGGAGCATTTGCCACTGGCATAGCATTCCAGGCCAACCAATGGGTGCGAAAGACGTACGCAGGCCATCTACAGCACTTGTGAGGAAGTGTGAAGAACCAGGAAATTGTATTGCACCGGTCTGCAGGGCGCGGAGAGCAGCTCCGAATTCTTCGGCTGACACAGAACTACGCCCGCGAGCTGGAAGGCCAGAGTAAAGCCGAGGAGGTGTTGCAGTGGTCTGCAGGAAGAAATCTCCAGAGATCCTGAGGTGCGATTACCTATGGGAAGCCGACACTTCTGGAAAATGCGAAGAGCTTGGCGTAAAGGCCGCAAGTATTTCACGGCCTCATCAGCACCAAAAGTACCATTGTGAATCGCCGTTGCGCAGTATAGGTATAGTATTATAGTACAGTATAGTAGAGTTGAGTAGACTCGAGTATGGCGCGGTATGGTTTCTAAGGTTCTGGAGCAGTTGGATCCGCTACTGGAGCCGCTCCTACAGAAGGCAGAGAAGAAGTCTTCCGACGACGAAGGGAGGTTTATCTTCGAAGTAGAAAGTGCAGGCCATCTTCAAAGCCGGCAGCGTGGCCAGTTCCTGAGAGCCTCGGCTTCGTTGGGTTTCTGCCGCATGAGCTCGGGATGCCCAGATGATGATTCGTTTGGGTGACTCCCAGTGCGAGTACAACAAGGCCCGGTCGACATCGGAGCTCGTGATCTGATTGCACGTAGTGGTGTCTTGGACCTGGCAAATGGTCGTTGACAAGAACTCTTCATTGAGATTTGGGCTATGGGCCTGGGGGAGTGGAAGAAGTTGGCCTGTGGAAGCAACCGAACCAACTTCGCGGGGGATTACTCCTCCAAGCGTTTTACTGTAGCCACTCTGTAGCCTTCTCACGTTTGGTGGTAAGGGAACCCACCTAGGAGCGCGACAAGCTACATTGCAGGATATTGCAGGGTAAGGGTTTTGCGGCCCTGACAGGACTTCCGCTTCTTCATCACCACGAAGCTTCCAAATCCGCACTACTCGCCAGAGATTTGCGTGCAGGCGCTTTGCAGTCAGCCCGGCGCCGTCACTTCTTGGAATGCTGGGCAGCCAGGTTACTTTGCTCAACTTCATGGCTACACCTGATGGACTGCAGGTCTTGCTCTTAAGCCACCAGGGCATCGTCCTGTCTTGTCTCTGTGGTGGGCACGAGGGTTTTGGGCCTGAGTGTCTGCAAGCAGCCATTGGAGGATCCGTGCTGGAACGAATTTAGGCACAACCCATTGCTCGCGCTGATTTGAGGATCAGATGCTGGGCATCCTGGTTGCTAAAGAGGCACGAGCCAGCTTGTGCCTCATGTTCTTCAATGGTTTTGACATGCCTTTTGGCCTAAACTCTGTACCGTAAAACCCGTAAAGTCTGAACCCCAAACACAGCACCCTGCCCTGGAGCGCTCAACCCAAAACCCACAACTCCAAACCTTAACCCTAAAGCCTAGCCGAAATCACAGGAGCCTGAAGTCGAACGGAAGCGGCAGAACCTGGTCGTGGAAAGCGTGCGCGGCTTACACAAGTCATATGTGAAGTACGTGTAGCAGAACATCTTTCTTTCGGTTTTGGGGGCGCTACTCGTAGCAGTCTTTTTCGCTATTCTTGCGCAATTCAGCCTTGTAGTTCGCTGTTATCCCCTTCGTGCGCAGCTCGATCATTCGACCAGCCTGAATTCCGTCCATACCCTTTTAAACGCTGAACTCGTTGCTACTCAACTTTCGTATTCGTCTCCTCTCCTTCGCGCAAGCCCAAGCCCCAAACCCTAAGCCCGAAGCACTTTTCCCAAAACTCTAAGCCCTTAGAGTAACCCTGGTAGCAACCTTGATTGAAAGCAATCCATACAGTAGCCCCTAAACCCTAAACCCAAAATCCTAATCCCTAAACTCTAAACCTGGGCTATTGCACTTTAAAAAAAGCTCTAAACCTTAAACCCCTTAAAGTTTCTACGCCAAGGCTCAGAGCAAGGCCCAGCTCAAAGAGATCGAGGCGCCCAGTGGTGCCCTAGGTGAGTTTAGGGTTTAGGGGTTAGAGGGCTATTTAAAAAAAGGGGTTAAAGGGCTGTAAGGGCTTTGGGTTTGGGGTTTAGGGGTTTAGGGGTTTAGGGGTTTAGGGTCTTATAGGGATTAGGGATTGGGGCTTGGGGTTTCGGGTTGAGGTTTGAGGTTTCAGGGTTTAGAGGTTTCGGGCTGATGGTTTCGGGTTTCCCTGGCTGTTTCATTGTCTTCTTGGAGTTGTCGCCTTGGCAAGGCATCAGCCAACAGAGAACACTTGCACCTGTGTATACAGATGGAGACAACTGGAGCAACATAGATGCAAGACTCTGCAAATCCGCTACAAACAGAATCATACCACACATACACAGATGAACATAGGAATGCGGATTGAACTATTTGACCCGTGGGTTCATCATTACACGGAAAGCAAAAAGAACTGTTGACTCTTGAACCATTGTTGCGATCGGAAAACCCTGAAGGCTAGAGCCCTACCGTAGCCATTTTGGCTCAAGCCATTTTGGCTCAAGCCATTTGGCTCAAAGGCTCGTGGGTTCGCTCGCTCGTGCCGCACTGAGGATTAGCCATCCTGCCATCCGCTGCTAAGGGCTCGGCTGCTGGACTCCCTCCTCTGGGTCACGATTCTCCGCGAGGGGTTCGGGGTCATAGGGGCTCGGCGCCGACTCTCCTGAGGGCAACCAGGGTGCGATTCTGCTGAAGATCATGGGCGGTAAGGAGCTGCACATCGGGCTTCCAGGGGTCCCCGATGGTCCGGACATGGACCTGGAGCGAGAGCCTGGTCAGGGCAAGTCGAGTGGGATTGGTGCGGACAGTCCTGCCAAGAAGCAAAAGGGGGATCTCGCTGGTCAACCAGGGCTTCAGATGGATGCGCTGCGCCAGCTACTAGCGGAACAGTCGCACTCCCTCCTCCAAGCACAGCAGATGCAGATGAGCACTGCCTTTCAGGCTTTCGAGGAAAGGCAGGCAGTCCGTATGGACCGAGTTGAAGAGCGGGTCAGTGGTCAAGGAAGTCGTCTCGATGCAGTGGAGGGACAGCTCAAGGAACTTGCGGCTCGGCTGGCCACTGTGGAGTCCAAACCCGTTGGCTCGGGGCCGGGTGGTCCGGATCGGAAGACGACATTGGTGTTTGGAGGCTGGGCTAGCAACACTCGGCGGCAGGTGCTGTTGCAGCAGCTGCATCAGGCTCTCCAGGGCCTGGGACTGCTCGAGTCCCTTGATGCAGCCCCCTTCTGCACGGGGGCTAGGCGCTCGGTTGCCCTGTGCAACTTCAAACGGCGCCAGTGTGAGGACGGAGATGAACCTCGGGGTCGGATGATGCACGTGCTGCAGACTATCAACTCCAGCAGGGTGGTGCTCGAGGGAGCTGAGAAGCCCTTGTGGGCATCTTTCAGCAAGACCCCAGAAGAACGAGGCAGAGCTTCACTGGCGGCAGCGGTAAGGAAGGTGGTCCAACGTTTCCAGGCTTCTCGTATGGGGGACTTAGACGTGGAATATCCTACAGGTCGCACATGGATGAAGGAGGACCAACTCTCGGGACTCGGTGACCCTCCGGCAGAGGTACATCATGTTAGAACCGTGGACACGAGAGCAGGCCCGGGATGGATCGACGAGCGAACTTTGTCTAGGTGGGTTGAGGTGAATTTGGCAGACGTACAGGCCGTCCTCTCTGAGCATAAATACTGAGATGACATTCCTGGGGATCACAGTGAACCCCAGCCAGATGCAAGAGCTCTCCCGGAGCTGCTCACCTCGGGCCTCAATCAGGCAGCAGCTAGCGCCGGGTCTCACGATGCTTGCCATGCTGTCGTTGTTTGGGGCTGGAATGTGGGTGGTGCCGAGCTTGCGTCGCTGCCAAAGGCAGTCCGTGACTCAAGCCGCCGGGCGCTGGAAAAAGATGATTTGGTCCTGCTGCAAGAGGTGCCGAGAGAAGGGAAGGGATGGTCGCATCAGGACCTAGCCGGGCGAAGGGTGATTTCTCATCGGGAAGAACGGCAGTGGCGTGGGACTGGGCTATGGTACGACCCAGGGGCATGGTGTGTACTTAAGAGAGTTCACACTCTACGAGGCACATGGTTCAAACTCAAGCACCTTGAACGAAGTGCGGAGCTGTGGATCGGGACTGCGCACTTCACACCAGGGGTTACAGCTGCCAAGTATGAGGAGGAAGTACATGACCACTTTGCCGGGCTACCTCGGGGTGCACACCGCGTCGCTTTTCAGGGGGATGTCAACACAGCCTTTGGGTGGACGTCCTCAGACCTCGGGGGCATTTCTGAAGTTGCGAAAGAAGGGAAGGGTGGCATTTTACACAAGGTTCTTGTCGAACACGGCCTTCACATACTATGCCCGCACTCCTCGCAGGTGGACACTCCGACCAGTCGCCCCAGACAGGAGGGAAGAGAGGGACAGTGCATTGACATCATGGCAGTCAGGAGTACTAGGGTCCGGTATTGGCGCATCCATGTCGATTCGTACTTGCAGATTGGTACAGACCATGAGCTTTGTGAAGGGTGTCTCGTCTTCGAAGCAAAAAGGGTTCATCACAGGCACGAGACCAGACCTAGGGTTTGGAACGGAGGGATCCAGGTGGTGAACGGCATGGACCAGGTGATCATTGAGGGTTTAGCCAAGGAATGTACGCGACCAGCCCCGGGGCACGGATATCGGGACCCACTACCTGTTCGTCAAGCCTTCAAAGATGCTAAGAGGTCGGGGACTGCGGCAAAGTGGAAAGCAGCCCTCAAGCTCCGAAAAGAGGCTCGTCGTCAATGGGAGTTAGATAGGCTGCACAGAGCCTGCACGGGAGACTGGGCTTCCTTTCGAGCACTGCGACCGCAACGACACACAGGCTGGGACATTGGGTTTGCCGAGGAACAAGCGGGGGATCCACACGAGGCAGTTCACCAACACCTAGCAGCGGTTTACCGGGGTAGGCAAGAAGAGGGCCCAGCTCCTGTTTGGCAAGGTGAAGTTCGTGCATTTTCCTTGACAGAACTCAGGGAAGGGGTCAGTCACCTTAAACGGGGCAAAGCGGTGGGCGCGGACCTGACTTCAGCGGAGTTGATCTTTGGTCTCATGGAGGTCCCTGGAGGACCTGAACACCTCCTTGAATGGTACAATAGGATCCTTGCTACGGGTCAAATCCCCGAACGGTGGAACGAACCTATCCTCGTCATGCTTCCCAAGGTGCGGGCACCTAAGGTGGCGAAAGAGCTACGTCCCATCGCTATGGGATCAGCGGTCTCCAAGCTTTTTAGCAGGCTGCTGCTGAACCGAGCTCTCCCGCTTATCAGCCCACAATCCTATGCTCAGTGCTCAGGTCCGCAAAGACAAACCTCTGATTTCCTGTACTCGATCGTCCGTCTCTTTGAGTTGGCACGCGAATGGGGGAATCCTTTGGTGGTTTTCAAGCTAGACTTGGAAAAAGCCTTCGACAGTCTAGATCGCGGGGTCCTGATGCAGAAGCTTGAGGCTAAGATTGGGAAGTGTGCTGAACTGGTCTGCTGGGAAAACCTCCTGCGCGGCACTACAGGCATTCTCCAGACCCCGTGGGGACAATCTAGGGTGCCGATGACTCGCGGCATAAAGCAGGGAGCAGTCGAGTCGCCAGTCCTTTTTGCCTATGTCGCTGAGCTAGCCTTGCTTGATTCCATCTCAGACCAGGGGTGGCGTGACATGGTTCCTCTATATCCCGATCTCCCGGAGGAAGAAATGATGTACATGGACGACGGTCTCCTCTGGAACGGTCTTGTCTCGGTAGTGCAAACACGTGCCCAATACCTGTCGGCTGAATTTGCAAAGTACGGCCTCAAGATGAACCCCACCAAGTGCCAGCTTTACGCCTCACCAGGGGTTCAAGGGGAACATGCAATTTGGCTCAATGGTACAAAGATCCAGGCACAGTCTCACCTGGAAGTCATGGGGCTCTGTTTGAAGGTTGGCATGTCTACCTATGAATTGGTTTCGCCGGCTTTCACAAGGGCAAGGGCAAAATTCTGGGAGCGTCGCCACATCTTCCGTGCCAAAGGGGGTATGAAGCACAGGGCCAGGGTTATGGAAAGGGTTGTGGGAGCGACCGCGCTTTGGTTCATCTGTTGCATCCCGCCCGACAAGGCCACCATGACGGCACTCAACTCGACCCAGCTCCAGCTGATGGTGTGGCTCCTGAGGTTCGCCAAGACGCCGTCGGAGACTTGGGAGGCCTTTCGCAAGCGGGCGTTTCGCGGGGCGAGGGCAGCACTGCATTCAGCCGGCTTGGAGCGTTGGAGCACGACCTGGCTCCGGAGATGGTGGAGTTACGCGGGGCACAGAGTCAGGGCCATCTTGTCGCCCTGCCCGCCAATTAGTAGCCACTTCGAACACTTTCGAACCCTCCCATGGTGGGAACATCAAAAATCCCTTCCCCCCAGCAAAGGCATCCGTCACAAGGGCCATCACTTTGCTCGCCTCACGGTGCTCGAACAAGACATGAACAGAGTAGCTGGAAACCCCTGGCGCCTCTTGGCTCATGACAGACGTGCATGGAAAGCGAGGGAGAATGCCTGAGTTGAGCAGATGGACGTACCGTGGTCATCCGGGAGGCAACTCAGCATCAAGAACGGCTAGCACTGAGAATCGTGAGCCAGCACATTTTAGTTTTGCACATGCACACCACGCGCACTCGCTGGGCCATCGTGCTGTGCTGCTTGTTTCTTTCTACTTTCTACTTTGGAGGGTCGCCACTACGCGTGCTCCTAATTTGTTTGCTCTGCTTGCTGCCACCACCCCAACCTCTGAGAGGGCATGGAGTGAGAGGTAGGGAGTGCAGGGTTGTACAGGAAGTGAGCTCAGGGGGTTCATGATTGCCAAGTGAAGGTGCTTCGTGCCTGATGACAGCGATCGAGCTACCTTAGGGTTCTCTCGCCTAGCCGTGACCTGCAGTGCCATGGCCCTCCATAACCAGAACTACATGATCTACTTTGTCGCCGTGATGGTGACTGCATGGGGTACTCCCCCTGAAGGGGGCTCCTCGTCGCTTGACTTTCGTTTGGGAGCTTCGACCACGGTGGCTACTTCGGCTGCTGATGGGGTCCCGGTGCCTGTCGAGGGTGCAGGGGGCCCTGAGTTGGAACCCACTACTCCAGCGAGCACAAGGTCGATGGCTGGAGGCATGACCGAATTCAATAGCCGACCTTCTACGAGAACTCACCGGGAAATGCAGCTGCGTACTTTGCCCTCCTCCTCGTCTCTGGATGGACCTCGCAACGATTCTGCCCAAGTTCACCAAGGTGGGCGGGAGCACGGGGCCAGGGTCACCTTCGATTACACGATTCCGCGCAGCATCATCTGTGAGGAGCCTGCCTGGTTTGTTTCAGCGGCTAGCCGCCTTCAGGTGCTACGTGAGGTAAGAGGAGGGTTGGAACCCACTTGGCTGGCCGTCCTACGCCGCATCGAACAGAGAGAGGATCAGTCCTACTTAGCTTGGTGCAGGGAATACCTGAAGCCATTGAGGGCACTCTTTGCCAGACGAATCCGATGGGAGCAGCACACGCACCCCCTCGGAGCAGAGGAGATTGACTGGGCCGCGGATGTGGAACATGCCGCTGCCCAAGACTTCTACTCCACCCAAAGGCCTTTGTCTGCCTTCCGGCCGCTGCGTATACACCACCATGCCAATGACGGTCAGGTGCTTGCTGACATGCCGAGGGAGTCGCCGGTGGACCCTGACCTCCCGTACGGCATTTTCCACGCAGTGTGGGTGGACCCCACGACAGGGGCATGGGGGCCACCAGGCACTCATGATCCGACCAGGCTGCAAGCAAGGGATGTCAGACCCGCCTCGTCTGAGGATGACTCTGAAGGCGCCAGCCTGCTCTCCCTCTACATGGTGGCTGGTACCCTAACAGGACTCCAGCCGGCTCTTGGGGTGGATAGGCCCTGGCCGAATGGTGAGCCACACTGGTTCACAGATATGGTCGAAAGGCTCGGGCTGCTGGCTGACAGGGGAATCGACCCAAGAACAATCGGGGAACGCCTTCAACGCGCACTCCGAGCTCACAGGGATGCCAGGTTCATTTGGGAGTCGGGCTACGTTCTCAGTGAGGCCTTCCGACAGCTCTCCCAATATGAGCCGATTCGGGATGACCATGTCATACGGTCCATGGGGTTGCCTACTGACTTTGACGTGGAGGACCGGGTAACATGGGCAGTGCAACTGATCAGGTACCATTGGCTGAAAGACACGTGCCCGGTCGCAATGGAAAACTGGGAGATTGAGTACAACCTGGCAGAGCATGGGTTCCCTGATGTGCGAGTCTCGGCAGCTCGATATGCAAGGGAAAGGGCGGAGAGGGAACGGTTGTCACGATCCAGATCGCCCCATCACCGCGGGCGAGAAGAGTGGCGCCAACCGCCAGAGGACTCACACCTGGACGCCACTTCTCTCTTTCAACTTCCAGAAGGATGGCAGCAGAGGTGGGAACGGTTGATGGAGACACTCTGGACATGGTTTGATGAGGACAGGGCGGTAGGGATGGCTATATGCATGCTTCGGAGCAGGGTACAAGAACGAGGGGATGAGGCCTTCTCTGACTGGTCTCTTCGTCCGATTACCACCTTGGGGGCCGGACTACCGAATAGTGACGGACTTGACCCATCTCACACACCCCAAGTCTTCTATGAATGGTCCAGGGAGGTCGAGGAATACCTGTTCGGGGTCTATCAGGGCGAACGAGATCAACCTCCTGAAGCAACGGAGCCGATCCCTTCTACCCTTTCGTCCGGTGGGGACACAGTCAGTCTCATGGGCGACCGCTACCAGTACGGGCGCAGACGCATACGTGACTCCAGGACGCCAAGAAGAACAAGACCTACGGACAGAACATGCTCAGCGGCACACAGGGGGTCAGACCGGCGAAGCAACGCCACAGACAAAACAGGAGCACGCGGAGAAGCTCGTTCGCAGCCCTCTGGCCATCGCCCTCGAAGGGAACCAACTCGGGAGCCAGCGTCTGGGTCCAGGGACCCTCCCCCCGCTGGCCTGGTGCTTACACCGGCTGTGCCGGGATTCCCCAACCTGGCCGAGCCGATGTCCACCACTCAAGCAGTATACCTCTGGCACTACCTTCTCTTCGATCGCACTCGCTTTGGGCCCCAGGTTGCAGGAAACTCCAGAGTCCCAGACAGCTTCCTTCCGCGACACCTTCTACGTGAAGTGAGCTCCACCCATGAGCAGATGTCGGAGCACAACCGAATGATCTCCACCTGTGCCTTGTTCACTGTGCTTCGCTATCTGATGAGTGAGCTGGCCCAAATGCTCGATATGGCACAGGCGGTGGCCAGGTCGTCTCAGCAGGGAACTGGCGACACTGTGGAGGTGGAGGTAGAGGAGGAAGACCATCTCTTGATGCAGACCTACTTGCTCACGGATGGGAAAAGCACCATGGAACAAAGGTGGAACAGCGCAGTGAATCGCCTTCACAAAGAACTGCTGCAGCAATCACGACATGTTCGACTTCTACATCTCCGGATGCTGCGAATGGGGATGCCCCGCAACCTGGGTGAAGGTGAAGCACGAGGCCGGTTTGAACAACTGGAGGCTCTGCTCGTGGCTATCGAGCAGTGTGATGAAAGTGGCTCCGGGGACATTGACATGGGATGGTTGCAGCAGTGGGTGAATGAGTTCTCCGCCTTCATCCCAGGCTTTACGGTGCAATCACAGCCAGTCCAAGTGGAATCTCAGACAACGGCGGCAGTGGATGAGGTGGAAGCTGATTTGGCGAAACTCATGGCTGATGAAGAAAGTGACAGCGAGCACGGGAGGAAGCAGCGGAAAGGGAGCGCTTGGAAGAACACGAACGCCGGACTCTCCAGGAAGACGCTGCTTGCTATCGGCAGTGGGAGATGGACCAGCTCCGTGGGTCTCTGGTGGGAACCGGAGAAGGGCCGAGAAAACGTCGATGCGTCCTCTCCCTTGAAGCTGCCTCCGGATCTACAGACCAACCCAGGGTGGTCCACACGTTGGCTCTGGATGTTCCCCTCTCCGGTGAAGCCATTACCCTGACCATCAAGGCTAAGATGGAACCGGAAGCCGATGAAGTCTCGACTCAGCTTGTGGAGGTGCCAGGGGTGGAATGGGGCGATCCGGCACCGATTGACCTTTCTCCCTCTATGTCACTGCCAGATGAGAGCAAGGCTGCTGGGGAGATGCATGCTATGATGGATCTGGAATTCTCGGAATACCAACGCATCTACCAAGAGTGGAAAAAGGGAAGTCTGGGCATTGGCGAGATCTCCAACCAGTATGGCCCTGATGTTGCAGAGTTGGTACAAGCGCAGATGGCGGTGGCACAAGCTGAGAATGACTCGCTGATCGCTCATGGAGGTGCAGGGCCATCGGAAGGAACTTCGCCGTTCCCGCCTTATGACGGCAGGGAGCCTTCAGTCATGGTCGACCCGACCGGTCCTACCCCGACATTCTGCTTCTTCGAATCCATGTACGGCCAGTGGAAACAAGGACTCCGCACCAGTGCCAGCATCGAGGCATGCTTTGGAACACAATGGTTGGTTCTCTTTGAGCGCTGGCAGAAATGGGGCTTAGACTCCATCTACCACGTGCTCCCAAGTCTCCTCGACATGGGGCAAGAGGGGCCTCGAATCGAACAAGGACGAGCCTCGGCTGAGACTTCGACAAAGGCTGCCACGGGGATCCCCACCAGGATCCCCTTCAGTGTTGTCCGGCATGTGTTTCGTCGCTGGAGTGGTGGGCTTCTGCGAGATGAGACGGTGGTAACGATCTATGGCGAAGAATGGATGAGGGTTTTCCAAGTGCTCAAATCGCAGGGCCTCAAGGAAGCCAAACCTCTCTTGGATACACTCGTGGACTGGGACGTCGAAACCTTCGAAGAGTCCAACGACGCAGATGACCTTGAAGGTGCTGAGGTAGCACCCACAGACCCAGTGGCTACATGTCTGAACGAGTCTGCTGGCGAGTGATTCGGAGGGTTCAGTGGTGAAGTCGGCTAAATTGCCTTCTGCAATGCAGATTCCAGAAACCTAACCAGGCAGACGGAAAAAGGCGTTCAAAAAAAAAAAAGAGCCCTACCTACATCCTCAAGCCTCAACGCTAAACTAAAAAATCCAGAGATCCCGGCACCTGCCCCCTGCTAAACGCCGCGAGTCACGAACCGAGGGCTTGAAAGTCTGTAATGTGTGTCTCGGTCTTTGTCCGTGTATGTGTCTGTCAGTGTGTCTGTGTATGTGAATGTGTAAGTGTACGTATGTACGCGTTGATATCTGCTCGCGAACCCCCGAACCACCTTCACCCGAAGCCTGCCACAGTAGACGACCAAGTCCGCGGCCGCTTGAAAGTAGTCCGTTGGTCATGCATGGGTTTGTCCACGGGGACGTTACTTTGTGCCGTTGTGCATAAACGTGCATGGAAGCGCAAGAGTGTTCAGAGAACTCGTTGATTGGCACATGCCCGGGCCAGCCTCGAAGCGGCAATCTATGCTCTGCAAACTTGCGACCTCTCAGCATTCCCCAGACCTGGAAATAGCCTCCAATGCTTCGGCTTCTAGCTGCGCACAGATGCATGTGTGGACGTTTGTAGGCGCAAATATGTAGAATGTGCATGGACGTAGACTTTTCTGTGCAAGTCTCCACAGTCGCCTCCAACTTTAAACCTTAAGCCCCGAGACCCTGAGATGTGGCTGACTGTTCCTGGGTTGTGCTTTGCACGACTGTTCGTTCTGTGCAGGATCGCATCCTGCAGCTCCTCTCAGAGTCCAAGGGTAACATTCTCGACGACGAGGTCGTCATCGCATTCTGGGTTTAACGTGCAATACTTGTGGGACAAGCTTAATCGTTTGTTTCGAGCCGCGTGCTTCATCGCCGCAGGGGGCTTCCATCTTTCGGCTACCAAGAATTGTGCACAGTTGTGTGCGAAGCCCTAGGATGTCTATTACGAGGCTTTGTCAACGTTCTTCGTGACCAGAAGAGACCCAGCGTTGACTGCTTTCTTATGGCTTTTCAGGGTTTCCGAGGTCTCCTTCTGAGCACGAGGGACTTGTGGATTCTGTTGTACCCGCCGTAGTCCATGCCGCTAGACACATTTCGTCCGTCGCTGGCTGTCGGTACCGGAGCTGCGGCAGCTGCAATCCTATGACATGTGGCTGGCAGGAGTTGATCAACACTTTGGCGACTTCAAAGACGGTGCATCGCTTGGCTGGTGTGGTCTCAAAGGTTTTTGCACAGTTGCACGCAGGCAGCACATACCACGTCTAACACCGCCAGGGGTTCAGGGAATGTTCTCACCCGCGAGGAGATGTTTGATATGTCATATATCGCGGATCAGTGACGACACTTGTGAAGAGTCAGCCGAGAGAGCTGCTTTGCTACTTGGACTGAGGCCTCTCTTCGAATAGAGGAGCGTGTGGCTGAGCAGGACTGCTTTGACGCTGATTGCGGTGCCATCCACAGTGTACATGATGTAGTCAGCCATCCAACCTTAGCACCCATGTTGCAGGAGAAGACCCAGGCACAAGTGCAGGAAACGAGGGCAACCTATGCAGGAAGCTCAGAGACTCGCGTAAGAACACCAGTGATGGAACAACCTGGGGTGGCTTCTCACATCTGGATGGGAAGTCGCATGTGTGAGGTGCCTGTGGCGGTTCGTGCACCTTGGCAAGCATGTCGCTGCGTGCGGGTATATAGTGTAAACGCCTGCTTGGACAGAGGTCCCGAACACAAGCTTGGGGAAATCCGATGCCTCTGCCCGTGAGGGGTGCGTGAGATGACTTCTGAGGCAAGCGCTCTGTTCTTCGTGATTGCGGACCTCTGCAACGTGGAGGACCCAGCATTTGGCAGGTCGCTGTCGTGGCCTTGACTCTCCTCCAAGTCTGCTTGGCGCACCAGCAAATGACCAATGAAATGGCAATCTTGCTTTCCCAAAGATCTCGAGGACGGTGTTCGTCACTCGTTGCCTGACTTATTGTGATGTATCAGTTGATCGTGGATGAGGTGGAGCCAATGTACCAATACAGCTTGGAATGGTGTTGACCTCGGTTGAAACTGCAGACGGTTCTTCAACAAGTTATGAGGACCCGTGCGAGGCTGTACCAGGTTGTTGGGCTAACACGAAAGCCAGGCGTACTTAGAGCATCAACATCTACTTGTCAGCAGCAGCTCCCGAGGTTCTACAGCATCTACGAGCAAGCCATTGCAGCTTGCATGCATCGAACTTGCCTGCATACTCACATGTTGCCTAATTTATCCTGCGTCAGAGTTCACATCGAACACACATCTGATTTTCATTGCCATGCGAGTGGCCGAACCCTATGACATGAAAGGCTGCAGCGGAGCGCTTCGAGCGAAACATTCAAAAGCGCTTGACGGCGCTGCAGTCGAAGTTCCTGGAGATGCTGTTTGATTGGGCCTCGGCCAGCTGTGACTTTGCACAAGGTCGGATGTGAACAGGTGTGAGCTTGCCGCACGTTACACGTGCCGGCTGCCTGAGGAACAAACATGCCACTCACTCTTCGAGAAGGCGAAGCGGTCCGTGAGTTCCTGTGCAAGGGTTCTGCATAAAATGCAGCTGTACTCATGCAAACTGCATGCTGCTGAACATCTAGAGCGACATCTATGTACATCAGTGTTTCCGCATGCCTCCATGCCTCGACAGGACAAGCTCATGCTGTCCCTGCTGCTTGCTTTCAAGTCCATGGAGGCCCTTCAGATATTTGGCATGCCTGCAAGATCCTGCGAGTGCTTGTGGCTGCTGCAAAGGTGGACGACGATATTAACCTCGAAGAGAAGCAGCGCCCGGCACGATTTTCTCCAAATTGCTGTTCCCTCACCGTTACACCGCAGAGCCCCAGAAATCTCGCCAACAAGCCAAATCCAAAAAGCCTAAGCCCTGATGAACCTGGACGAGCCTGAGATCGCCAGGAGACTGCTCCTCATGGCTCTGGGGGGTGGCAGCGCGCACCTTCCGAAACCCTCGGAAGAGTGGCTGACGGAGAAGATGTGGAGCAGGAGAAGCTAAGATTGGAGTTTCGGGTCTCAGGATTTTTGGTCTGAGGGTTTAAGGCTTTCAGGCTTCCAGGGCCTTCGGGTTCTTAGGATTTTTTAGGGTTTAGGGCTTTGGGGGTTGGGCCTTCCAGGCTTAAAGGCGTTTACGGCTTTTTCGGGTTTTTAGGAGAGTTGGCGGGCCGTCCCGCAGTAAAAACACATTGTAGTAGAACTGTAGAAGCAGGAAAATAGAAAAACGGCAAAGGTGAGTGTTGGAAGCGTCTACCAGTACGCATATAATAGGTCTGATGTCCTTCACAGGCCGGTCGCGTATTTGCACAGGTTTGCACAGGCATACAGACCTTGTCACAAGAACCCGGCGAAAACCCGTGGTTGCGTGCAGGATCTGCGTCTTGGACAAAGTGGGCAAAGGGCCCTGGTACAAGTTTGCCACCTCCTTCCAGGTGCGGTGGGACCCTTAAAGCTACATGCTTTTGATGTCATTGAACTGATCGCCATTCTCGACTCTCACTAGGACGATAGCCGTGGCTTTTGCTGCAGCTGCCGCAGCTGCTGCTGCAACCGCTCCTGCTCCTCCTGCTGCTCCTGCTCCTCCTGCTCCTCCTGCTCCTCCTGCTCCTCCTGCTCCTCCTGCTCCTCCTGCTCTCTGCTTTCTGCTTCTCCTGCTCCTCCTCCTCTTTGCTAATGTGGCTGTTGGCGTATTCACGATCAGTCTTCTTGTTGCTTCGACAGCCCCTCGAACAGGACAACATCGAGAAGTGGAAGGCTCTTTTCGACTCTGACAACCCTGTGCCTTGGGTGATCATACAGATGTTGTCAACAATCTCAATAAGAATAGTACGAATTGTAAGCATTGGTCATCATACTTATGCTGATAACGGTTATGATAACATTGATGATAATGGTAACGGCCATGGTAATCACAATAATAGCAATACTCATAATAGCAACATGTGTAATGATAGGGACAGGGCTGGAGATACCATTTAGTACGATGGCATGGTCTTCTTGTCGCGTTGTGTCTCGTGCAGCTTTAGCCGGGGAACAGCAAAGCATTGATAGCAACAGCCGTCGTGGCAGATCTTGATCCTATTGCGATGAGATGCTTAGGAATACGGTGACATTTCTTACTTTTTCAGGATGTAGTAAACGTCCCCTGTTAGGAAGCTGGCTGAATGCGTCAGCAGTCTGGTGCTTTCTGGCTCCGACTCTACTCAAGCCCAAGACAGTTGTGGTCAGGCCCTGTTTGTCACAAAGTTCGCCAAAACCGTGCGATGCGGAGGGAAAGTCAGTGCCTTATGCAGTGCAGCTTAGGTGGCTTACAATTGGCCTGGCAAGGCCAGAGGGACGATATTGGCTTTTGATGTCCCGATCGAAGGGTACGGTTGCAACAGTGTTGCAACGGTCACGCCACATCCTGCTGAATAGACCCATCCATCAGTACGAGAGCGGCGGGATTTGGCTAATCCGATGTGCCAGGAGCAGATGTCGGCACTGCAGCGGGCTTTGGTATTGCTGGCCGTGCTTCGCCAAGAGATGCGTTAACAACATGGCCTGCTTTTGTCGCTCTTTGACCGTTCGGGCCGCTTGACCACTTCGTGGAGCCAAGGTGCGTACGGACTGTACCATCGCGGGCCTTCAAGAGGTGGCTTGAGAGCCCATCTGCCCTGGACTTAGCCCTACCTTGGTGGGAAGGTCATTTCCACCAACCTGGGCAAGAACTTTCTGGAACCACCTGGCTTCAACCTGGAGAAGTCTCTTGGGCTGAGAAAAGGGGTGGGTTGGGTTTCCGGGTGTTTTGAGATTCATGTGTCTCTGTTGCACACTGCCCAGGTCCTTCCACGGCAGCAATGCGTGCAAGCCGCTCATATTCGTGTTGTCGTCGGGAGCCGATCCAATGGCCTTTCCGGCCTGCTTTCTCTACGTTTTGTGGGCTTCTTGCGAGCGGGGCGTCTCTGAAGGCGGCTCAGCTTCTTTGAAACGGTTCTGTGTCAAGCCAGGTCGAAGTCATCCGTCTGGCGCAGAAGGTGGGCATGAACGAGCGGTATACGACCGCTGGGGCCCCAGGATTGGATGGTAGACATAACCTCCCGTGATGCCCTGCCATACTACACCATCTACCAAACCAAATAGTATACTACTATTTTATGCCTTGCTCTGCTATGCTATGCTACACCATGCTATAGTATACCAGACTCTACCCTACCCTACCCCACTCTACTCTAACCTACTCTAACCTACTCTGCTCTACTCGGCTCTACCATGTGGGTGGTTGTCAAAATTACGGTCCCTTTTGGGGTACCCTAAATATTAGGTGCCGTGTTACTAAAAAGGGATCCTGATCTTCACAACTACCCATGTGATGCTACGCGGCGGATGCCACGGCTCCGAGGTTTCCTTGGGACAGGGCCAGGGCCCGAAGGTTGCGACCTGAGAGTTTTTTTCTCTTCTCCGTTTCAGGGGGAGCCAAGAGGGTTCAGGGTTGAGGGTTCGGGGGTTTAGGGGTTCAGGCCTTTTTGGGGGTTTTTGGGTTTAGGGTTTAAGGTTCAGGGGTTTAGGGTTGAGGGAATAGGGTTGAGGGAATCCCAAAAATCTTGCGCGCCTAAAGCCAGTATCCCTCCTTCTTTGCAGCTTTCGAGTTTAGGGTTTGAGTTTTGGGGATGGGCTTGAGGCTTGGGCATGCGCAGTCGCTCGACGAAGCTCTTTGCCCAGGCTGGAAGGGCTATCAGCGATGGCACGGAAGGAGGTCTCTGGGTTATCCTGCAGAACTGTCTGGCTCTCGGGTGTTTGTGTCCATGCGCACTGCCTGGCTCCGGTTTTTCATCTGAGGCCACCTAGCACCGTCTTGGATGCCTACGTTGGAAGTGATGGTCGAAGAGTTGGACCCGGACAAGGCACCTTTGCGTCGGCGGAGTTCGGGATCGTTTGCAATCAGATCTCGGCTCGCCCTTTCGTGCGAGGTGAATGAGCAGTTCCGCCTGTGGCTGCCGGGGCCTCGCGCTGGAAAGCCGGGCCGAGAGTGCATCTGTCGGGGTGGCCAGGACGTCGATGCCATCATCGGAGTTTCCCATTTCCGTGTTGCAAAATGGCATGAAGATGACCATCGAGCCGCCGAAAGGCCTGATCAAAACTTGTTGGTCTTGGGACGCACCAGATTGATCGCTGTCATCCGTTCCGTCAGCCTGTATTGGCGCATCACTTCCGAAAAACGCGAGCTCAAACTCCTGCGGTGCGAGCGTCTCCGAGTTGCTGCTCGCTTTTGCAACTTTTCTGCATTGACAGGTCTGAAGTCAAACTTGCTTCGTGCGTTCTCCTCCATTGACCCTGACTGGCGGTGTGCCCAGAACAGCTCAAAATGCCGGTGATGCTGCTTCTGGATCTCATGAAATGTCGTCGAAACAGTTGCCACCAAGGTTTGCCGAAGCGTGCACCAGGAGCACGGAGTGCAAGCAAACCTTCAGGCCAGCGAGCCTCCTGGTTTGGCCTTGTTGGCAATCTCGTTGCGTTGGTAGAAGGGCTGGTTGGTGGATGTAGTAGGTGCGGCAAGACCCCCTCAACATAGCTTCGACAAGCTTACGGCAGCCTGATAAAAGCGTCACTCTGGGAAGGCTGCTCCGTTTTTGGCAGGAAGATGCTTTTCGGTCTTTGTTTCTTCCATGCCCTCATTCAGGACCGGACCTTGCATTCATCTTTCAGGTTGCTTGTGGCTTGTGAGAAGGAAACGGCTGTTCTCTCTCTCTCGCTCTCTCTCGCTCCATCTCTCCAGGAGCGCTGTACCTACGGACCTCTTGGTTGGAACATCCCGTGTTGCTGGCATGGATCAGGGCAAATCTGCTGCTGCGTAGGTATTTGCTGTCGCGTCAACACTACTGACATTACAGAATTCTCTACCTGTCCAGGTACCAATTCTCAGAACCTGACCGGCAAATCTGCATGATGCAGCTCAGGAGTCGTGTCAAACCTGGCATCACGATTCGGGACAACTTAGAGACAACCAGAGTCATGTGCAGGATGTTCCTGGAAGAGAATGACTCCGTTCCATATGCTGCGCTCCGATATACTGCTGCAGAGGTCAGGGAATCGTTACTGCTTCTGCTTGCGGCACGTACGTGTAGACTGAACTTCTCTGTCTGTTTGAAGCTACCTGGTATAGTCTGCAGGCCAACTACGGAGGCCGCGTCACTGACGTTCATGATCGCAGTGCTCTCAGCTTGCAGAGGTCGGTACGGCTGTCGGGCTCAGTGTATACTGGTTTGTATTGTCACGGCCAGGGTCAGCCAACGATCAGTCCAGGCTTGGGTTTAGAGTTCCTGGATCCAGGCCTTTCTACGCATCCGTCGTTTCCGGGTTTACAGTGCCATCTTTCACCTCCAGTTAACTGCTCGTCACCTCAGTTGACGAGGTTTGCAACTCATAGTTCCGTTGAGGATGTGCAGCTTTGTACGGTTTGGTTACCGGCGATTCCTTTCAGGCTTAGGGGGTGGAGTCTGGAAGCCCTCCCCTGTCTCGATCTCCACATATCTGTTCCCGGGGGGGCAGACTTTGAAGTCGAGCTCTGCGACGGGCAGGGCACTTCATCGCTCGAGTGGCGAAGGTCGCTGCATCAACTTCCTCCTCACAGACTTCTACTGCCCAGAGATTCTCAAAGATGACTACAAGTTCTCTGCCCACCCGGCATGAATTCGTGACGACTAGCATGGCAGTGGCTTCCTTCTCTGCAAGCCCTCTGTGTCTCCGTGGTCTAATATAGGGGCCTTAATAATTGCCTACACTATTTTGGGGGTTCCTTATCATAACTATAATATGTATAATGGACCGCCGAACCCTATTCTAATTGAATATAATTAGGGGCCTTAATAATTTCCTACACTATTTCGGGGGTTCCCCTATTCTAAGTGTTAAGGTCTCTATATTAGGCCCCCCCCCACCTGCTTTCTTCATTGCCAGCCTTCTGGCGTCTACTACGCGCCGGCTTACTCTGTGAGTCTTGAGCCCTACATCGAGCCACTTGGGCGTGAAAGAGAGAGGGTTATTTGTGAAGATGTGCATAGGTTCTTTCAAAAACACAATTGAAACAACAAACCCCTATGCTTATAAAAGCCGATGGCAGTAGGGCTGTAAGACAGATGAAGGAGCTCGAAAGGGGCTGTTGAGCAATCGGTGCCAGCAATCACGACGGACGTCGCGGATCGAAGATGATCGGAGGGTAGCAATCTAAACAGACTATGAACCAGGTACATCCGGAGCCTGCCCATCAACCAGATGCCAGAGGACCAGTTGTGGGTGGAATGTTTGAATCGGACATGGTGGCTCATGCTCTTCAGGTTTCGAGTTTCCCTTCTTTTGCACCACTCTGTGTGACTGTGCCTCATGTGTCAGCGAGTCCGGGGAAGTGCGGCAGGCATTTGGGCTGCATGCCAACGCTAACCTCGTCGCAGCCATCAGCGAGGCTCGGCCGTGTCCTTTCTGATTGCATCGTCTGCGCTATGAAGCATCATGAAGCGCAGGCCATGCGCCTGCTGGGTACGGCAGCAGCCCTCCAGCCACGGACAGGAGGAGGCCCTGATGGAACAAGTTACGATGAGCGAAAGTCGAAAGCAACGCGCAGCGCTTTCTGCTAGGTGGCGGGGGTGCTTCTCAGGACGACGTGGTGATGGAGGTGGGGAGCTGCTGAACAGCCCGAGCGCAGCTGGACAGAGCCGAGATTCTTCTCATCGTTGAGTTCCAAGGCTGCAACGAAGTATCTCGAAGAGGTGCAGCCGCCTTTCGACACGGAGGCGAATTGGTCTTTGCAAGCAGTTGTAACACATCAGCTGCAGCTTGCAGCGTCTTCACCTACCCGGCGCTTCTATTGTGCTCTCGGGGATGCACAGCAAGTGTATTCGCCAATGTAGAATCGTAGAACATGTTACGGCGCGGTCTGACTTGGGTGCAGGGTCTTCAGACTTCTGCACATTTGGAGAGGCCAGCAACGCGAAGTATCCTGTGGATTACAACGAGTCCATGAACACGGTCCTTAACCAAGCGACTTGATTGCAGAGAGCGCAAACGTGTAGTGTCCACTTAGATCCTTCCGCCGAGAAGCGCTCACGATTCAGCATGGGTCTTAACTAGTTTCGCTCCCCCGAATCCATCGTGTTTGCCACCGAAGCGGCCCAGGATCCAACCTAACCCTGAACCCTCAACCCGAAACCCTAAAACCCTAAACCCTACACCCCTACACGCCTATACAGCAAAGGAGCTGCTTCGGTTCAACAAGCTCATTTCGAAGGTCCGAAGTGGCTTCGCTGGCACTGTGATGGCTCGACATAACCCGCCTCCTAGGCTTTTCCTGTGGACAGTCTCAGCCCTAAACCCTAAACCCTAAAGTCTAAACCCATCCCAAAACCATGGAAGGAGCATCGCTCAGCGTCTTCCCAGCATCCGCTAGCCTTTGCAAGCTGATGACCCAGGTACCCTGACGGACGTGAAGAAGGCAGTCAAAGGTGTCTTGGTGTCCAAATTTAGCATTCTCATTCGAATTATTGTTAAGCTGATCTTATCGTCATCGTGATTATCATGATTGTTATCATGTCTGCTATGTTTTGTTAGCTGTTAGTCTAATCCGAGTTTAGTCTTTAGGCTCAAGCCGAAAGGAGCTCGGAAAATCTTCTGGCTGTTTGGTTTCAGCGTCCCAGGTTTGGTGGTGATGAGCGCCGAGCTCGAGATGTTGGCGGACGGGATCCTGACGGATCGCACCCCATCGGCTCCCCGGCTGAGGGTTTGGGGGTTCAGGGCTTGGGGGTTCAGGGTTAGTTCAGGGTTTGAGGGTTCAGGGTTAAGGGATGTTCACGGTTAGTTCAGGGTTTAGGGTTCAGGGTTTACGGATAAGGGCTCTTCAGGGTCAGTTCAGGGTTTAGGGTTCATGGGTTGCGGTTAAGGGATGTTGAGGGTTAGTTCAGGGTTTAGGGTTTAAGGGTCCCGGACATGAGTAATCCGGCTTCGCTTGTGTGGCTTGGAGCAGGGAGGCTTCGGCGAAAAGCTTCTCAATGGCTGTGATCTGTAAGGTCTACGGACAGGGGTACACCACTGTAGAGATCCGGAAGGAAGAGGTGTTGATGATGCGGCAGGGTTTCACATCTGTGGCACCACCGAGGGGTCAGTTCCGATGAGAAGCGTGGTGTCAGACTGTCACTGCGAACTAGCGAGACTACTTCACAAGAGGGCGGGATACCTCTTGGCGTGGAATCTGTGCTATGCGACAGACTCCAAGGTTTGGATCGAAGTGTCCTATCCTTCCCTGAAGCCCATGGTGTCCTACGTCGCGGACCTTTGTGCCAGCACCATGCCAGCATTGCAGCTTCAAGCCGACCTGTGATGCAAGAAACCGACTTGCTCAGGAATCGAGTTCTTCCAGAAGTGGATTGACGAAGGCATTCCTGAAGCATTCTGGTTGTCAGGCCGGGCAGGAGTGCAAGACTTGCCATGATGATGTAGTGCTACGTGACACCCTAATTCGAATTCGCGGGGTTATGGTAACGTGCAGTCTTTAGATCCGATCCAAAGTCACAAAGGCGAGCTACTCGGTGCTTGCGCTGGGGGACAAACTCGTTGGGTGAGTGGGTCGGGGGCGAAGTTAATAGTGTTTGTGATCTTGGTTTCCGTGATCACCATGACAACCACCATTTTTTCAGAGGTCGGGTCGAAGGTTGTGGGCTTACTAAAGCTACCCCCCCGCATCTTTCTCAACTTGGCAGCCCCTCAGAAGTGCTCCAAAGCTTTCAGCATTGGTCGCATGTCCAGGTTTCTACTTTACTCAATCCTTTCTGACGGGCCAGCTGCAAAACTATGCCCGGACTCTGAAGCTGCCCATCGACACGCCCCTCAGCTTGGTTTGGAGTTGGGTTTTGAGGATTCTGTCGGAGGAACAGGTGAGGAGAATGTTTCGCCCGAGATCTGCTGCAGCTGCCCGCGTTGTGAAGGGAAGCTCGACAATGATTGAAATCCAAGCTCGACAAGCGAAGAGAAGCATGGGTGCAGGTTCCATGTAGTTTCTGTCAACACTCAAAGCACATGAGCTGTCCTTAGAGCCTCCCAGCTTGCTGAGGTTGATCTGGAACTTCAAGGTGCTAAAGCATTCGGCAGAGCTCAGTCGACCAGCTTCTGGCTGCTTGGCCTACGGCATCTTCGTGGACGGAGCGCGCTTCTACGCTGCACCCCTTTTCGCCTTGGCGCAGAAACCCAGACCCGTGACCTTTGAGGGCCTCATGTCATTTTTAGGCGCAAGGCAGTTTCAGGATGCGAGCCGTGCCTCCGGAATAACCACCAGAGCTCAAGCTGAGCAAGTTGACAGGTTGGGATGACGACGACAGCGTGATAGCGGAGAGCCTTCCGAAGGTGTTGTTCAGTTCCCTGGCTTGAGACAGTGTTGCATTCAAACGGCAGTGATGATAACCCTGCCAGCGCTGCTTTCGCAGCTCGTACACTTGAGTGCGTTCGTCGAGCTGCAATGGCCAGACACGATTTCGTCCTTAAGCGGCCACGGAATGTGTCTGCAGGTGGACTACCGACAATCCACCTCACACCATGCGAGACGTCGAAGGCTGCGAAGGGAAGTTTCGACGTTGAAGGTGCAAGCGACACATATCTCGGGCTGCTTGCAGGACCCGACAGACCGCCGAACGGTCTATCCATCGCCACTTTACAAAACGTCAGAGGCCGAGTTGTTTGCGCTGTCTTCAGCGCTGCACAGACTGCATAATGTGCTGTGTGCAGTGCGAGCCTCTGCTGTCGGCTTCCTAGGTCTGGCCGCAAAGGAACGCTGACCACCACCGGCCACAGTACGAACTTTGTGATGACGCTCCTTCTTCCGAGTCTAGGTCGCAGATTCCTGTGCTTGGCCGCAAGTTCTTGCATATAAGCTGTTTCGAGTCTTGCAGTGCAGCTGCTCACATCTCTCGGGCCTCGGCTGAGGATAACGAAGCAGCACACAGAGAAGTACTGGGCGAAGCGTGGCGTGGCCTGTCTCCTGCAGCTGGACGACTGAGCGGGGACGAGCTTAAGAAGACCTCAGTCACAGTCAGCACCGGAAGCAGTGTGCAAAGGGCCCACGGGCGTTGCTTGGGCCTCCGGCTTTGAGCTGAAGCCATCATGTAATTTTTTGTTGACTAGCTGAACCCTGGCATGTCTCACTGAGAGTGGCCTGTGTCCAAGCATGTATGTTAGCCTTAAGCATCCTTAAGCCTATCTTCTTGCGATGTTGCATGAAGCATCCACAGTTGGGCTCAGCTCTTGGTGAGAGTCGTTGCCACGAGGCTTTCAAACAACATCGAAAGTTCACAGCTTGGTTGCGGCAGGTCACAGTTTAGATCACACGATCTGAAGCACAGTGGTGCGAGCAGTCGGTTCCAACGCACAGAGCCGTACTCGACAAGACCTGGCAGAATTTGTCGATGGAGTGACAAAGCCTCTTCGCGAGTCCTGCAGGGAGTGGCTGGTTGTTCTCCCGGTTGACTTACTGCGGGCTGGATCGCATGTCATGCGCAGGCAGGTATATGGTGACAAACACTGTCGCCAGCCTCCTAGGTTAGTGTACTCAGCCACAGCAGCTCTGAAAGCTGGTGTCCATCACCTACAGGAAAAGCAGCTTGATGCTCACCAGTTGTCGGAGAAGCTTGTACATGAGAGATCATGGATGTTCGGCGCGCGAAGATCGCAGCTGTGCAACAAGAGTGGTCTTCAGCTTTGAGTGCTCGATGCATGGACGACACGCGTCGTTTGGGGCTATAGATGTGGCTTGTCACGCAGGTCATTTTGAGTCAGCCCCGGATCTCGAGACTCGCAGATGTAACGCAACAGGCGGAACCGCAGGTTGGTCAATACTTCAAGACTGCCTCTGTTCCTTTCGGCCAAGCCGCAGCCTTTGCCGGCTTGCAGCTAAAGGCTGATAGCAGAGCCAATGAGAGCTGGAAGAAGCATGAAACCCTCATTGGGACATATCGGGACTCAGGCAATGCGAAGCTTCATAGATAGGACGTAGTAATGCCTTCGAGGCCACGTCGTGAGAGCTTGTTGCCTTAGAGAAAGACCCAGAAGAGCACCCAGCGGTCGAAGGCAGGGTTTCAGACTGAGTGACAGCAAAGTGAAAGAAGGCTTCCAAGCTCTGCTCCGCACCACACATGTTCCAGGATTATTTGATATTGTGCTGCAGGTCGCCATGGAGTTTCTCGCAGCAGGAGTTGGAGGTGCTGCACCAGGAGTTAAAAGTCGGTGAAGGAACGTGCAATGCATCGAAGACTTCATTGCCAGCTGGGCTCCTCAACTACAATCGGAAGAACTTCATGTTCGACAAGGCCGTGGACCAAGCTGACAGCCCCCTTCCCTCCCTCCTCTCCCCTTCGGTTCCTGCATCCATCCTCTCTCTGTGCAGAACATGCCTTGGCCGTACCAAGGAACAGTATCGAGAACGCGCTTACTTCAGCCAAGAGATGAAGGTGTCCAAATACGAACTCTACCGGGAGGACCCGGTCCGACTTCTGCTCTTTATTGCCATTCACGAGGGTTTGAGGTTTCACAAACCCTGCGCCACAGGACATCAAGGACTTGATGGATCTCACGGTGTCCAAGATGGACGTACCCAACTAAGTGGGGCAAGATGGCAAGCATGTGGTATGAGCACACATCCAAAAACGCTTGAATCCCATACTCATGTTCTTCAAACCCCAGACCCCTCATCCTAATTTCCTGATCTCGCTAAAGCTCTCAGCCCTAAATCTCCAACCTTAAGACTCGAACATCACTAACCCACTCAAGTCCATGTTGATGCTGCGGCGTCTACCTTAGCCTTGGCCCTTATTCGCATGCTCGTAGTCACGGTGGTGCTCTTTTTGAAGCTCAAGCTCTTTTGCGGTCTGGGGGGTGTTGGGGTTGGTTCGAGCGCGTGCAGTCTTTTTGACTGGAATTGGGCAAGTCTCCCCGTTCTTTGCGGAACTCGTATCTGCGGGTAGGCAACATGAGGTTCTGCGTAGTTAGTTCAATGCTGAGGTGTACATGGTGATCAACGTCTTACAACTTCTGCACGGGCCTGATAGACAAGCGGTCCTCACTTCAGTGGCCCAGTCCTGGTCCAGTCACTAGCTGGCCAACTTGTGCCGAGGTTCTGCGTGATGTTGTTCACGGAAGGAATGCCAAAACCTCGAACGACTCCCTTGTGGTTGCACTGGTCAGAAGCTGAATGAGCAGCTTGCCCTTGCACTTGCTTGGGTGAACTGAACGTCTAGGATTCTGGCTGCAAGCAGTGGTTCTGCCGTCCTGTACTTCGTGCTAAGCCTTGCCCTGAGAGTGGACACCTGAATTGCAGGTCCGTTGTGCCGCTTCGAATTTCACCAAGGCATCTGGCTCGGCATGCACGCATCGATCGCTGCACACTCCTTCGGCGTGTCTTGCCTGTAGTACAAGTCCTCGCTGCTTGTCATTTAGTTTTCTGATCATTGTGTTTCGCCAAACGCACAGGTCAGACTGCTGACGCAGTTTGTGCTGCCCTCGTGTGGGCAAGGGAGGTGCTTCGGAAAGTTCTAGAACAAGCTTGGCAACCAGACAAGTGTGCCCCATCAGCGACAGTGTGCGGGCTTCAATCCGCCACAACGTCTGCTGCGTTTTTCCATGGTAGTCTGGCAACGCGGGCCATCATGGCTTCGGCCAGCTTGAGTGCCCTGCCTCCACGAAGGTTCGGTTGCCGGTGCCCAACTTGCAGCAGATTCACACGGCTGCTGCCAAAGCCAAGGAAGGGGGTACGAGTTCAGAGCATCCAGAGAGAGTCATTTTGAAGTGTGCATGCTGCCAAACTTCGCGTGTTGTTTGGGAGCCCTCTTTTCCTGTGGAGGACTACGAAGCTCTCAGTTTAACCGACATGCTTCGAATCCCGGTGCTGCAGCAGCAGTTCAGGCAGGGTCATAAAGCTCAAAAAGCAGAACCCAAGAGATTGGCTGTGAGGAAGCTCACTGCCACCTTGGGCAATCTGTCGTCACCTTCTCATTCAAGCAGGGTATGATCGAACCAGCCGTAGCCGATGAAGTTGGCATTTTGGCCGAGGTTTGAAAACCGGGCCGAGGACACGACTGGCTTGGACGATTCCTTCCTGCCGGAGGTGTTCTGATAGGATGCGATGATTCCCGGACTTTGGATTTGCGATGCCCTGAGAGGTGTACGTGCCTTCGCTGGAGGAGACAGCGGCATTGCGGCCGTGCACTGAGACTGGTGCGCGTTTCGTGGCTTCCCGCTCCTTTGATTGGATGTTTTTCGTGAGCAGGCATATCCAGTTGTACAGAGAACTTCAAGCAAACTGGCAGGCATGGGTATTGTTTGCTCTGGTCTACTGACGTTCCAGTGCTTCATGTCCTCATTAACCCAACATCAACCCCGAGCTCCCAAATCCAACGTAGACACGACGGAAAGTGGATTTGGAAGGCCTACGATGCCTACTGCCGCGTGCCGGCATCCTCAGCACAAAGCAGCACGCACGAGGTTCTACTTGACATGCAGTGTTGTGCACGGTTCAAACCTCTGCCCTAGCAGAAGACGATTCAAGGAAGAACTCCAGAGCTCGGTGGTTCCACGCTGTAACTGAAGCTGAAAGGTGCATGGCCTTGGGCACAAACCAGCTCCTGCAGTCGATCAACGCCTACTGCCTGGGTGCGGGCGCAAGAACATCTAGAAAGACGCCTTCGGGATATCCGGTTCATTTGGGCAGGTGTTCTTCTTTCCGAGACGAGCAGTGGATGGGCGGCTGCTTGCTGCATGGCAGTGACTTGGACTTGCGCCGGGGCTGCTGTAGCGCGAGTTAGGTTTCAGGAAGGGCCTGGGGCAGATTGTGCAAATAACCCATGGCCTCAGAATTAACAGCTATTGAGGCTTTAGCAGGAAAGGCTATGGGTATGGCAAAGACATGCAAAGACCACCCCTGGCCTCTTTTTCCATGCCCCTTCTGTTTTTAGTTGGTCTGAGAGCCAGAATGATTGGAATTACCTGAGACCTCTGAGATCACGCTCTGTTCTCGGCCCCTCAGCTCAGGTGATCAGCTCGGTGTCCTGGCTCGTCGTGAGGCCTTGAGCGAGTCTTATCAAGGGACCACGTATACACTCGTAGCATATCAAATATTTGATCCCTTCAACCGCGAGCAGGTTGGACGTCCTCGTGAGCTGGAGGATGTTGATGATGGCCTTGGCCTTTCAGACATGTTTCCCATGCTGAGAGCAGCACAGCTTGTTTGGTGACCCTCCGATGGAGATATTTCTATAGGAACCATCAAGTACCAGGACATCCTTGCTAGTCTCGGGAATGCATCGCCAACGCAATCGAAACGCGACAAGAGTGCTGCCAGGCCCTTCAGTCCGCGCCACAGTTTCTAGCTGGTCACGAAGTAGTTCGAAACCTCTGCGATTGAGTGTTGACATCTGAGAGTTGCAGGCTGGGCGGACAAGGGCTGAAAATCAGGAACATGGATGTCGGAGACTCTTCCTTGCTGCAAGGCTGGGTATTCCGCTGCTCACGCTTTGTTGCCTGGCGACCCAAATCCTGTTCAAGTGGGCTGGCGCTCTTGCTGTGCTCGGCTCAGTGAATCTCTGCAATTGCAAATTGCTGCAGCAGAAGCTTTCGTGGAAATGCATGCTGACTATACGCCCGGAGAGATGCTGCGAAACACGTTGCTCAAGGTTCTAGTGCAGTGGACTACAGCTGTGCGCCTGTAGCAAAAGAGACACCTGAGTGCCTGTGTTCCTGTACGCCTAGCGAGGGGATACACGTCCAGGTTACATCTCAACGGGGGGGAGGGGAGGGGAGGGAGGGGGGGGAGTGGGGGTGGGAGCGCGTTTGCTGGGATGGCTGGATTCGTGTGTTCGCTTGCGGCCAAAAGAGGATGCTGGTTGAGGGCCACCAGGCCGCGCCCCAGTCTGCGCACCATATATCTGTGGGTGTGGCCCTAGATCTCCAAAACTTGTTTTAAGCATACCAGGAGTTTTTAAAGTCATATACATATACAGCTTTATCTACACAGACATATACTTCCTTTCCTTTCGATCAGTCAGGAGGAAAACACGATGCACAAGGAGGAAGGCAAGTGTCTGTTCGCAAGCAGTGATTTGGAAGACCAAAGCAACTTGCCGAAACAAAAGCCCACAAGAGGCAAACGTGCAATCATGAGCAGAATGCGTTGTGGCCCCATCAAAACAAATTCAATTCGAACAACGAGGCAGTCTCAACGTTGCCCCAACAGGCAACGTTGGCGGGACCAGCGAGACAGTGCGAGTAAGCCATGCAGTGGCGTCACCTTCTCTACTCCTGCATCGCCCCAGTGGTGAGTCGAAGACACCAAACGCCCCACCGGACTGTGGCCGCGGTTAGGGTATTTGTGCTAATTGCCTGCTCAGCTCGTCCGCGTTCTCGTGCCGACAATCTTCGCCGGGATCTGAGCAAGTGCCTCTAGTCGAAGTGCTGGCAGGGGATAGCACAAAGCTTTTGCATGGTCGGGGAACAACTATCGTGCTCAGTAGTGCATTGTGCACTCCCGCCTGCTCTCTTTGCATGTCCAAGTCCTCCCCACCCACACGAAGTAGCGGTGTCTTGTCGGGGCTCAAGCGCAGGTCTTGCATCTGTTTTGGATGGTGTGCTGCCTCCGACTGGCCGCAGCTCGGTGCTGAGATCTGACAGGGCTTCGTGTGCCGGAAAGTTGACATTTGCTTGCCATTGCCCATTTTCTCTTCGATGAGGGACGTGGTGACAAAGTTTCACTACCCGGCAAGGCCCCATCATGCAAAGCCGTGTAACACTGTGAGTCATTCGCCGAACATCTGCATCTGATGCCGGGGTATCCTGCAATGACACGTCGTGCATTCTGCACAGTTCCGCGGCGTGCTCTATTTGGACGTGTTCGGCTGGCTGTCTCCAGAGGCCCAGTGGTTCTTGTGCCGCCTATTGTAGGACAGCGATGCTTCGGCTGCATCACTCGCGTGACTTGGATGTATGAAGGGAGAAAGCCCTCGTGCCGCTCCGCGACGACGCGAGGAGGCCAATCTTGCTGCTTGCTAAATCACATGTACCGCACACATTTGGAGTTGAGTCGGGATCGACTCTTCCGTTGCCTTCCAAAAACGACAGGTCACCCAGCGGTCGGATCTCATTGCAGAAGCTTATGACAAGAAGACATGAGGGTCCGAAAGCGACAGCAGCTCCTTGGACCACTCCGACACGTCCCATCGTTGCTACTGCGGGCAGTGTGGACACGCTAGGGAAAATGAGGCTGCCAACTCCAGGACACACCAAAGAACAAACTCCCCTGGCAAAGATTCACCGGATCCGCCAAAAGCACCAGCAACTGCAGAAACGGCCTCCGTGACATTCTGTAGATCAGCTTGTACATGTTTTCGTGTGTGCCCCTCGGGTCACCCAGTCGCGTAGCACGAGATGGCAGGTGCTTTTATATTCTTGACATGGTCAGGTTCCAGACCATTGACCCATAAACTTCGCAAGCACATTCAACACCAAAACAAGGCCACCTCGAGTCGGCATCCTCGCAAGACGAAATGCGTCCGCAGTTCTTGGACGATCTCCGAGACCTGCAACTCATGACATCCATGCAGCTGTACCTGCCACAAAACCGAAAGCTTGACTGCACAGCGACTTTTGCAGTAGGGGTGCGAATGATTGCCTCCGTCGTGTACTTGTGAAGTTCATGTTGGAACTGGTAGTGAAAAGCTGTTGGTCCGCAGAGTTAGCAAGGAATGTCTCAAATCATTCCCGTGCTTTCAACATAGTCGGCACTTCAAGGCAGAAGCCCCGGATCCGACGGAGCAGCCTGCAGAAGACGAGGCCGTCTCATCGAAACCAGAAGAAAAAGCCACAATTTTATATAAATTAGTAAAAGCCAAAATATTATATGAATTAGTATAGGGTAAAATGCTGTGTAGATTCATAAGTATGCCTGCCTGACTTGTGGTTTCTTCACTCTTTGAGTTGCTTTCCGATCTGGAGCAAGCTGGGACAAACCTGGGCTGCGTGAGGCCGAACCAAGTCCTCCGCTGCCTGTGGCAATGTACATGAATCTGGCGGAGCTCAGTGTCCGGCAGAGAGTCCCTACCTCAGCAGAAGCATGAGGCGGGATTCGGTGTGCAAAGTGGCTAGCGAAGTGCTGTTCGATGCTAGTGGAAACATCTTGGCATTGGCCGTGTATAATAGCAGCAGCAATTTCAACAGTCTGCACTCATGTGCATTCAGCAAGGGCTTTCCGCGAGCAGTGCACTGCCGAGGACGGACTCGCCCGCCAGCTGGAGAAATGGCAAAATCCTCGTGTAGAAGCCGTCCTGAATGTACACCAGCCAGGTGTTATTGGACAAAGTCTGGATCCGCTCAACCAGTCACGGCACGATGCACAGACATGCCTTTCTGCTCTGACTCTTTCCGACAGTGGGATTGCCAGGACGAAAGATGGATGGAGGAAGTCGCGAAAATGAGGCGCGCATGCCGTCCGTACATTCTGCTATGCGGGCACGGGCACGTGCGATATCGTGCGATGCACCAGGCGGCGCTTCGAAGAAGTCGACGAGGTGCAGAGATCCCGGCTCAGCGGCCCGGTGCTCCTTGCAGCGGAGCAAAGTCCGTTGCAGGAGCTGTCTGCTACGCTGCAACGAGCCCGCGAGCAGCCGCAGCAGGAGCAAACGGAATTCTTCCCCCCGAGACAGAGCCCCAAAAGCTTCAGAAACCGCGCTCTCATCGAGTTGTCGAGGTAAGGAAACCTTATACCCTAAACCTTAAACCTTTAACCTTGAACCCCAAACATTGAACCCCAAACTTTAAACCCTAAACTTCAGACCCGAAGTGCATTGCCAGGATAGCAGCGCAGCTCCGAGAGTCGGCGGCCCGATGTGCCATGCTTCGTTTCTTCGATTCGTTGTAATGAGATCTGAGTTTACGTCGTAGTCGTAGTAGTCGTAGTAGTAGTAGTAGTAGTAGTAGTAGTAGTAGTAGTAGTAGTAGTAGTAGTAGTGGTAGTAGTAGTAGTTTCTGAGATCTGGGGACCGCCCTGGAGTTTGGGATTTCGTCGTAAATCTTTGCAGCGGGAGCTCGTTCGAACACCTGCGTGTTCTCGCCGCTGACAAAGCTTGGCTCCAAATCCCTGGCGCCATGCGGCAGCACTGTGAGCTCAAGGCCGTGTGCACTTCAGGAGTACTGCGATGTTTCGTTTTCTTTTCAGCTTTAAACATACAGCATGCCTGGATCGACATCCACCTATTTCCATCTTTCGGATGCAGGTCATTGATACTGCATGGCGCATTCTGACTGCAAGTTTCGGATCCCTGCTCTTCCACGTCTCCCTTGCAGCGCCAGACGATGCTGAAGTAGAACTTCTCATTCGAGAAACTTGAGGAGATCTTCGGCTTGAGCGAACGTTTCAGTAGAGGTTCGGGAATTGAGTCTGATGTAGCGGAAGAGAGATTAGGATTGCAGCATCATTTTCCATTAGGTTTGTGTTCCATTGGTCTCCAGGGTCTAAGCTGGATGCAGGTGGAGGGGTGACTGGAATCATACCGCAAGTCAGACTTGAAGTGCTGTTCCCGTACAACCTAATCAGAGAAAACTGCCATTGAAGACTGCAGGGGAGCAGCCCTCAACATCTTTCTATTAGAGATCCTCCCTAGAGAACCCATGCAGAGTGTTTCTTTGGATTTTGATGCCGGAATGTGCCTGATGACCCCGGCAGGTCGTGCGCCGACCCTAAGCGATGCTCCAGGCTGAGGAGAAGACCTCCGCCGGGCCCGCAGAAGGAACTCTTCTTCCTGGACAGGTGTCCAAGTTCCTAAGAGCTCAGGTTTGGTACCGAACCTACGTCGGCTCCTGAGCAGTCTGAGGGCCGCCATCCATCAGACATTCCCCCTCTGTGCAAGGGAGACAAACCCAGTGCCTGCACCGCTACTCAGGTCTTATTCATTTTGCTATTGGTCTGTCGCACTGTCATGGGTTGAAGCTCAGATGTCAGCTTTGCCAGAACCGAGCTATCCCCGGGCCAGGCATCAGCAATCTGGCGACTCGCTACCAGCCGAGCCGCGTGGTCCAAATGCTAGAGGTTGAGAGTTGAGAGGTTCTGGTGCTTGTGGTGACAATCGTGCTTCTCCAACGCACAAGATGCTCTTTCTGATGGCGGGGCCTCTTCGCGAAGCTTTCGACACCTGTTCGGGATATGCTTCGTGGGATAAACCACGTCTCGAGCAGAACCAAGGCTTCCTGATTACAATTCCAGTTCTGGAATGCGAAGAAGTTTGCAAAGGCAGGGCTCAGGGAGTTCGGCTTTGGGATGTTTGGGATATGTTGCGGCATCATGACAGACAGTTGTTCAAGCCAACTTACGGCTGTAGCTTCTAACGTTGCGAAGCCCCCTGGCAGGCATCGAAATCACTAGTGGGAGCCTCTGCGCACGAAACGGACTGGTCACATGCTGCAATTCCATCGCGCACTGGCTGTTTGGGATGCATAGCTGTTGCGCCATACGTGGCCACACCGAGATCCAGTCTGCCTCTGGAAAACGCCGGACACTCCGGCCACCGAATTGACGAGGTGTCGCAAGACGGAGTGCGTAGTGAGGGCGCGTTGCAAGTCGCTCTCGCCTTGTTCAGGGAAGAGCAATGCCGCCAATGCAGATCGCAGCCGGCCATGCCGCCCTTGATATGGCAAGGCCAGCTGAGCGGCAGATAGAGTAACAAGCAAGGGCCCCCCTCACTACCCGGCGTGTGGCTTGCAGGTGCAATGCCGCGGCAGCCGCCAACACCAGAACTACCTCCGGTTGACAAGGAGGCACAGCGGGCATGGCGATGCCCACGATGTCAATGTGCCTTGGCCGAGGCCATGGTTCTGCAGATTGAACAGAAGAAACTCTCAGTCCAGGGCTCAGGCCCAGGAGGGCGCGGGCTGCATGACTGCATGGGAGAGGGCATCCTTTCTCGAGTCGCTTTGTAGCGGATGTTCGCAGGTCCGAAAGGCTCTGCCCGCCACTGCGCTGCAGACGGATGGGGATCACAGACCGTGGAGGCGAAGATCGGCGCAAGCACAGGCCAGCGCCCAACCGTGATCACTCGAACCTGTGGACGCCAAAGAAGCAGCACTGATGAAGTCACCAAGCTTCCTTTAAACAGTTAACTCAGTCGGACTCCAGCACATCCGTCGGTCAGAGCTCGACAGGAGGAATCGCAAGCGGATGATGCGCCCGATGCTCCTGGGCAGCACGCTGCTGGCCGTTTTGGGGACAATGGGGGCGAACATGATTGAGCCTTCTTCAACGAATGTTGTTTGCAGGGCTAAGCAAGCTCTGCAGGGAAATATCGCCAGCAATCCGTTGTTACAGCCTGCCGTAGATGCGTCACATCGACACCATCAGTGGCTTCTACAACATGGCAGACGGCGCCTGTCCGGGACCTTGATCGGTATTGACTGACGGTAAGTGGTCTGTCAATACTTGCCTTCTACGTTTCGATTGTTCTCAGCTACAGAGATGGCAGACCACTCCGAAGAATCTCTGGCAGTGTGCAGGATGTAATCAAAACTACCTTGCATGATGAGGTCTGTGGTATTGGCAGTACGGTCTGCTAATTGGCTACGGCTTTGCCTTGGTCTATGCCGACCAGTGCTCAGCTGCTCTTACGCCTGCGCGTGCTTTCGTGCTTCCGTGCACGCCGCCCATCCAAGGCCGGAAGCCTCCCAGCAGGTCTGCTGTGCGTGCGAAGCCTAGCCCGGAGTGCGGAGTGGTTTTTGTCGAGGACGTTTGCCGTTTGCGCCTCGTGTCACTCCTCCGTGCAGGACCGCTATCGACGCAGCGGGATCCTGGCACTGTCCCTCTTTGTCTGGTCCATTTGCACATCCATGCAGGCTCTCTCTTGCAGCAGATATCAAGACTTGTCCTTGAGATTCCCCCGAGCGAGCTGCAGTTGCAATTCAAGCATCTTCGTTTCCTTTCTGCGCCGCAGGCCCTCGCCAAGAAGATTTGGCTGCTGCTCGTGTGGCGTGCCCTGATAGGCCTCTCGCAGGCGAGTGCGTTGCCTCGACGACGCGTTCTTCCGCAGTCCTTCCTGTTTCGGAAATCGACAGAGTTGATAGCAGTTGATTCTTGAGGTTTCTGGCCCCAGCAGCGAGCGAGCGAGCGAGCGAGAGTTTTCATTCTGCGCAGGGCTTCGGGTATGCCGCGTCGAACTCGCTGCTTGGCTGCACCTGCGATGCTCGATTGCTCTTGCTGTGTTCATGCATGCCCTTCAAGTTCTCGCGTCTACACGCGACAACAGCAGCAGCTCTTCGTTTGAACTTGGCAGGCTGCTCCTCGACTATTTTGCGAGCAGGCAGCTCAGGAATGCTCCGCCACTTGCGGATGCGAGATGCATGCGAGTCGTGCCGTCTGTGGTACTCCGGTATTCTGTGCTTCCAGGCAACGAGAAGCAGCGGGACGTGGCCTGGGCCTTGCTAACGATGGTCGGCTGGGGCCCTGGCTGCCATTCGTTGCTTTGTGATGGTCTGACTTCCGACGCCTGGAGGGCCGCAGCTTGGCGTGGGCTGCGCATCCTTCAGCTTCTTGGACTTTGCGATCCTTCGGAACTCTGAGAGCAGCATCTGTGCGGATAAAGATGCATCCCTGCCATTCCGAACAGTCCAGGCATCGTCTTTGCAGAGGGCCTGGGCTGGAGATGGATAGTGCTGCTTACCGGTAGCTATCCTGCACTACGGATCCGCGTTCCGACCACGGTCTGGCATTTGGTTTCAAAGCGTCTGCAGAGACTTCTTGCAAGCGCTGGGCTGGCCATTTCCTGTGCAAGGCGGCTTGGGCATTCTTCTGTCAGGCGTGGTGCTGGCCACCGTCAAGGATTGTCTCGGGGAAGCTTGCACTAATGCCAACGTGTAAGGTCGTGTGTGATTGACTGATGCCATCAGTGACGAACCGTTTTTGTAGGAGCCCCCGCGGACAGAGTGGTCGGCTCCGTGCACCATGGCAGTGGTGACAGAAGAGGCCATTCCCTTGGGCTGAACAGATGCAAGGGAAGCTTTGAGACCACACCAGTATTGTTGACTCATGCTCAGCCAGCCACAGAGAAAGCCAGACGAGCTCGGCTAGCACTGGAACGGAACCAAGACCTTCCAAGCCTGACTTGTAAGCAACTCTTGCTAGACGAGTCTTAGTGTCGACTGTTACCCCTGAATGCTGAGACATCTTGCTAGCGACATCAAGCTAATGATTGAGCAATCGTGCATTCCGTGACAGAAGAATCAGCACAAGAAAAGAGACAACCGACCATTGCCCTTCAAGTGCAGCGCAACTTGTGCTGACTGTCAATCGGAGCTTTGCTTTGCCTGTCAGTTGTGGGCCGCGTTCGAGAAGTCGCGGGTGCCACAGCTGTTGATCTTGGCTGTGTCCGGCGCTCGGTCGTGACATCTGCGAAGCTCCCGATGTTCAGCGGCTTCCATGCTGGCCATGGAGGTCCGCCAAAATGTTGGCCTCCTTCAGCCTCACCTCCTTCTTGCCCATCTGGTTCGCACGGGGCAACCTTCACGGCCCCTCGGAAAACCATTCGGAACCGAAGAGAACTCGCGGATCTGCAGCCTGCTCCTGGAGCCAGGCTACACGAACGATGCCTATGCCTTCTGGAGCCTCGGCATCCCCCTGTCACAGCGGCCCCTCCTTCCCAATTTTTTGTTTCGTTCAAGCTACTGGCAGTCAGGAACGCCCTGGCAGTCTCACTGGCGGGACTCCTCTCGGTCTCCCTGGGAAGCGTTCTAGGACCTCTGCTGACGGCGGTGTTGATCAGATCATTCGTCTTTTTGAAACGTGGAGAGCAGACCAGGACAGACCTGGAGTCGAGTTGATGTTTGTGCGCCGTGCTATGTGGGGATGCTGGGCGCTCTGCTTTCACTGCCACTGCTGGCGCTCATGCTCCTCACCCAGCCTCTTGGACCAAGGTGTAGGGACAACGGTTTTGCTGTATGCAGCTGGTTCTGCTGGTTTCATCCTTGGCACAGCTTGGCTTTGTTCTAGATGGAGAGCTCGACTGGCGGCTAACGGCTTCATTCAATCGGTTTTGCTCCTACAGAGGGATCCGAGGGTCGGTATCTCTCCCTACAGTCATGGGAGGGTGTGTGCTGAGACAGCTCCAGCTCAGGTGGTTCCGGACATCGCTGTTGTGCCACTAGATCGCAAAGATTGGAAGCAGTTTTTGGATACAAATAAATGCAGCAAATGCAGGGGCCTGCGTTCGCACTTTGCTTCGCCCAGAAAGACAGAGAAGCAAGACAGAGAGCATTTGTGATGCAGCACCGCAGGTGCATAGGGACATGGCGTAGGAGTCTCGACTTGAGCAGTGCAGCATACATGTATGCGGCAGCGCGGGACCAAGTCGAGAAGGATTTCAAGTTAGTCTTCATTCCAGCCAATGGCGATCTTGGCTGGTCAGCTTGATATTGCATTTGCCAAGGGCTCTCTTCGATCTCTGGCCTTCTTTATCAGTATCGATACTGCTCAGGCGTATGATTACCTTTTCGAGGAGTGCCGGCATTGCTTGATCAACTTGGATTCTTCGCTTACGGCCAGGGGACGTCTTGCTTTGCGTCCCGCGCTGGATGCCCTTACAGCCTTGCAGGTCGACGCTTCAGAGCCTGTAGGGACCGCCACATTGTGGGCCGGTGCTCGGTGCACAGAGTCGTGCGAGGAGTGGTTTCGCCACTACAACCCGGAGCGCGTGCAGCTGATGCGTGCCATGCCTCACCTCTTGCTGCTGTGCCGCCCGGGAGGTCCATTCGAGAAAGCCGTTCATTTCCTTCGAGACCTTCTTCAAAATGGTCGCGAGGACCCCGTTGCTTAGCTTGTTGCCTGCCTGTTTTGCTGTGCGCCCCTCACCGGGCTCGTCAGTTTTGGCAGTATGGCTCAAGAGCTTTGCGAGCGGCTGCGGGCCACCGGGCTTCAGCCCATTGCCCCGCTCCTTTTTGAGAATGGGGTGCGTCAGTTGGACGACATCCTTCCTAACACGGCTGCTCTTCTCGCCGCTGGGGTTCAGGCTTGGCAGCTCGAGGCAGTGGTCCTCGGCAGCCTGGAGATCGGATTGTCTCTGCCACGCGGGAGGGCAGATCATCCTTTGGTGCGGCCTAGGAAGCGAGCGAGCTGGGCTTTAGCTCTCGAGGCAGCCCAGCCCGAGAAGCGTCAGGCTTCCCTTGATGCTCTCCAGGCCGACGTCCTGGCTGTTACGACCAAGACTTCTGTGGACAGCAGGGTACGCGCTTGGCAGGAGTTGTGCCGAGCTTGGGAACGCGTTCCCTTTCCGATCCAGGCTGCTACAGTTCGCTGCGTCGGTGCCTCCTTGAAGGCCGGGGGTTACCACAGCTGCTCCAACTACTTCGCGGCGGCAGTCGGGCATCAGATGCGCACCCTTGGCACGCCTGTTGGCGAGGACGTGCGCTGGGTTATCAAGGACACGGTTCGGGCCGTCAAGCGTGGTCTCGGCCCAGCACAGTTGAAGGACAGTTTTGATGTTGAGCTCCTCGCCCCCATTGTGCCGTATGTGCGCCAGCGCTGTGAGTTTCACGTCGGCCAGCTAGACGCAGAGGTGGACATGGCTTTGGTTGCCGCGTGGTGGATGTTGCGTGAGATTGAGGTTTCCAACGCCCGGGCTCACCATCTTTACCTGAGTCGGGACAGCGATTTCAGTGTGCACTTCTTGGTTCCCATCTCCAAGGCCGACACGCAGGGCAGCTTGACTCTGCGGTCGTACTGTTGCATTTGCAGGGATCAGTCTGAGCGCTTGTGCCCGTGGCATGCTGCTGATCGTCATTTGCATCGATTGTACCTGTTGCGCAAGTCGGGCGCCAAAGTCACTTACTTGTTTCCGGCGTCGGACGGTGGGCCTTTGACCAAAAGCGAGGTGGTTCGGGTCTTCGAGCGCGTCCTGACCGCGGCGGGGGTTCCTTTGACTCGTCCTGACGAGTGTGGTCGTGATGTCCCTCGCTTCCAAGGGCACGTTATGCGTGTCTCGGGCACACAATTTCTGGCTAGCATGGGGCTCAGCATTCCGATGATCCAACTGCAAGGCCGGTGGAGCAGCCGTGCCATTGATCGCTACGTTCAATTGGCGCCGCTTCTTCGCATGCCTTTGGCCGTCCGTGAAGCTCGCGCTCGTGGCACCGATGCATGCCTTTCCCGCGGTTTGGTCGGAGTGGGACTCCCCGGCGCCTCCGGTGCCTCCAGTTCTGGCTCCGAGCTGCAGCCGGTCCCACCGCCGGCACCGGCACAGGGCCCAGTGGAGCGCCGGCCCCGCAAGGCCATGGACACGGGAGCCGGCGCAGGATCGGGCGAGGTCTCGGCCGGAGAGGTTCGGGATGAGCTCCATCGTTTCATGAAGGCCGTTCGTGAGCCCAAGGAGATGTTGGTGGTGCAGCCGCGGCGTAAGGTCGCTCACGAGATTGCCGTCCCCGAGGGTTCTAACGACATTGCGGTGTGGCGCACTTCTTGTGGCTGGGCCTATGGGTGGTCACACTTCTACCGCACTGACCGTGATGCTGTGGGCCCCAGCCTTCGCTTGTGCAAGCGCTGCTTCCCCGACTCGGTGAATGACTCCAGCGACTCATCCTCTTCTTCGTCTTGTAGTTCGGGTTCGGACTCTAGCTGAGCTGTCCCCACCTTTCTCGAGCCGCGTCGGGCACAGGGGAAGGGAGTTTTGAGCCAGCTGCCTGGGATTCCAAAAGCAGGGCCGCGCATGCCGTGTCTAGTGTTCTCTTTTGTGTGCGCTTGTACTGCTGTGCCCTGCCAGGACCCTGCCACACCTTCGTCTTCGACACATTCGGCTTCTTCCTCTTCTCAAGGCCGGCTGGCACAGCTGGACTAGGCCCTTGCTTGGGCCTTTTGCGTCGCGTGAGACGCTTCCTTATGAGCCGTGCCACGGGTGCGCGGCAGGTCCCAACGACCCCGGCTTGGCGCGCGAGCCTCGTCGGGCAGTCAGCGGGCTCAGTGGGACGCGACTGTTTCTCGAGGCCCGGGGCTAAAAGACCGCGCGAGCTCGAGTGCACCGCGGTCGCCTCAAGCTGCATTCTTGACTGTTTCTCTGGTCGTCGGTGCTCGTGTGTGCTGCACCCATGCTTGAGCTGACCTGGCGCTTGCACCGCAGCCTTCGGCCCCACGCCTTTTGTGTCTGTTAGGTCTCCCGGTGCTGCCCACCATGGCGGTCCTTCGTGGGGCAGCGGACACTTTGGAAGGCTTGGGCAACTCGGCTGGGGTGTCTGCCTACCTGATGCGTTATCTCACCTCTCGGGGCTTGGTGAGCATCGGGGCCGTAGCCCTACTTTCCCCAGATGCCGAGCGTTTCTCCACAACGATCATCGAGCCACTCGCGACAGGGTGGACCGGTGACGTCGAGTACAAGGTCGCCGCTGATGAGATGCCGATCGCTCGAGCCACGCTGTTGTACTTGCGTGAGCTCTGCCTGGAGTCGCGCCAGAAGGATGCTGCAGCGTTGGCTGCATCTGTCGCGTCCCCCGCCGCGGCCCCTGCTACTGGTTCCGCGCCTGTGGCGCCCAAGCCTCCGACCGAGCTGGCCCCGGGCGATTGGCAGAAGATGGTGCTGCGTTACAACAAGCAGCAGATCGGGGGGCGCGACCGCGTGTTCCCGGAGGAGGACTTGGTCGGAGCTGAGCCCCTCATCGCCAAGGCCCTCTTCGAGCACGAGGTCAGCAAGCAGTACACGGCCATCCCGTTGGGCGCCATCTTACAGGCCCGTCGCTTTTCAGCCAGTGGCGAGCTCAACCCGCTGGCCAAGAGACGCACCGAGACCAGGGTCCGGGTCACTGCCGATGGCGACTTCCACACTGAGCAGGCCGACGATTGCTGGGATCCTCGTTCCGTGCTCTCCATTATGGACGGCTTGACCAGCATCCAGAGCCTTTGGCTGCTGATCCAGCTGGGCGACGAGGCGGACATCCTTGCCTTCTTCGGGACGCTCATCAAGAAGCTTCGCAACGTGCCCAGCCGCCTCAACCAGTTCAAGGTGTACTACGAGACGGTTGCCTGGCGCGTGGCACAGGCTATGCGGGCCAATGTCTCCTTCCAGCAGGCCTCTCGCGAAGTTCTGGGCGACACCATCTTGTGGCAGGAGACCATGGCCAAGGACGCCCCGACAACAGCGTCCACTCCTGAGAAACCAAAGAAGACGGAAGCCGCACCCAAGCGCGGCCCAGGGAAGCCGACACCGCCTTCGACACCGCCGCCTCGGAAACCGGACTCTTCGTGGTCACAGCAGCAGCCGCGCAAGCGCGGCTGGGATGACGCGCCACAGCAGGAGCGCGGCTACTACCCGAACAAGTCCTGGCGCCCTGACCACAGCAAGGGCGGGGACAAGAAGAAGGATGAGTGAGAAATCGTGGGGACCCCGCCCCAACACCGGGGGGTGGGGGGACCCGCTTCTTCTTTGCCGGTGTCCTCTGACAGCGCCCTTGGTGTGGCGTCAGCCTCGGCGGATGCCACTCCCGCCAAGGTGCCGAAGGTCAAGCCAATGCCACGGAAGCCTGGCAATGGCGACACGAGCTCTACCCCAGCCCGCTCTGGCACAGGGCCGGGCGTCATCCTGTTGTCGTTTTTCGACGGGATCAGCACAGCGGCTTTGGCACTACAGGACCACGCCCGCATCGTGCACATGCTTTCCTGGGAAACCGACCCCGCCGCCATTGCTGTTTCTGAGGCACACTTTCGTCACATCGTGCAGCATCGTGGGGACTTCCTCGCGGACAGTGCCGAGGCCATAGCTGCTGAGGTGGAGCGCCTGGATCCCCAGGGTTACCACACGTTGGTGGTGGCCGCTGGGCCGCCCTGCCCCGACTTCAGTCGGATACATGATGGTCCTGGCCGTGATGGCGATACCGGGAAGCTGTTCGGGAAGTTCTGTGACCTGCTGGTGGACCTTGAGGGCCGGCTGCACGGCCGGTTGCTCGCCCTGATCGTTGAGAATGTGATCATGTCGTGCTATGGAGACATTAACTACTTCTCCCAGCGGCTCCGTTGTGAGCCGATTATCGCTGACCCCGCCTCGCTTGGAGCAGTCAGCCGACCTCGTCTCTGGTGCACGGAGCACCAGTGGAAGCGCCAAGGGCGCCTTTATCAGCTTGTGGTCCCTGGGCCCCGGCAGCTGGCGAGCACCTTTGAGCTCCGGGGGTACAAGCTGAGCAAAGAGCTGGAGCTCGGCTCTAAGGTGTGGCCGTGCTTCACCACACCTTCTCCTACTCCCGAAGGACGCCCAGCTCCGAAATCAGCCAAGTCCAAGCTCGACAGTGGCACCCGCCAGCGTTGGCTGGAATCAAGCAGGGCTTTCGCTCCATGGCATTTTCAGGAGTACGCGATGGTTACCAGCCCTGCAGGTGTCCTTGAGACGGTTCCGGTCCACCTCAAGGAGCAGGCCCACATGCTGCCACCCGACTTTACAGCAGCGGCTCCTACGCCTCTTGATCAGCATCGCTTGTTGGGCAACAGCTGGCACCGCGGCATAGCTTCCTTCCTTTTGAAGATCGCCCTCGAGCATGGCGTCCACCGCATCGGCCAAGACGCTCCAGAAGGAGAGCAGATTCGCGCCAGCGGGGCGGAAAACCTTGCGTGCATTCTCAGGGCTGCGCGTGAGCAGCCTTTGCCCATGACTCGCATGCGGTTGCCTGTCGGGGTTGAGATGCACCCTCCTTCTGACATGTGGGAGCATTGGCACGGTAGCTCACATGTGGTCCCTTCTGCGTTGTTGCCACCTTCAGTCGAGCCAGCCGTTGAGATCACCCTGCGTCGCGCCGCTCAGGTGGGTCCTGGTCTTCATGAACATCGGCAGGCCGTGCTCGTTGGCATCCGTGAGTTGGTCCGAAGCCTGCAGCAGGAGACTGATTTGTGGTATGAGCGAGCGCCTGCCCACGTCAGGAGTGCGCTTCATCCACCAGGTCAACCACGGTTCCAGGTTCTTGCCTTTCTGCACTTGCTGGAAGCATGCGGCTATGAACAGATCGAGGAGCTGAAGGTTTCCTTTTTCGAGGGTTTTCCCCTTTTGGGGAAGATGCCTCACACACCCGGCTGGAGGCCCAGGACCGACGACACATACAGGTTTCCGATCAGCATTCCTGCTTTCGCGAAGGCCAATCACCAGTATATCTTGCATTGTTTGCAGCAGCCTCGCGTGGACCCCGAGTGGCGGGCTTTACTCGCTGAGGTGGGGAAAGAAGTGGCCGCAGGGCGCATGGAAGGTCCTTTCTGCTCTCCGCCATCCTGGCCGAAAGCCACAGTTGATGCGGCAGCCATCGGTTTGAGTCGAGTGCCCCTGCCACCAGGCCCAGTGTACGCAGCTCGGGCATTCAGTGTATGTCAGACCGGAGCCGATGGGTCGCGGAAAGTCAGGCGATGTGAAGATTATCGCCGGTCCCTCCACAACAGCACTGTTGAGGCTCACGATCGACCCGAGCATGATGATATCGAGGTATACATCCAAGCTCTTCGCCTAGCCAAGAAGCTCGGTTTGGAGCCTGAGATCTGGTGTCACGATTTGGCCGACGCTTATCGTGCATACCCTGTCAGGAGCCCCGAGGAGGCTTATATGTTGCTCAATACGATCTCGGGCCCCACGCTCTGGCGGCATCGGGTCCTCCCGTTCGGGAGCTCAGCATCCGTTTGGCATTTCGGCAGACTGACTGATGCTATGTGTTGGTTGGTTCGTACATTGCTGTTGATCTGCATTCTTCACTACGTGGATGATCTGGGGGGGATACAGGATTCCAGCGACTCGGCATCAGCTTTTGCATCTTTCTCAGAATTCTGTGATCTTCTGGGGTATAGGCTTAAGAAGTCAAAGGCCCAAGGGCCCAGCACCTCTCAGAAACTTCTCGGCGTCATTCTGGAGGTGACCGACTCCGGGATCAAAGTCAGGGCTGACCCCAGGCGGGTCGAAAAGCTGACGCATCAGATCGAGGCCATTCTTCGTGATGGTACACTCGAGCCGGTTGTAGCTGCCAAGCTGGCTGGCAAGCTGGGCTTCATTCAGTGTACAGCTTTCGGTCGCACGGGCTCAGCGGCCCTGCGTCCGATACACGCCAGAGCCAACGCTCCTTGCTCCTGCCCAACGTCTCTGAACACTGGTCTCCGAGGCGCTCTCGAGGCCACGATCCGCCTGCTCCAGGACTTGACTCCGAGGTTCGTCCCTTTCGAGCAGCCGCGGGTAGATGCCGTTGTGTACACTGACGCGTTCTTCGAGCTCGGAGAGCGCCTGTGGAAAGCAGGGGACCCGGACATCCCCACCAACGCCTCGTTTCGGCAGTGCTGTGATGCTCGGAACGGTTGGGGGTTCGTTGTGAGGATAGGTCAGCACGTGACATACGGGCACGGGTCCGTCTCTAGTGGCTTGCTTCGGAAGTTTTGTAGCCGTCGTGCTTTTATTTATTTTCTTGAGATCTATGCCCAGCTTGTGGCATTCTGCGCCCACGTGGATGCGCTGCCTTCGTTTTGGCTGGCTTATGTGGACAACCAGCCCGGCATGGTCGCCCTTCAGAAAGGCTTCGGCCGCGACGCCGAGATCAACACGGTGCTCACCGGGTTCTGGCGATTGGCCACCCAAGCTCGTTGGGTCCCCGAGTTTCGCTGGGTCCCTTCGGCACTTAATCTGGCCGATCCGATTTCTCGGGCAGATTTCAGTGTGGTGCAGCCGTCTTGGCGTCGCTGCACCTCAGACGGGAGTGCACTGGAGGCCTTGCTCCTCCAATCGTCACCTGAGAATTCCTGCGACTTTCCCGCACGCGTGCGTGGGCTTTGCTGGCTCTGGGATCCTCCGTGGGGTGGGGCGGAGGCGCCGTCGGATGGGGTCGGGCAGACGCCTTCCGCCTGAAGTTCCCCCCGATCGGCACTGCGGATCCACGGCTCTTTGGACGCCAGCTTCAAGGAGGAAAAGGCTGTGAGCGCAGGCTTCCGATTAGATTAGTCAGACTTGGCAGCCATGTCATGCAGCACCGCAGGTGCATAGGGACATGGCGTAGGAGTCTCGACTTGAGCAGTGCAGCATACATGTATGCGGCAGCGCGGGACCAAGTCGAGAAGGATTTCAAGTCCCGCCCACTCCGCCCAGGTGTTATAGTTTTCTCTCCTCCTTTTCGTTTGAGACGTTTTCCACCGTGCACGATCGGAGGGGGGGGGTCGGGCAGACGCCTTCCGCCTGAAGTTCCCCCCGATCGGCACTGCGGATCCACGGCTCTTTGGACGCCAGCTTCAAGGAGGAAAAGGCTGTGAGCGCAGGCTTCCGATTAGATTAGTCAGACTTGGCAGCCATGTCTTGTGTGCGTGGATGGGCATGTCCATGTGTGACTGGGCTTGAGGCTACTTTGCCATGCTGGTGCTGGGCGAAGCATGGTTTGGCCCAACCATGGGCCTCTTGCAGAAGGCCGTGCGGAAGTCCGTTGCAGGCAGGGTGTCTTGTCGGGGAGGCTACGCGTACCGAAGTCATGGCATGTCCAAAGAAGTCTCCAGAGTCGGAGGCCAAGCCACATCTATGATGCTGGGCATCGCCACCTTGGCTGGCAACCTCGGGCCGGCGATCATCGGCATCCTGGATCCAGGCAAAGCCCATCAGTAAGAAGCCTTCAGCCAGAAAGCCCAGAAAACCCAGCCAGCCCTGACTTCAGGCGGTGTCAACATCGGCATCCACTTGCTGTGGATCTGCTCCGCTGCGCAAGTGCTAGCTTTCCTGAGTCGCTCGGCTGTGTTCGTTCGGGCTTGTCTGTGTGAAGAAAGTGTATTGCATTGCCGAGCAACGTCAGTGCAAGGCTTCTACTGGATCTACCGAGAGATTACCGTGGATCCGGTGTCCGTTACTTTAGGCTTGTCGCAGGACCCTGCAGCGAAGTGACATGCAGTCTGTTGTCCACCCTTCTCTCGGCTGATTGAATTCATGTGTTCAGGCCGTTCAATAAAGTTGAAAATGAAGACTTCTCAAGTGGCGGAAAGCTGGGTGACCGTGGGGAAATGGAGCAGCGCTGCGTATATGTATGCATGTATGTATGTATGTATATATATATAATTATATAATTATATATATATATATATATATATATATATATCGCCTGGCTGCGGAGGACAAGCCATAGCTAATGGTCGAGCCAACGCCGAGCCTTCGTCCCTCAGTGGCACGAATTGATGCGCCAGAGTCTTTTCAAGATGATGTGCTGTTGCTGTGCTTCGTTGGAAGTAACCGTCCATTTGCACGCATGTGGGGCCTACGAGGTCTGGGACACCAGGTCCTCGACTGTTTTGGTCAACACGTTGTGAAGCTCTGAAGGTGGAAGAGGTGACGTGTTTTCACGGACGGGCGAACGTCCCTGCCAGCCTTTCAGTCAGCCAAGCTGCAAGCCAGTCTGCCAGTGTACAAGGGTCATCTGCGATGGCTGTTGCTGTTGCCTCGCTGCAGAAGCGAAGATCATAATGGCACGGATGAGAAAAGCGAGAGCGGGTGTCGGATCTTGAAGTGGCGCCATCACTGGGCTTAAGACCTGAACATGGGAGAGACACAGGTCTGGCTGAAGCTGGAATGGTTTGCTTCTTTCCAGACGATGGAGCATCTCGGAGGCAAAGCTGAGACTGGCACAGAAAATCTATCGCGTGATGGAATCATGAATTAAGACTTCTAAGGTATTGGTATGACCCAGATACTGGTGAGAGTGTCTGGACCATGCCACCAGCGCGAGTCTCAAGTAAGTCGCTGATCACACTCACAGAGTTGCGTGCTGCCTGAGTTCTGTGTGTGTGTGTGTGTGCGTGCATATGTGATAGACGTATTTGCTCATGAATGTAGGGTCTATAGCAATGACAGATGTGATCAGATGTGCCTCTGAGGAAACCGATTTAACATCTGATCTGGACACCATGGGGGGAAGCATCGAGACCCTCTTCAGCAACACGCAGGCAGGGATCCACAGCGTAGCTAAAGGAGCCAAGTGAAGCACAGCAGCAGAACATTCAATCATGCGATCTTCAGTTGTGCTCAGCCGACGCTGACTTAAGCATGTCACTTGGAAGCAGCACACCTTTCTTAGCTCGTGCTGTTGTTGGCAGAAAGGCGCTGGCAAAACTCATTGCAGAAGACGAGGAGCAGCATCAACAGGAGCTCCGTTGAAACCCCTCAAAGCTTCAAAGCCCGGAAGCATATTCCAACGGCAATGTCTGGAAGTAACTCGAGTGAGGCTGTACAACAGATGAAGATCAATCTTGCTTGGATGAGCTCCTCCGCTGCTGCGATGCTTCGAACTTTGAGGAGCTAGCACGTGCGGATGAGGCACGACGAGCGCCACTCGGATAAAATTGCCTGAGCAAGGGCACCACTCTGCAGGGTTGTTCGCTCCTTATCAAGCGTGTGTCCCTTTCGTATGAGCGTATAGCCTTTCATCACTGGCGTCGCCGGGTTCTTAGTAGGGAATGGGGGAATGGGTTGTTGGGACTACCATTGGGGATTCTCTAGGGACTACTTTTGGGATCCATTCCCCCATTCCCTACTAAGCACCACACAGAAGAGAGATGGGAGTTTCCCAAAATAGGGGAACCTAATATAGTACCCTAAATACTAGGACCCTTATCATAAGGACCGCAAAATAAGGTACCCCTAATCTTCGGAATCTCCCAGAGGGCTCATCTCAAGGTCTGGCTCCGTTGCAACTCACAGCGAGGCCAGCTGCAGGGGGGCTACTTCCACTTGCTTTCGCAGTCGTCCTGCAACCAGTAACCAGTAGCCCACACCAACCCGCTGCGATTCAATACACGCGCCCTTTGTAAGGTCGTTGAACCCGATGGTACCAGATCCTTGTTACGAGGCGTCTGGCACATGTTTTGCTTGTGAAAAGCCTGCATTCACAGAGGCACAGCTGGCTGTGAAGCAAGTACGTTCGCGCGGAATTCAAGTCTCCTCGCCATCTCCGAAGACCAAACACTTCCGAACCCACCTCGACCCACGTCTTGGCAGCAGAATTGATCCAGTAGCACACGTCAAGGCAGCAATGCTGAAGCAGCTCCAGATAGCTTCTACAGCAGTGGTGCCCTGACCCCGGTCCATCAGAAAGGTGCACAAGAGCTGGTGATTGCAGTCGGGACCATGTTAAGGCCGTGGCACCCGTGACGTTTCAGCCGGTTGCCGCCGAAGAGGTCCGAGAGGATCTGCTTGCTTCAAGTGCCCTGTTGTGTGGCTTAGCGGTTTAGGGGCGAGCGATGTGTTACACTTTTCTTTGTCGTCATCTAGCAAGAGCGTGCACAGGCCGGTGCACCCAGCACCGAAACCCTCGCATCAAGCAGGCTTGGACCCCAGAGCAAAACGGTGTTCCTGGTTCCTCCGCCACTCCGTGCTGATGTAGTCGAAGCACTCTAGAAGATCCTCAGCGTGGAAATGAGCTTAGCTTCATCGACGAGCAGAAACGAGAGGTGTAAAGCTATAAAGGGGAGGCTGACAGCCCTGCACCCCTGACAATATTCAAGTGCGATGCACAGGTCACCACCTGGACATCTACCATGGGTAACGTTCCGACAAGGCAGCCCCTGCTCAAGTTCATGTGCGCTTAAAGCCAGCCTTGCGCTGTTGCTGTTGTTGCTGCTGCTGCTGCTTTTTTGATGGCAGCGGAAGTGACGGTGGCGGTGGCGGCCCGGTGGCACTGCTGCTGCTGGTGGTGCGGTGCTTCTCGCCATTGCTGTTGTTGCTGCTAGAAGAATGAGTAGCAGCGGAGTCGCCGACATCTGTGCAGCTTCTTCTTCAAGTAGTGGTACCGGGCCGGCGCCACTGGATGACAGGGAAGCTGGTGTTATTTGTAGTCCAGGTCAGGACATCAAACTAGATGCGCCGGAAGCTCGCCTCCTAGCTTGTCCCCAAAAGGCTTCGAACAACAACAGCCTTCTGTGCCATTGCAGATGTTGGTTTTGAGCACTGCTCAGACAATTCTCCCATACTACGCCAGGGAAGATTCAGGTTGTGAAGTTTGTGCATGTCTGTGCCGATTCAGCATTGGCTGTGGGAACCTCTCGAACTTCATACTCACGGGCTTCAAGCTCGGGTGCAAAAAGACTCCTCCTTCGACTTGGTCTGTTTCCCCTCTCGGTTCTTCTTTCGCTCTCGACTCGCGCTTCTTCGTCTTGCCGACTCACACGTGCGATCTGTTTGGCGCCTTGAGCAGCTTTGGGAGGCACCTTGGCGCTGCTGGGGGTGTGGTGTGTCGGAGTTCTGTGGTGCATGCCTCGGTGTCAGAGCACCGAGAATACTTGACGGCTTTCGCTTCACTTCCCAGAGACACAGCTTCTTTAAAGAAGGTCTATCTTCCATGTCTTCTTTAACATCGACATCGTCATCAAGTCTGGTGCCTACCGACACGATGTTCTCCATGAAATTTTGCAAACACATGTACCGTGGATGCATGTCGGAGTTCAGATGCGCATGGTTGGCTGCATCAAATCTGAGGCCAAAGTCAGAGTCGTCGATTGCAAACCTCGTGTCGCGCTGGGTGCGAGACCTGTTGAGCAGCGAAGTTGTGTCGTATTCAAGCTGCCACTTTACATCATGGTTGCGGCTTGAGGTCATGCCCAGCCACGTCGAGATTGAGCTACTTCACCAGACTTGGCCGCATCCACACTTCAAGCCCCAGGCACGTGTAGATTCAGATGTTCTGCAGACGGATAGGGAGTTAAGCGAGACAGCACGCAGGCCATCACCTGTCAAGCCCACGAAGATGGTGACTTGAGGTGGGCCGTTTTTGGTTGTGCTAACGGAGTTCCTGGTCTGCTGTGCCCTTGCTTCCCCTCAACGGGTTCTTTTGGGAGCAGCAAAGGCCCCAAAGGCTCACGCCATGCATAGAGAGCCGGATGCGCATGATGTTTACTGCGGATTTTTCGCGCAGAGATGCGGAAAGTACCACTACCATCTTCGGGCATGTAACAGCACCTACGCGCACGAGCAGAGAGAATCAACTCAAGTTGTGTGCTTTTTCGCGAAGCAGCATCCTGATGTCACGGTCCTCGTGGCAACGAAGACGCTACTGCTTTTGCGAAGGCTGTTGGTGGCTGAGCGACACGCCGTTCACAGCCTCACGGTCCCTGGAGGAGTGGTTATCATCAGTCAATGGCTTGCTGGCAGACCCGTTGCAGCTAGCATTTGCGGAGATCCTGAGTTTTACCAATGGACGCAGACAGTGCATGCAGCGACAGGACATAGCATGGTTTATGCCTCACGCGTTCGCGGCTCAGAAGCTGCTAGCCCAGAGATGGTCCTGTTAAAGTGCAGCATTTCTTGAGGTGCTGAGTCAGTCTGTGCTGTGTCAAGTAGCGGCAGAAGCCCTGTGCACGTGGTCTCTTGCGTGAGCCACTGACAATGCCAGCCATCGTGGCAACCAGTGGCGGAGCAGTGCTTGCTCCAGGCAGGCGGAAGAGTGTTGTCACACTCCGCAGATGACTCGCAGACCCATATCATTCACCAACATGCTTCTGCAGAGGCTCCAGACTTCCTTGCCGAAGGTGTAAGGGGCATGACGATCCGCTGCCGTGACTCGGAATGCTTCCTCGTGCCCGCCCTCCCTGAGTCAAAGGGGTGGTTGTCAAAACTATGGTCCCTTCTTGGTCCCTATTATAATATAGCACCTATCATTTATGGTACCCACAAAGGGACTTTAATTTTGACAACTACCCATGTACTAGTCCATCGAGAACCCATGGTGTTGGCTCACAGGTACTTCTTGGACTGCATGGGAGGTCGATGCTGAGCTGCCCACTAGGCGAGGAACCACAGACCCCTCCGACCTACGGATCTAGAACCTACAGTAGAGTCCCCAATTTTGTCAAAGGGTACTCACCAATACTATATTTGGAGCTCCTTGTTATCATTATAGTATAATGGGCCCCAAACATAGGAGATTGCAGGGCTCTGTCTGCCAGAGACTATCGGAGCTCACTGAGATGCTGGCAGGCTCGAGCTCCAGCAATTCGACGCTCTCGGAGCTTCTTGGAGGCGCGAGAATTTGCAGGGAAATCTGTTGAGTGATGTCGGGGAGGGTTCCCGGATCTACCGGAGACTTTGTAGCTCAAGAGGCATCTTGCAGTAGCTGCAGATGCGCCGATGGGGTCGACGCAGAATAAGTGTCCATTATGAAGAGAATCCTGTTGAGCCAGCTGCTGCCGATGGCCTCAGGGACGCCGAGACCATCGTAGAGCCAACGAGGGAGCAACCAAACGAGCAACGGCGGCTGCTCCCCCCGCCAAAGCTGCGCAGTCGATTGCCACTCGTGGATCCTGCCATGTTCCAGCGTATCGGCAAACCGTACAGAAGCCAGTCCGAGATAGAGATTGCATCTGGAGCGGCAATCCCAGCGTCACGTATCTCAGGAGTCTCAGCGTGGCCGACAGTTGTGGGTGGAGAACACTCGGACGACCTGGCAGCTTACTCTCCCGCGGAGGTGTCGCAGCTCGTACAGCTCCTCGAATCTGAGTTGGGACCACACTCTGCGAGGAAAGCTCGCCGCGATCAACATGCCAGAAGACAGCCCATCGCCTGTGGAGTGCAGATTATCAGTGGGCACAGTTGCAGCTATGCCTGTCGCTACTGCTACATTCAGGACTGGTACCCCTTCATTGAACCCACCCCGACTCAGATGTCAGGGCAGGAGGTTCTATTGTCCTTGCTATCCAACCCGAACTGGATTCCCTCTCGAGATTTCATCATTCTGGGCGACGTTTGTGATCCCTTTCATCCAAACCTGGAAGTGCGAACGATGGAGTACATTCGAGCTGTTGCTCCACTAGGCAGCCCAATCCAGTTTTCGACAAAATCCGGCATAAGTAGACCTGTCTGCGAGCAGCTGCGGCATTGGTCTGAGACCTTCCAGTGTCCGATTAACGCGTTGGTGACAATCACTACCATCAGACATGTCCAGGATCTGGAGCCAAACGCACCTTCGATTCAGACAAGATTGGACACCATTCGTGCACTGTCGGCTGCTGGTCTTTCTGTGTTTGTCTTCATGCGCCCCCTGCTGCCCGGAAGTTGTGAAGACTTTTCAGAAGTTCTGAATGCTGCGAAGGCCTGTGGCGCTGAAGGCGTGGTGGGAGTATTTGGAAGGGTTCCTCCCGGCTTTGTAAGCATCGCTAGGCTAGCTAGTGGGAAGCACTTCAGAGCAATAGACCGGCAACAGCAACTACTCGTAATTAGAAGGCAAGCCATTACAAAGCGGCCTGCTACGCAACAAAGTAGCCAAGAAAGCTCTGCATGGCAAAAACATGAAGCAGTTTCGAAGCTGGAGTAGACCTGACCGCTAGATATTTCGAAGCCGAAGGTGTGGTGGTTGGCTCCTTGCGTGTTTCGAGGAAGATTTATCGGCGGCTGCGGCAATCGAAGACCGTGGACATTGAAACCGTGGACAGGCAGCTGAGAGAGAAAGGAATGGAGCCAAGCAGTCTGGCAGAAGAGCAGGTGGACATCCAAGACGAGCCTTTGAGGGCTGCTGTCGTTTCACAGGCTAGTGCCCTGGGCTTGCTGGCCGTTCGCAGAGCCTGCTGTGCAAACGCTATTGGATCACAGATGCCTTGCAGGAAGGCCAAGTGCCTGATGCGTGAGCTCATGTCTTGGTGAGAAAAGTTTCAAAAGACGCAAAGGTGAGAGTCCAAGGAGGTCTTTCCCTTGCTACCCAGTCTAGGGTTTTCTGGGCTTTTCGTTCCCATAGACCAGAGCTAAACCTGAAGGCCAAACTCCGCTGGTATGTCGATGAGACCGGGTCTAACCCCACAGTATGAACACTTGCCGTTCTGTCGAAATTGGGAAGCCTAGGAGGAAGGTGCTGATCTTCGCAAGAACGGAGCAAGAGCCACTTGCTCATAGTAAGAGTACTGCCATGTGCATCAAAGTCGGACACATTTTTCTGTGGAAGTCGATAGCGAAAAATTGCAATCACGAGCGAAGCAGTGTGCAAACATCTTGTCGTGATCGAATTCCTGTTGCTGTAAATCATCACTTTTGTCGCTTGTGTCACAGATGAGACTGATCTCCGCAGCGGCCGCAGAACGACAAGTTAGTCTGGAACTGTGTGGGGTGTGTTGGGACCCGAAGCCGTCTCGTCCCCTGGACTGTGACCACTGTAACTGTGCACCTAAAAGCACAGAAGCTGTCGCCATAGTACAACAATCTCGGAGGCCCTTGGAAAGTGATCGCAGATGTGCCGTGCTTATCCGCTGGCAACATGTGTGCTGCTTGCACAGCGCATTGTGATGCGGTCCGATTCCACGTTGCATCCCTTCCTCTCTCTCCCTCCTCTACTCAGACTCTCTGTCTGTCTCCCTCCCCCTCCCTCTCTCTCTCCCTCCGTCGCTCTCTCTCTCTCTCTCTCTCTCTCTTCATCTCTTTCCCGCCGCCCAAGATGCCGCCCTGCGAGGTCTCCGGCAGCGACGTCCAGCGAAGCGAAGGCAGCTTTTGGACGATGCCTGGACAGGTGCCTCCCAAACCACAGACGGTCCAGCGGTCCAGGCATGCCGTTTATTGGTAGACTTGGTGGGGGCGGGCCTGTGTAAGCCGTCGCGTGCGATCTGATCTCCGCAGCTCAATCTGCAAACAGGAGCATGCGACATGAAAGGCAAGCCAGATGTGTGCTCATCTGTACTCACTTCCCTCGCGTTCCATCTTCTGCACGCATATCCAAGCTCCCAAGTGACCCTGCAACTCGCATCCCTATCCTACCAGAAGATCCAGCATTGCTGCTGCAACAGTAGCTAGTTGACTAGAGCACGCCGTCATGCCGACGATCATCACGTCAGAGGAGGAGGAGACCATAGTTCTTTGCCACAGTTGGGAAGCTAGGCAGGTTGTGCTGACTTGTAAAAAACTGCAGATTGAACCAGGACGCAGCGGAAGAAAGACGTCCTCTTCAGGACACCAGCATCACGGGGCGGTGTTAGATAGTAGCACCACCACGAAATTGAACAGCCTGTTTTCCTGGTCACACTGACTTGCAGCCTTGCCTCGAAGAAGGGCAAGCGTACACTGTTGCACGCAGTATGCCATGATGTGTGTTTGTCCGGCACCGCGAGGTTTCGACCAATGTGGAGGAGGTCCTGAAGGAGTACGACAGGCTCTGTGTTCGCTGGGCAACCGTGAGTGGGCGTAAGTTCGTCAGACACGTGTGCGAGCCAGTTCGGCAAGCTTGAGTTGCCATTGTACGGAGCAGTCGTAGTCATCTCACATTGAAAGTGATGAGAGAGTTTCCGGTCTGAAGCACGGCGAGTTGAAGCAGCTCCTTTGGTGATGCACGACCTTCATGGTTACCATGACATGTTCAATCCTTGATGGCTCCAGTGCCGAAAATCGTGTAGTGCCGGCAACAAACAGTTTTCCAAGTGCTGGCCTCGTCCATGTGGGCACTGTTCGAGAAGCTGCCCATTGCCCCTGTATTTCCTCAAGTGCCACCGACTGCCAGGAGGCTTGGCCGGATAGAGGCCTGGCACGCAAAGAGCCAGGACGGGTGTTTTGCGTGAAATTCCTCGAAGTCTTAGGAGTCCGCCGGATGCCGTCGGACTCTCCTAATTCCTAGTTCACACAGTGGGAGCTTGGAGGAAGTTGTTGCTGAACCATCACCTCGCCTCAGCAGCCGGACGCTTAGCTTTGGGTGTTTCTAAGGGCTTCTGAACTCCCGTTTGGCAACAAAAGGCCTCCGCCTCATCGAATGTTTGTTTGTTTGTTTGTTTGTTTTTGTGTCTGTGTGTGTGTGTGTGTGTTTGTGTGTGTGTGTGTGCGTGTTTGGCTTGCTCGCCTGCTCGCTGGGTCTGCGTCTGTCGGTCTCTGAAAATCATCGGTTTGCGTGCGCATGCGCACGTGTTTGTGCGTTTGCGTGTTGGCGCCAGTTGGCGCCGGCGCTCGCGGGGTAGCTGACTGCACATGACGGCCTGTATGCAAGATCGTAAGCATCGCAAACAGGCCTCAAACCGTTGAGTGCACGGTCATACTCACACAGAAACCCAGCATATGACCTGGAGACGAGTGTTTCGTACAAGGAAGTCGCACAGTCACAGCAGGAAGTGCAAAGAGAACAAAGAACCCTGAAGAAAACGTTCTTCAAGTGCCATCGGGCATAGTGTCGCGAAACTTCGGGCTTCGATCAAGTATGCTGTCTTGGGTGGAACAATCGGCACGGACCTACTCTAATATGGACTTGATGTTGTACCTTTGCGCGTGCACATGGGGCTAAGCTGTTGGACCTAGGTTTTGCACTTCATCATACACCTCCGCGCTGTTCGCGCCGTTTTACATGCGGGAGGGCCATGATATCACACCGAAGGATATCGTTCATCCCAATAGTTAAATCTACGACCGGGTATCGCTCAACCTGATGTAAAACTTGAAACCGGAAAGGGGACGGGTGGTACATCCTACGCGCCAGCAGTGAGTGCTTCTGAAATCGAGCGTGTACATGGGGAATGGCTGGTTGTCGCACGCTGTGATGCCAATGATGTGTGTCTTGAGCGGGTGCTTCGGAAATCGAGCGTCTAGTTGGGGAATGGCTGGTTTTGAAGTGCTGCGATTCTACTGCTGTTTGTCTTGGGCGGGTGCCTCTGAAAACGAGCGTCTACATGGGGAACGGCTGGTTTTCCTCAAGTCTTCCTGCGCTGTGATGCCCATGATGTGTTTCTTGAGCGGGCGCTTCTTACATGTCTGAAAGCATGTGCACATGGTGATTAGCTGCCAAGCTGGCAAACTTATCAGGGCTCCAGTGCTCCAGGACATAGTTTCCCAAGAAAGCCTGCGCATGGCAATCGAAATCCTAAGTTGAAGTCTGGGCCGGGAGTGTGCTAGGAAGCACGTGGCCATGGGGAGAGCGATGTGCAGCTATGCATGTGGTGTGACTTCAAACGCCCTGGTGGAACTTCCCGCGTTCCCGCGTGACCATGCGTGTCGCGACTTAACTTGCCCTCGGGCGACATAAAGCTACCCCTTGTAGCATGTGCTCCGAAACTTGGGGCTTTGTTCGACATTGGTGCTTTGAGGGGTCTTTGCCCCGCTAAACCCTGAACCCTACATCCAATGCTAAGTTCTGGGTGACCGTGGAATTAAAGAGAGCCATCGTTTCAAAGACGGCCCACCGCAAGCTCCACAGTTTGGGCCCAAACTTTCACCCAAAAAAACCCGAGTCCCCAAGCCCCAAACCCCTTGTACTGCCCACCTGCCCTTTGAAGTTAAGGGATTGGGGGTTTAGGGCTTTAGTTGTTCAAGGTAAGTCGAACTTGGCAGAGCCATATGATATCATCTGGTTTCTTTGAGACCACAGTGCTCGAAAAGAAATGGGCGCCGAACCGACAGACCCCTGTCTCTACATTTTGAGACTCTCGCGTCCATGCAAACCCGCTTTGATCCAAAGCCCGAAATTGAGCCCGAAACCCGACACAAGCCCTGACGGCTTGTCCTAGCCTTGGCTGGCGACGGAGAGGTGGATCATGGGGCATCACGGGACTTAAGGCCCGCAACGCTCAGAGTGCGCATGCTGGGAGGAGGCCAATCGAATAACCTCAGTGGTTTGGGGCTTTACGCTTTAGGGCCTGTACGGGTTACTGTAAGGGTTTTTTCAAGCAGCACGCGGACGTTGATCTGCACACCCGGTTGTTGACCAGCGCCTGCAACCCCAGCTCAAACACTCGCGTGTACGCAAGAACTCGCTAGGATCAGCGCAAGGAGTGGAAGAAGCATGACACATGATATGCTCTGTTGCCCGATGTCTTCAACTTGCATTTCTCCAATTACTAGTTCACAGATGTAGGCATGCAGCACAAGGCCGGATCAGTCCGTCCCCTTCGGCTGAAGGCTAACGGAGTTAGACAGCTCTTGAAGGCCACTTAAGCTAATCCGGAGCTGCTCACTGGGTGGCACCTTTGTGTGAGGGTTTGTTGAAAGTAGGTCGATGCCGTGCAAGGCAACTAACTTGCCTACGTGTTTGTTTTCATCGCATCACTCATACTGTTCGAAAATTTGCTACCTGGTGGCCGCTCAACGTCTGTTGTTCTGTCAAGGTCAAGCTGCGCAAGTTCACGCTGCGCAAGTCCTTGGCCCGTTCCCCAGAATATTGCCCAGAAGACGCTTAGGTTTGGCATCGTTGCTAAAGCAGGAAGTCGTGCAGCGGTACACAATGCTTGCAACCAGTTTGTCTTCCATCTGTCTTGCCAGCAATCTACCTGTCTGTCTATCTATCTCTGTGTGTGTGCGCAAGTGGATGCAGATGGCCTCTGTCAGCATGCTTGCATCCATATGATCCATCTGCTGTTACTTTTAACTTGTCGTTGTCGCAACGCGCCCGGACTATAAATGTGAAGAGCTCAAACGTACCAACAGAGATTCAGCAAGTCATGGTACACTTGAAAGATGGGTGTCCACGACGTCCTACTGCCGTCTGATTGCAGGAATAGATAAACTGATCTCCCGGAGTGTCGAGGTCAACTTGGAAGATGAGGCAGATCAATTGCCATACATGCATGTGTCAAGCAAGTCTTGAGCAGCATGCACAGGTCGGGTGGTAGGCAAGATGTGACTGTAGATCAAAGTGGTTCCAGGCCTAGGATCCACAGCAGAGGTCGACTCCGAAACGACATCCGACCTGCGATCTTTCTGCCCATGTGAAGTTCGGATCAGCTGCCCTCTGCCCCTCTTGCCCTCTGCTGGCCGTGCTGCCTGCCCCATTGTCTGAGCTAAAGCCTCTAAGCTCAAAGCAGCATGAACGCCAAGGCGGAGGCGATGCATCCTTTACCAGCGCGCACTTCACCCTCAAGCGGCCGGGGAACCCGGCGTAAGATACCGGCTGGAGCCGACAAGCACGTGAGCTCTTACGGAGAGCTTGTCGCATGCCGCCTTGTTCAGGGAGCTGACCGGCAGCAAAGTTGATCTCGAAGAGTCGGGACCTTGGGGCAGAAAGGGAGCGCAGATGCGAAGATAGGCCACTGAAATAAAGACATCACGGTGTAAGCATCTCCGTTTACTGGCGTGAAGTTTCGATGCCCTGTCACTGAAGGCCGGTGGAGCTGGACGCTAGAAGCTCGGTTTGTGGCAAGCCGGTGTTCTGCCTAAGTAGCTTAGCCCGGAGCCTGGTTCATGCGGATTCGTGGTTCAGGACCAACATCCCTTTAGCCGGATGTGGATGAACGCCAGGCTGTTCGGGCCTCAAAGGCTTGTGGTACAGCGTACTATGCTCCAGAACGTGAGACGAGGTAGGCACGCCTCGTGATTTCTGACTCTACCCACAACGTGGGCTGAATATAGACTTTGCCAACCGACTCAAACGGTCGGTTTTCATAAAGTTGTGTCGTTGCTGATTCTACAGTCTTCAGATTTCGACTGTATTCACCGATTTAGATTGTTGTGACTTTAGTCGTTTTTTGCTCCGCACAAACGGTTACATGCCCTCGGAATTGAACTTGTTACACCCAGTTTTCTCTTGAGTCTTATCTTGGTTGTCAGTACATGACCAGCCATATCTGTGTCTGCATGTAGACCAGCATCATACCATTCCTAGCAGATCTGTGCACAGGTCGCCTTGGGGTGTATTGAGTGTAAACCCTAAACCCCAAAACCCTAACATCATAAAGCCCTAAGCCCTCATCTCAACCCTGAACTAGCCGAGGCAACACCAGGAGATGTTCGACCAGGACAGCTCAGGGCTGATGCAAGCGAGAGCATGCTGCGCTATCGTCTAAGTAAGTCATGTGCTGCAGACCTGTTTTGGTCATGATTTCTGGCGGAAGGCGACAGGTGGTGTTTTTGTGACTTGCACACCTGCACTGGGGCGTTTACGAGCCAATTGAAGTGGCTCTTGGAAGTTTCACGCCGTTGCACGTCCGAGCGGTTCATCGCTTGTAGAGCTATCTGACCCACCCACACCCCAGCCGTGCTGTTCGCTGCCTTTGTACACCTTTTTGCGACGTAGGACCTCCTGCAGTCCATTTACGAGAGGTCTGGACAGAGGGTGCCGGACAAAGCTGTCTACTGCGCCACAAGCTTGAGCTTCGTGGTAGAATGATACTTCCTGTTGTCGAAAATTCGGAAAGTCCGTGGATCACCTCACACGACGGCTGACGATTCACCAGCTGTTGTGGATCTTCCGCTTGTGAGGCACGCAACCGGGTTGCCGTCTTCGGAGGCGGTTTGATGGGCATTTTGCGTGGCAACCCAGATATTTTCGCTGGTGTGGGACAAGCAGCGACGGAGAGGGACATGCCTGCAGCAGCTCAGCTCTTGCGCATCTTCGGTGAATACAAAACGCTTCGTCCGACATAGGACCGTGTACTGAGAAGATCTCCCGCCGTCCGAAAGCACATTTTCCGATCGTTACTTCAGCGATATCGGATGGAGGTGCATGCTCAGAAGCATTTGGGATGCAAAGTCATCAGTCTTGAAGGATGAGGTTGCGGTGGGGCGCTGCTCTGCCCGGTCGTAGTCGTACTGCCACATGCTTTGCAGATCGGAGTACATGGTGGAAAGGCCCGATCTGCGAAACCTTTGTGATGTCCCTCGTGGTGAAAGGTCGATGCCTTTCGGGCCAATCGGCATGGCTGCGGGCGGACTCTTCGGAGCCTTAGCACCTCGGCACTTTCAGGGCTGCTGCAATTCTTGAGTATGCATGGCCGTCGCACGAAGTGTCCGAGGGCAGGAGAGAAGGCATCATGTATGATGTTGTCAGGTTGGTATGCTGATCGGGCTGGGCCCTTAGATGTGGGTTAGCTTGAGATCCGTCGTGGTCACAGCCGTGGCATCTGCACCATTGAGGATCTCAACAAAAATTGCGCTGTGTAGTTTCCGACACCTAAACCCTTATCCTTAACCCTCAAGCGGCGACTGTTGGTCCTAACTGCTGCTGGGTTGAACAAGAGGGAGCAGGTGTTCCAAGAAAATCCTTAACTCTTCTCTTGCTAGGATCTGCTTGGATCGGCGGCGGTACATGCGGAGCATTCAGCAGTCCGAGATAGAGACCCGACGGTTGAAAAGCTTGGCTGGCTCCCCAGAGGAGGGGTTAGGGTTTAGGATTCAGCGTTTAGGATTTAGAGGGTTTAGTAGAGCCAGTTTACAAGGAGGTCAGCAAGCTTTCGCTGGCCCTTCGCTGTAAGTCACAGCAAGAGAACCACAGTTCACGGACCGCCGCGTGGCTGGCCAGAGGTTTCTTCATTTACTGGCTGCATGCGAGTTCGCATCAAAGCGCCTCATGTAACGACACCTGACAGTTGAAGATCCGTCGTTCATGCCCAGCTGAATTGTTGAGGTTCGCTGGTCTGCCGAGCGCTTTGCAGACGAGGAGCGCCAGTATCCGCTTGCATGAAGCAGGGCTGTTGGTGCAGCAGTAGGTTTGGAGCCCGAAGGCTGAATCTCGACTCTCCGGTTCAGGTTGGGTGAGTGAAGAGAGGGCGCAAAGCAAACACAGGAGTAGGAGTAGGTGTAGAAGAAGAAGCAGTAGCAGTAGCAGTAGTAGCAGTCCTGGTGGTCGTGGTGGTCGTGGTAGTAGGAGTGGTAGTGGCAGTGGTAGTGGTAGTGTGGTAGTGGTAGAAGTAGTAGAAGAAGCAGAAGTAGAAGTAGGAGTAGAAGAAGTAGTTGTAGTAGCAGCGGTAGCGGTAGTGTCAGCGGTATCGGTAGCGGTAGCAGTAGCAGTAGCAGTAGTAGCTGTAGCAGTAGCAGTAGCAGTAGCAGTAGCATTAGTAGTGGCAGTAGTGGTGGTAGTAGTAGTAGCAGTAGTACCAGTATGCTGATGAAAAACCAGAAAATTCATAGAAGGTTTCCGGCGATCTGAATATTGTCATAAGTTGGCTGACCCCCGATCGTCACGAAGAGCAGTGCACTGTCGCATGGCATTGCGTGGTGTTCACCCGGGAATTGCCTTGGCAATTCGTGAGCTTCAGAGTTTCATCGCAGACAGCATTTGAGGATGATCCCTTGGCTGCAGTGCACCATCTAGAGATGGTGCGCCCACCCAGAGCGAGTCGCTGACAGTTTCATGCAACGGCAGGGATGTTTCTTCAGAATCTGGTCCACCATAATGCGATGAGGCATTGAGCGTGCGATCTAAAGAGCGGACAACTCAGGTTGTCTTGGAATTCAAGCCTGTTGCAGACATAGCCACGGCCTCCAAAAATGCGTCAGAGCCCCAGGGCGTTTCGACCAGCCGCTAGAAATGAGTCTGAGTTTGTGTCGACTTGCAGAGCGGTATTCGGGAGCTCGCCTTGTCTTTTATGAAGCCGTGGTTGCATGCAAGCCGCTGCAAGCCTTCTTGCAGAAGACCAAAGCCCATGAATTGAGGCGTCGGACCTTGAAACTCTTGGACTCTTGGGCCGCCCGTCGAAGCAGCTTGGCTCCACATCAAGCTCCACAAAAACAAACCCGAAGACCATAACCCTAAACACTCCTCAACCATATCCTGAATCCTAAACCCTCTAAGGCCCTAAACCCTCAATCCAAACCTGGCCAAACCCAAAACCCTAAGCCACCCTACCCCAAACCCCAAAACCCTAAAGAAAAAGCCATAAACCCCGAAACCCTAAAACCAAAACCCTAAAGAAAAAGCCAGAAACCGCAAAACCCTAAAACTGTAGAATCCCCAAACCCGAGCCCCCCAAACCCCCAACCCCAACCCCTGAAGGCATGATGCGCCAGCTCTGGGCGGGAACCTTGGAGCCTAGCAAGTCTCTGCATGAAGGGGAAGAGGCTGAGGTCACTCCGTGTCCTTTCAGGGCACTAGGCTCATGGGCTTGGGAGTTTGAGGGATTCAGGGTTTAGAGTAATTAATAAGGTAACTAGGGGGTTTTAGGGGTTCAGGGTTTAGAGTAATTAATAGGGTTAGGGCCGGGGGATGTTTAGGCTCAGGTTTGGGAGAGCCCAGCTGCAAGAGGGGCCAGGGGGGGTCGTGAGGCCTACATGGACAACATCTTGATCAACTGGAAGAAGTTGACGCAAGCAGATTTCTTGCGCAAGATGTTCGGCCCCAAGTGCTGCCCGAAACCGCTCTCGAGAACCTGGTGATCTCATGCGGTCCTGAGAATTGCTAGACAAGACTTGGGTAGGTCTCGGAGACGTGATTTGGCATTCCTGACTGCATGCTCAAGCCTCTGCACGACTCCTGTGAGATGCATCAGCAACGTTGGCAACGTGTCCTCGTCTTAGGCTGAATGACTGTCGCACGCATGATGCAAGCCGTGCTCGAAATCACAGTTGACGGCTTCAGCGCACTTCCCTCGTGATGAGGGCGCTGAAACACATGTAGGTACTGTTGACATTCAGCAATTCAGCATCTTGCTTTAGCTTCTTTGCGGCGCAGCGCTGCGCTTTGTTCCGATGGCAGCGCCAAAGAGCGTGGAGCAAGCCGCGTGGCACAGGAGAGTTGGGCATTTATGCTGGGCAGGTGATTTTTATTGTCCGTGAAGCTGCGTGCTTAGCGTGCTTAAGCGGACGTTGACATTTCTTGCTGCAGTTCCCGGCAACGGCATGTTTGTCCGTCCAGCTTGAGTGACCGGCCGTCGTGTTACACTTACCCTGTCTGCCGCTGAGTCCACCGAATGCCATCGGAGCTCAGGAGGCCCGGGGATTCTCAACGAGCTTTGATTCTATGCGCGCACTCACTTTTCTTTGTACAAAGAATGTATTGCACTGTGTGAATTTCACGAGTACCGGCTCTGCCCCACGCAATCGCAGTGGTGTCTTTTCACATGGTTTTGAGAAGCGGCAGGCTATCCGGATCCTTACACCTACAACGGCAAGGGCAAGGACCGACTTTGCAAGTCTGAAATTTCGAGGGAGGCACAGCTTGCATGTGAAGACAGGCCATCTATAATCCGCCCGTCGAGCTGCCTTCCTCAAGCGCCAGCAACTTCTTTGAGGAAGCAGGGGCAGGACTTACTGCCGCAGATTTACTGGCATCGACTGTAGTGCTTTCTGTCTAGGAGGCTGAGTCGCAGCTTGAGAAACAAGCCTGAAAAGGGCTGAATGCTCTCGTCGGCCAGGAGAAGCAGAGGAGACGGAGGCCCGACGCAAGTTCAACAAGTTCTGCACGCAGCCAGATGGCTCTGAGCCAAAAGCTCACCTCACCTATGACAGCTTTTGCCGGCTCGTGGCGCACTACGAGGCGGCATCTTCCTCAATGGTACAGTCTTATTTCTATGCCATTGACCGTGACCTTGATCAAGTTGGTTCTGCAGGCTGCGTGGGTGCGTGGGCATGTCGGAAGCTGCACCCCAGTGCCCCAAAGCTCAGGCAAACGAGACAACATGATAGACTTCGACGAGTTTTTTCTGGGTGTCGTGGCGGGAGATCCAACGTGCCTTGCATAAAGTTAGGTGGTGGCACACTTCTGAGATCTCGACACGAAGACTTAAAGCTGTTCATCGAGGACAGTGCACATACTCAATTCCTTCACTGGGAGAGCCTTGGGAG